TCCTGTGAAGCAGCTGAGAGTTGTCAATACAAAGACGTTGTTTGATTACATGTGAGCAAGCGTGTTAAGACCTTGAAGCTTTTTTTTTTGCCGGTGAAATCTCCCTCTCCCTGCGTTACCACCACCACCTTTTAGAAAGGTGGACAAGACTCGTCGTTTCCCTGTGCTCTGCTGTTGCCATAGTGACCAGCGCCGCATGCCTGATTTCTATAAAGCTCTGCTTGGGTTGCAGACAGCTGGGCAATGTATGTCCTCACCCACATTATTGTTCTGTGTGTGTGTGTGTGTGTGTGTGCGTGTATGTTAATGCGTGTATGTGTGGGCGCCTATGTCTTTGTCTGAGTGAGTGCCTGAGGTCGTATGTAAGTGAGACGGTGCTGCAGACGATACTTCATTGCTATAGAAATGTCTGCTTCCGCTTGCTTGTCATTCTCTAATCTGCAGCAAATGAGAGATGAGAATGTGCATTGCATATTAGAGTTTCCAATTCATATTCAGATCTTGTCATTTGTTGAAAACCCAGGTTGTGTCTGAGGGGACTGTCATGTTGAAAAGAAGCTCTCCTCTTTCATATGCACAACACCCTGCATATGTGGATTTGAATCACAATATTGACTCGCCTTCTCTTTTTGTTGATGATTTCACCAAAGGCTGTGTGTGTGTGTGTGTGTGTGTGTGTGTGTGTGTGTGTGTGTGTGTGTGTGTGTGTGTGTGTGTGTGTGTGTGTGTGTGTGTGTGTGTGTGTGTTGACAAATCCGGAGATCAGCTTTTAAAATTTTCACATTGTCCTTTGGCTTATTTACTGTCACCAATCTCTCAGCATCCCCTCCCCTTTCTCACTCTTATCTCACATGTACTCTTGCATACATGCCACATGCATATTCATGTTCACACCCTCACATCCAGAGCATGTAACAAATATCTATTTCACGGGCACGTGCATCTGCACACACAGACTAGATATATTTATTCATAAGCTCATTAGAGGAGTGGATTTGCCTGCTGCCATCCATCACACTGTCACCCATCCCCAGCCTGGCACACACTGACAACAGAACTGCAGGAGAGAAGTCCCTGGGATTTAGTCTCCTGGAGCCGGTGCTATAGAGAGGATTTACTCCAATAGACAGAGTCTCACTTCGCCATTTTATAGAGGTGAGATCAGGGAGACAAATACCAAACGAAATGGTAATCTCCCATTCACCGGAGTTTATCCCGAAACTGATATTCTGTGGGGGGGAATAAATAAGGCTTTTAGTCTCTTAGCACAGTCACTGTCAGCTGGTGTTCAGAAGCATGCTAGCAACATTTAAAATTGTTGATATATATGAGGAAACCTTTGGATGTTCTCACAGACACACTGTCACGTGAAAGCTCGGGCCGTCTCCTTGTTGCTTGTTACAAACTAGTGCAAGCTGTTGCAAGCTCGTCACTGCAGGTGCAAGAGCCGCTTATCACAACAAAGCAGGATTGTGGTTTGAAAGAGAAAGCTAACTTTAGGTTCTTGTTACATGAAAGAAAGTCCAGCCCTGGCACACTGCTGTATTGTCCTCTCTGTTGAATAAGTGTGATTTCTTTTGTAATGTCTTAGTGTTTAATGGGAGTGTCCCCTGGATTTATTTTTTGTGCAATGCTAAGAAGAGAAAGGCACGTTTCCCCAACACTTCTACCTTCTTTTCTGCTGAAGGTCAAGGGTTCTTATCTAATTAACATTTACACCCACTGACTGATATATGCCTGCTTTTCCTACTTGTTTAATTACCTATGATGCAAAACAGAAGATTGAAGCTCTGCTCAAGTGTGCAGACAAGTACTCTCTAGATGAACTGGCAGAGATCCATTGGTGATTCACTGACTGTGCCCAGTGTTTTTAAGCTAATGACACGTACTTTGAAAGAAGGGAGGTGGTCTGGAAGTCAAAAAATGAAAATATATTTGAGTTTATATCTGATATAATGTGTTTAGCACATGTATACAGTACCATGTTTTGGCGTGCTTTCTTTTTGTTTTTTCTTGCCTCTGAAGGTAATGTTAGTAGTGTCTTGTCCGCTGCACACATTTAGATGTATGATGCTTCAATAATCATTAATTCAGTCAATAACTGTGGAAATGTATTCATTTTTTGATACATTGTTTAACTCACATGCTAATGGTTCTTAGTTATTTGTTGAATGACACATTTTATCGATTTTTTTTTTTATGTTTAAGCTGTCTCAGTTCTAAGCCTGTTTGTCAGGCAGAATACAAATACAAATCTGTCTCCTTCAGAGTTGCTGTCATGGCAGTTGATCCAGTCGTGGATAACTCTGGTCCCTTCTTCCTCCTGGCTGTCAGTTGTAGTTTCTCACTGTGGCATCTGTGCTGGCTCACTTCCTAGATGTGGTCAATGAGCAGCGTCCTCTCCAGACCGTACCAGCACAACATTAACACCTTGTGTGTGTGGCAAGTGAACACATCTACTTCACACATATACACATAGCTCCGAAGGAGTCCTTTATTTCCTCTGCCAAGGAGATTTTGTTTTTGTTTGTTTGACTGCATGTTTGTTAGTGAGCAGAATATCTCAAATCTTGACAGATTGCAGTGGATTAGTGGAAAGTTAGATGTTCAAGATTTTGGTGCAGATCCTAGGCAAGTTGCAGACAAGGAGGAGTCAAGGAAAGGAGGAAAAAACTTTTTTAACCTGCTCCTGGATGAATTGACATGAAATTTGTACAGACATTCACAGTCACTATAGAATGGATCCTGTAGACTTTTGTGATCCTATGATTTTTCCTGTAGCACCATGAGGTTGATATTTGGGATTTTGAGTGAAATGTCCTAGCTATTGGATGGATTGCCGTGAAATTTGAAGGATAAATTGTTATCACCTAATTTATCTCCTCACTGTTTATGTAGCACCATCATCAGGTCAAAATGATAGTTTGTCCAATACTTTGGCTTATGCCCAAATACCAGCTAACTAAAAACTAAACTAAACTAAGATGGAGAACATGATAAACTATATAAACTATATACCTGTTAACAGTCACATTGTTGACATTTTTAGTGTGAGCATGTTAGCATGCTGACTTTAGCTTTTAGCTCAAACCACTGCTGTGCCTAAGTAAAGCCTCACAGAGCCTCCAGCACAGCTGTAGACTCTTAGTCTTGTTCAGATAAAATGAAGGATTACGTGTTCCCTTTTGGCTTGAGAAGTCCTACCACTGATATATATTATAAAACCCTCAGACTCATTAGATTACCAGCATTTGGAAAAAAGAAAATCTGTTGCTCAGCATGACGCAGAGCCGTCTTAGTTCCTGAAAAGTTTACATTTTGAAGAAAATGGCTTGAAGACAGTGGAAAATGTTGCTTTTATGAAGATAAAGAGGATGGGATTGAACATTTAAAGTCTGATTTTAAAATGGCAAGCCTTCTGCCTTGAGACATAAACTCTTAAGTGTTTTCTATTATACTGTGCAAATGTTTTAACATGCATTTTGCATTGACCAAAAGTCTGTACTGCTACTTCTGTCTGTCTTCGACTAAACAAAGACAAAGACATGAGATATAGACATACGGACAACTCTATTTTCCACCCATTACACACACACACACACACACACACACACACACACACACACACACACATGCACACGCACATTATCCTGGCAGCTGTAACATGAACCACAAACAGAAGTGGTAAGGAGCGTGTTCTCGTTCTGCAGTCATTGTTGCTTGAACATGTGTTTCAACTGCTGCTCGTGACTTCCTGCTCTCCCCACTCTGGTTCAGCTCGGTGTTGCTGCACTGGATAGCTTTGGACATGTGCACTCACCCATAATAAGAATGGTTAACAGTTGAAGCATTCGAATGAATAAATACATTTACAGTATTTTAAACCCTTATTTAACTAGATTAGTCAATTAAAAACAATTTATGCTGCCCATACCAAATGCAAGGACAAGCACAAATAAGAAAAGGAAGAGGTTGAATAAATGAGTCTTGTACACAATTTAGTTATTAGCTTAATTTCTTTGTGCAATTGTGCCTTTGTAGCTGTCTCAAGAAAGTGAGGACATTTATCAGAGTCTGAGAAATATTTGCTGATTCCCACTGTATGTGAGTTTAGCTTTGGAGGTCACACCTTTATGAAATTATTTTTTTTTTATCTCTGTGTAGCAAAAGTCATGGGTTTAGTGAAGCTGATACTGCTGCCACAGTCTGTGCACTTATGATACTATAAGATAGTCTGGGTCCCTGTGCTGTGACCAAGAACCCAGAAAAAGATCGTGTCACAACCACCACCCCCAGCTTTCATCATGTAACTCTCTCTCTCTCTCTCACTCTCTCTCTCTCTCTGAATTTCTTGTCGAAGGGACTCGTTTGATGTCTCAGACTTTGTGCTTGAGTCAGGCGCGAGAACATTCCAAAAATGGATCTCATTTGCATTTCTTGGTGTGATTATGACACTGGACAAATAGACACAACAGGCTTATTTATTGCACTCCCTCTTTTCAAATAAAAAGTCCATCTTGTTTGCTGCTTTGTGAGTGTCGTGAGTGAACTGTAGGCCTATACCGTAAAAGAATTTGTGATATTTTCACATTTCAGTGGTTGGCTGAGGTTCTGCCGCTGTATTGGTTTGCCCTAGTCCACTACCTGATTATTACCCATGCTGCTTGTTTACTCATGCTTTAGCTTTATTTGACCCAAGGCAAATACAAAGCTGCCTAGGAAAGCCTTGAGGATGTTTTCATTTTATCAGTGTGCTCCTTCAAGTTCATAAGCTCTCTGTCTTCCTCCCTTTCTTTTCTGTCCCTGTCACTCCTCTCTTTCTTGTCTTCTTCCATCTCCCTGATCTGTGTGTGTGTGTGTGTGTGTGTGTGTGTGTGTGTGTGTGTGTGTGTGTGTGTGTGTGTGTGTGTGTGTGTGTGTGTGTGTGTGTGTGTGTGTGTGTGTGTGTGTGTGTACATGTTGTCTCCTTCTGTATATGTGTGTATGCTTTCTGCTCCCAGCCCCTCTGCGGAAAGCAAAGTTTGTGGAGAGCCCTCGCATTCCACAATCAGAGCTTGGCTCCCCTACACACACCTCCACCACTGCCAAGAATCCAGACCTGGACACATACTGCCGTGGTAAGTTTTTAGCCAGCTCATCCCTCATTTCGTTGTGTTACTTTTTGCATGTTGTTTCCTGTCCTGTGAATGCGGTAGAATGAATCGGAGAGAGATGGGGAGAATTTATGGGTTTGCCAGTTATTCTGCCCGCTGCTGCAAAGACGAAAACATTGCTAAGGTCATTAATGAAAAAGCTTTGCTGGTGCCCACATGAGTCCATCCTCATTGCCTCCTCCCTTTCTGTCTCTCTAATCCTCTCTTGCTGCTTTCTCACTCTGCTCTGCTTCTCGGACGCAGAGCTTGTTTAGGTGCCGCCTCTGTTTTCTGTTAACTTCACAGTCGGTGGTTGCTCGGTAATCCTGTGGACAGTCCAGATTTCCCTCTATCTGTCTCCGCCAAACCCCCTCTCTTCCCCCTCGTCTCTCCCCTTCTCGCACAGGGAGGACGGCAAAGCGGGTCACTCGAGGATAGTGCTCTGCTGAGATTTGCTTCTAGTATATCTGCTTTCTCATCTTGCCTCTCCTCTTCCTGTTGCCACTGAAAAGTGCAGCGTTGGCTTCCTGACCTGTCTTGTTGCCTCGACCTCTGGTGGCTGTGTGGACTTCTCAACAGGGCAGGACGCTGCTGCAACACTCCAGGGTTGAATGAAGGCATTAGAGAAATAGTGATGTGGGGTCTGAGGGCTTAACTGTTGTAACTTAGGAGGAAAATGGTCGACAGAGTGCTACCAACCTTGTCCGTCTGTCAGCCTCTTCTGCTGAGTCTCTGCTCAATGGGAGTTCTAAGTAGGTGTCTATAGAAACTTCTTATTTCTGTACACGTCTTTATAGTATGTAGTACCTTAGGATAGTCCCTTTAGTTCTGGCACCTGCTGTTGAATCTCATGGATGAAAAACTGATGACCCTGGCTTTATTTTGCGTGACTCCTGTGAAACAGACTGTGGAATAACCCATCAGTTGTGATGAGCTGCTCAGATCTCCTGCAGATGTGACATTTCAGGGTTGAAATGGTAATCTCTAGCGCCATTGAGGCAGGAAAACAGTTGATTACAAACAGGAATTCTGTCTGTGCGATAACAACTTGAGCTTGGAGAGGAAGCAGGAGGGCTGAGATGACTTTTCTGGGGTGAGGACTCGCACCTCCCAGGTGGACAGATGGACATCTTAGTTCTTAACAAGGGCTCCCTGGCATGAGTAGCAGCAGGGCAGTGACTTAAAACATCTGATCACATGCCAGTCCACACTCTGCTGCTGACGGTGTCTGTCGCCGGGGAGGAAGTCAGGTATCAGCTGATTTTTATGGCCCACAAAGAAATTTGTGGCGTCATAAATATGGTTTGTGAATATTTTGTGAGATAGCTTGTAAAATTCACCACCAGTCGTTCCTCCTTATATAAATCAGACTGGAAGCTTTTCTAATGATGTTATAACTCAACCTTCCTACAGTATTTACCCAGACTAGGTGTGGGTGCTTCATCACGATGTCTGTAATTACACAATATCCATATATACGTGAGTCCAACTGAAATCACATTTATTCACCCCTTTTTGCAGTCAAAAATCTATTGTTATTTTAAATTTATTGTCAATAGTTTACATTTTATTTTGATAGTCCATCTACAGGATTTCAACAGCTTATTAGTTGAGGTTCAACAGTTCAGTGGTTTCATAAATAACAGAATAAATCTGATATTACACCCCTTTGGTTAAGGTTTGTCTAGGTTTAGAAACAAAAAAACATCTTGGTTAGGGTATGTTCATGAATTGTCACATATACTCTATAGATAGTTGAAATGTTCCAAATAACTGTAGGCTGACTATCCAAAGTGCTACCATAGTTTTTTACTATTAAAAGAGAGAAAAAAAGGTCTTTAGGGAAATATCAGATATGTTTCTTCTTGTGTTAGCCGCTAGAGGGGCGTATCGGTGTCTGTGTTTGATTGACAGCAGCTGGCAGCAGCAGGGGGGGAAAAAGAGACAAAGTAAACAAACTTACACTGTAGCTTAGAGGCCACGGGCAGAAAGTGTTAGCAGTGGTGCTGAGCAGTAAGGACCACATCATGTACACTCACATGCTGTTTAATGTGCGATTAAATTGGATGTATGGAAACACATTGGGCAGCTCATAAAGCTGGACTGACAGGATGGCATACTAATAAAACCAGCATATAAATAAAATATAAAAAAATACAAAATACTATAAATACCAAAGATAAGCTAAAATGCCACAAACAATTGCAAAGAAAGCCAATATCTTAAGACAAAATGAGCATTAAAATGAATTCATGAATTAAAATAGATTTTCTAGAAAATATGTTAAAAAAAACAATTTATGGATAAACAAGATAACAATATAACAATATAACAAAAATAAGCAGGAAAGTAAAATCTACGACAATTGTCTGACAGTGCACTGTATATCATCATATCACCCACTCCTAACCCAGACCTGGCCAGTCCTAGCCTGCTTTCATGTATGAAACCTCTGAATGTTGTCTAGATAAGATCACCACTGTGCACATGAGGAATGTGAAATTCACTCTTCTGATCTCTTCTTGGTTAGCCATCCAGTGCCTGGTTTCTTGATGATGTTCATGCCTATCTGTGCTTGTATGTTCACTGTTACTGAATGTTTCTTTTGACCTGAAGCTCTAAAATAGGCGTGAATCTACCTTGTTTTAATTTCCGCTATTTGTCACCAGCTATTCTTTTATTTTTACAAAAACATGCGTGGTTTGCCTTTGGGATCCCGGTCATGTCTGTGGATTTGCCATGTTGAAGTGCAAAGTAAAGTGCCCAGGTATAGGTGAAATAAGAGCCACCACACGGTATGTGTTATCTTACCTGCGGCCCGGGCCTATTAATCCCATCTCCTGTCCTGTCCAGTCCCCTGCTTGCAGCACACATGCTTCTTTCTCCTTCCTCTCGGTGCGTGAGGGCAGATCTGTGGACGGCCAGGGAGAAACAGATGCGCTTGCACAGAAACACATTCCTAGCTGCGCGCAAAGATAGTTGCTATGGCAACCATCTGTCTCCTTCGCAGCTCAGGAATCCAATGGAGAGGAGTGTGCGTGTTTGTGTGTGTGTGTGTGTGTGTGTGTGTGTGTGTGTGTTTGGGGGGTGGTTCAGAAAAATAAGAGATGTGTTTTATGCCCTTTTTCATATTCAAATGTTATCATAAAGGATCTCATGGTGTCACTGTGATGAGAAACGCCTGAAGTTCCTCTTGTGTTATTTTCTCAATGCTGTCATTTTGCTTTGAAGTGGTCTAGATGTATGTCTTTATTGACTCCAGTAAGAGGTGTGTGATTGTCATAATCTGCATTTTAAGAACAAAAAACAGAGCTATGAATGGAAAGAAATCGATTCATACAACCCCTACATTATGGTAATGTATGTATCCCCTTTGATAGTAGCTCATTAGTATTGGTTACATTCAAAGGAAGGTTTAAAATAGATTTGATTTGACAGCTCCATGATAACAGTTGCCCAAGCAACTCGGTATGTTTGAGTGTTTTATTTTTGGAGTGTGAGAGTTTAAGGATGTACGGAGGGATTGCCTATGTTTAGCTCAGGGGAGTTACTGTGGACTCCAGCATCCAGATGAGAGATTTTGCTCCCACATCAAAAGAAAAACAGACAAACTGCTCGCCCCTACGCAGAGTTGTCTAACAACTGGCTGCGACAAGAAGCAAAAAAAAAAAGGGGCAACAGAAACGCAGAAACTAAACAGGCGAGAGGCAGGCAGACTGAGCGAGAGAGGTAGACAAAGAAATGAGTGAGAAGGACACAAACAAACACTCGCAGAGGCAGAGATAGACAGTCAGAGCCCCTGTTTGATCACGGTCACAGCCGCAAACCCCTCAGGAGCAGTTGACTAATCAGTGCTAATGTATTCACTGCTTACTACTACCAGTCTGTCAACTGGGAAGCCTTCACTGCCTCCATGTCCAGACGCACAAGCGTACAGGCACTGCAGCTAATCCACGCAGAATACATTCATAAGGTTCTGAACGGCCATTGGATAGATGTTTAGCTTTTGTTTTTCCTGCAATTTTCTCCCTCTAATGGCTGCACATCCTAGCCGTCCCTTGTGGTATTAACTGTAAGAAGGTGGAGCAGTAATTCCATCTACGTACATCTTCTCCATTACTGCATCCTCTTCCTCTTCCTCGAGGGATGCACAGGGATTCAGTGACCTTGGAGGCCCTCGTAAGCGTGTTCCGCTCCATATAAAGTGTATCCAGCTGCATTACTGAGCCGCTATATCCATCTTATCAAGGCTCATACGTAATTAGCTGTTTTGGACTTAATGTGTGCTGTGATTAGCTCATTATTGGTTGCTGCTGTGTGTTTTTATTGAGGCTCGGCAACAGTTCATCCCCATTTGCTTCAAAGGTTTTTCTTCCCTCCCTTCAGAAGGGTGCCGGTCTTCCTTACGTGCTCAGAGAGACTTGCAGTCAATCTAATGAGGATCCTGACAGTGTCCGTCCATGAGCGAATGGAGAGAGGAGCCTGGGGGTGTAGATTGCCTGTCCTTCTTGTACGTCTTTTGAACAGACGAGTGAGAGGCCACAGGCTTCAGACAAGCTGTCTGTCTTCAGAAGGGTGGTGTGGTGTCTGGGACTGTCTAATGGTCGTCAGTCAGGATTTAGCGTAGCTACCTGCCAGTCCGGTCCAACCTGCCCTGCAAGAAAACGAGCTGCGGTGAGGTCAGGGGAGGAGAAGAGAGAGAAAACTGGCTCCGCCGCTAGCTGTCTCTGTCTCACTGCTGTTTATTTAAACAACAGCCTTCCCGTGGCGGTGCCTTCAATGTCATTAATGTCCGGGCCAATTCAGAGGCTTATACGTCCAATCGCAGCTGTTTGTATTTAGCCACTAGTTACTCTTTCTAGAACCAGCAGGGTGAGTAATTAGTGGAAGCTTGAGCTGTAAGAGTGACACTCCAGTAAATAAAATAAAATTGAATTGAAATTGATATCGTAGGGTCCTCTAGGGCATAATAGCTAGGTGTTATTGAAAAACATGATACTACCAGTGACTGTTTGTTATGGATGGAAACTCACTAAGGCAACAGGGCGAAAAGATGAGGTCATTAAGGGATTTTTGTTTGAGTCCTGTTGCAACTGAAATCCCTCAGCTCTACGTGTGTGTGTGTGTGTGTGTGTGTGTGTGTGTGTGTGTTTTTGATCATCTGATCATCACGCAGGCTCTCACCCTGGTGTTATCTTTTCTCTCTTTTATAGCTAGTGGTTTCTGTAAACAGGATAGAGCGGTGAATATACACCCACTTTATCTTGGAAAGCCACACACCACTTCTCTCTCTCTCTCTCTCTCTCTCTCTCTCTCTCTCTGTGACACACACACACACACACTCTCTCACACACAGGTAAAGGGCGTATCTCATTACGTCACACGAGCTGCAGTGATGAGTGGTGCGGAAGGAGCTGTCGCCAGTGTGAAAGGCTTTTGCCCATCAGCGTGGAAAGGGGTTTTGTAAACAGTTTGAAGGGATCCTTGTGGTTGTGGCTGAAGGGATTCTAAGGAGTTTATGTAAGGAGACACCTCAGCAAAGACATCCAGCTGTGGTGGAATGTGTCGGTAATGCGCAGCTCCGAGCTACGGGATTACTCAGGTAGAGAGTTCTTTAGCGTTGTCGTGAGCGCAGGTGCTGTGTATCCAGTATCCAGGTCTGTTGTCGCTGTTGTGGTTTATGGAAAATGTAGCAGATATACTGTGCGTTTCCAGGTAAAGAGGTGGGGGACATGAATTTATATTTATTTTGTGAAAATAAGCTGTTCTGTTCCTACCCACCACTGACACACATTCTGTCTTTCTCTCTTTTTCTCTCCCCCGCAATGTCTTCCTCTCTCCACCTCCTTCCTCCTCCTTCTGTCTCTCTGCCTCTGCAGGGGAGTCAAGCCAGGAGCTGGGCCCCCCTCCGTCGGTGGATGAGGCAGCCAACACATTGATGACGCGCCTGGGTTTCCTTCTGGGAGACAAAGTGAGTGAGGGGCCGGCCGGTACCCAGTACAGCATGGAGGAACCCGAGGCGAGACAGGTAATGGTCTCAGTAATGAACTGGACACGCAACCGAATCTGCTTTAAGGATGTGACTGAAAGACTCATTTCTGTCTGGATTTCTTTGAAAAGAAGTTACAGCTGTTTCATCATTTCTCAAGGAGCTTCACTTGTGTAGACAAAAACCTACAGACTGAATGATAGACAGGGTTTTAAGATAAGATAATCCTTTATTGATCCCCCCAAAAGGAGGTGTTTTTTTCTCACAATCAAATCTCATGATGTCACCAGATGCACACAGTCACATTGAGTCAATTTACAGGAGGCGCTGTCGGGGATTGTGTGAGACTTAAAATACAGGATTGGTGCCAAAGAACCTTGCTTTAGTTTAATTTTATATCACCCTTCATGCAATTGTTAGGATGGATCCTAATCTAATTGTCTTACTGCGTGTGTGATTTTGACACGTTTCTATTGTGAGTGGTTGTGGAACACGAACAAACACGCAATCGCCAGATTTGACTTGTTTTGACATTTATCTTCATAATGTCCTTGTTTACACTCTGTTTTGACAGATCTTTGGAAGTCAGGATAGCCAGATCAAAAGACTTGCCCTCAGAAACCACAGCGCTTTGGATTCAGAATTCATCAGTGCCTCTCCATCAAGCATCAGATATCTACCCGTCTAATTAGATTTAACAACATTATATAACAAATACTCTCATTTATTTATTTCACAGTGTACTTTAAACTTTGCTCATTGAAAGTATGTTTCTTGAGGTGACACGCAGCAGGTTCAGCTTAATGTTTCTCTCTCTCGCTCTCTCGGTTTCTGCACCGTAACCTTTCAGTTTGTGAATTTGGCAGTTGTGCAACAAACAGCTCTTGGCACAACGGGCCTGCTCTAAGCTCTGCAGCAGATGCCCTGGTTTCTTTACCCAAACCTGATTTGACAGGTATGAATTTCACAAATCAAGGGAGGAAAACAGTTGCAGCGTAGAGAGAGAGAGAGAGAGAGAGAGAGAGAGGGGTGGAAATAGGGAGGGGAAAAGGGCGAACCTGTTGCTGAAGCATTCAAAGGGGACCTAGGTATGGGTTTGCACTAAAGCAGTGTGGATAAGCGATTAGGCTGATGGACTGCCTGTGCTTGATGTGAGCGCTGCTCTAGCAGTGGGGGTGTATAAATTGAGAGAGGTTTATTCAAGCGGCTCTTTTTAGAGACGTGACTCATACTAGCACCCTGCTGCATCGTGCACACAGCACAAACTTATTATTTTAGATATCTGCCCCAAATACTGTTCTCCGGATTGCAGTTTGTTTGATTCATTAACCACCAAATATCACAAGGATTGCCTCGAGACACCATCTATTAGCAGAGTGGGCTTTTGTTGTAATTTTTGTAATTTGCATGGGATTTGGTATCTTTCAATGGAGAGCACAAATGACAGTAATACAGCAGATTCACACATGTAATCTGGATATTTGCAGGATGCTGGAAGTCTGTCTTCATGTTTGTCATCATAACCAAAAGTTAATTAACAACGAAGCCAGGCAGATATCAAAACCGCTGGGTTTTTTTTCTGTAAAACACCAACCTACCATCTTCCGTTTGACATGGTTTAATTCCTACAGTGGCGGTGTCTCTGCTGCCAGACCTCAACAGCTGATGGAACAAGGTGACCTTAACTCGCAGAGCGTGCAGTTAATTGCCTTTCATACTCTCATGCTCTCGCTCCCCAAATAGAGGCAATGCTCCAAGTTCAATCCGATCCTCGTGCGGCGTTTAAGGTCAGACCGGCACAAGGCGAGGTTCATTAGCCCAGCAGATAGAGCTGTAGTGTCGCTGTGTGTTTGTGTGTGTTTGTTTGCGTTGGGTTCAAGCTCCTGTAAACATGACTGCTAAGAGCAGAGGGCAGCGGTGACTGAAAGAGTGCCTAACAAAATGTTATTCCTTCTCTTAATCAGTCACACACACACACACTAACACACTCATAGCAGAGACTAGAGGCCATGTACTGTAGTGGACAGTGTGTTGACTAGTTTACAGATGTCAGCAGAGTTTAATTCAACCACTACGCTAGTTTTACTGCAGCATACACTCCCTGTTCATTCCCAGGTACCCCTATACAACCTAATGCAATGCAGTACAACAGCTCTACCCACATATACTACCTTTACAAGTCTTTCTAATGGCCAGTGTTTGTGTTTTGTTCTTTCAGAGGGATCTTAATTAAGATATTATGTTATGTATTACGTAATGTTTATTACTGATGTCATAGTTAGTTGTGGCGTTGTGCATTATATTGAAACATGATTTTAATATTCTTGCCCCCTCGTGTTTGGAAATGGAGTGAGCAAAACATTAAAGCCAGCGCTCAATAAAATTCAAACTACAACCTCAATAATAAACTTAGCTAAAGTTAAATTAGTACCTCTCTGACAGTGGCAATCAAAACCAAACATTATTATCTTGGCTTGGCTGAGCTGTTGCATTAGAGTGTGCTGTTGGAATTGCTTTGCTTTGTTTTGTGTCGTGGACTATGGATTTGCCTTGAGTTTTGATAATCAATTAATGAGTATTCACAAACCAGCGAATGTTTGGCTTTAGAGATAGAAGAGTGAGTCGGTCCACCATTTTGGTCCAGACTGAAATATCTCAACAACTTCTGGATTAACTGCCAAGAAATGTTGTGCTGACGTTCGTGGTTCGCACCAGAAAATTCTAATGACTTTAAAGATCCTTCGACTTTGTACAGCGCCATCAAGTCAAATTTTTTACTACTTTTATGGTTTATGACCAAATACCTGAAAAACAATTGACATTCCCACCAATCTGTACTCTGTGTTCAGTGTTAATTAGCAAATGCTAGCATGCTAACATGCTAAAATTATTATTAGCATGGCTGTAGACTCTCGGCCTTGGTATTTGCTTCTAGGTTTTCTCCGTGATATAGTAAAGTAGTGTATTGAATAAATTTGGGCTGTTGGTCGGACAAAAAATCCTAATTAATCCCAAAAATAGGACTGCAGTTATTAAGCGCTTATTTTTACCAAAGCACTTAACATTGGTTATTAGGAGCATTCGGTAGTCTTGCTCAACGACACTTTGAAATGTGGACTAGAGGACCCGAGGATCAAACCACCAACCCTTGGCTCGCCGAGCTATCTCCTGAGCCACAGCCTCAGCAGGCTGTCAACCGATAATTGACAGATTAGTCAATAATGAAAATAATCGTTAGTTGCCGCTCTACTCCCTACTGTACGTGTGTGGGTGTGTGTATTATCTTAGCGTGTCTTATTCCTGCAGATTAAACTAGACTAGATTTAGCCTTGAGCACCACTTCACCCTACTGCTCTCTCTGTTAAGGAGAGACCTCCACGTGTTTACTTAATCACTTGGCACCCCTGTTTTTGTAGCGCCTCTGCACATCCATAAATGCATGCATGTATCCTTAGGTATGTGCTCCTGCGTGTTTGAGCAAGAGTGCCTCTGTGGGTGTTCGAGGCAGCAGATTAGACGCAGCAGAGTGTTTTTATTTTGTCCCCTGTGGACTCTTGTCTCCTAACCTGAGCCGATCAAGCAGAGGGTCACTGCAGGGTGCCAAACAATGCTGGGCCTGGAAAGAATATGTATTCAGCGTGTGTATGCGGGGCAATCAAGAGGAAAATATGTATTAAAATAGGTCTGTCACTGAGGGGAGGATGCTATGTTCTCCTCCTTTTATAAAGATATTTTCAACAAACCATTTTATTGAGCTTCACTCAGATTATAACATCCATTTTAAGTTGTTTTACTGTTAAAACTTAGCAAATAACTCCTTCAATCCCTCGTAGAAGTACAGTATACAACCACATGTGTGCCGTGGAACTGCACAGAATCTGGTTTTGCCACTCCTTTTTGTTTCTAAAAAGGGAAATGACTGTTTTCTGCGTTTAGATGTTCATCTCACATCCCCGGTACATATAACCCTCCAACGTTTGTTTGTTTCTTGCGATACTCCTGAGCCACAGTATTTGCTGGAAGGTACATTTGTAAAGGGATTGTAGGTGTTAGAAGATGCTATTTACAGGTTTTATTAACATTACTGGAAACAATACTGGTTGTTGAGCTTGTTTGTGTATTTAAATGTATATCATTTCTGTATTTTCCTTCAACCGTATCCTGTCATCCATTCCGTGAAGTTCTTAAAATCTTTGCGAATTCTTTGAAGGACTGACTACATGAAGTCAGCAGGGGGGCTGAGATTTTGAAAACTGCAATATGAAGTGACATTTTACTCTGAATGTGACTCAGCTTTAAAAAGTCCAACATTGTACTTTGCCGTTTATACCCATGTGTACTAACTGAGTTGTTGGAAAAAATATGTGTATTTGTGTTTGTCCCAGGGCCAGAACCAGAGGATCAGCCCGTGCTCCACCCTGACCAGCAGCACTGCCTCACCCCCTGCAGGCAGCCCCTGCTCCACCCTCCCCCCTTCGATGCCTGGCCAGGCCGGCAACAAGGACTGTGCCTACGGTTCTGTCACCAGTCCCACCTCAACCCTGGAGAGCAGGGACAGCGGGATTATCGGTGAGAAGGCTGTGTTTTTTACATTTATACATGTTTGTTAAGACTAAGTCCCTACTCAGTCTGTGGCATCTAAAAGACACAAATCAGTTCAAATATATTTTGTATTATTATGAAAAAACCTAATAATTTCTGGGCACATTAGCAAGCATTACGTAAACAGGAACAAATAGTGCATTGGGTGCACTATTGTGTGTTTATAGCAGCAGGACAGTTTATGTGGAATTTGCTCAAATAAACTACAGTGCCCCAGGTCATCCAAATGAAGGAACTTGTCACCCAGTGCAAAGATGTTGAACACATTTTGGAGAACAATGGAGGTCTACGGCTACACAAACGATATTTATTTGCTGGACAAAATCATTGTTGATTATATTCTCTTCATGGGATTTGTTGACAGTGATAAAAATATAGATTATCACCAGCGTTTCTTGTAGAGAACATACAGAACACAACAATGGTTAATTAGATTTTTATTGTGTTCCTATATATTGTAGCGAGCTTTGTTTGTGCAACATTTAAATTATATTTATCATCATCATCCAAATTTACATAGTTGGATCCCTGCACTCAAAGACATCCCTTCCTGAGCAAATTCCATGCAAGTGATTGGGGACAAACTCTCCAGTTCTCATTCTGTGCAAAAATACATTCTGAAGTTCAGCTGAAGTTAATATGCAAATCAAGTGGGTATCTTCCAAAGTGGCAGTCTTTTTAGTATGATAATCCCTCTCTGTGTTTCCATGAAAGTGTTTCCTTGCTGAGCCGCAGCAGGAGGATAGTAGCACAAAGTGGGAATTTTGACCTAAAAAGACTGTTACTTTGGTTAATGCTAATTTGACTTGTCTTACAAATTGAGTACATTTTTGCAGGAAGAGAGAGACTTGTAGACTTTGTCACTACTGAAATCTCTAAGAAGGATTTCTTTGCTAGACTTGAAGAAATGTATCTTTTAAAAATTAATCAATAAAGGTTGATTTCAAGTGGTAAAGAAACCAAATTAAAGCATGTCTATAAAGTATGTGATTTAAAAAAAAAAAGATATAGAAGGAGCTGAAGTAGTCAAACTTACCTGCTCAGACAGGTAGCTCTGGAGTCTGGGATACCTGATGGTTAAAAGTTGTGACAGTCAGTAGGAACATGCCTAAGGATGTAGCTTGTTCCCATAACCCAAAAGGGACTCTCTTGCCTCCATTGCATCGCAATGCTTTTTCCAAACCTGGGTGCGAACCAAAAAACGTACCTGACTCCTCCTGATTGGAGTGGTCAGTTTCCAGTAAAACTGCTATATTTTTCATGCACATTCAGAGCCCGCCTGTACTCCCACTGGAAGACAATTCAGGTGCCCACATCATATAGACATCAACCATGGCACCCTTGCATTGTTAGCAGGAAAACAGGAGCGGTATAATGCTCACTGATGTGAGGTGTTTTCTGTCAAAACCGGTGCCAACGTTGTTTCCTGGCAACAATGGTGAACACCTGCAGATTGATTCAGAACAACAGTAAATAGGTGTGAAAGCAGACAGGCTGTAACTGGTGGAGGGAGGATGGTCAAACTCAAACAACCCCAGTGAGAAAATGGCCTGAAAGTGTGACACATATTCCTCACAGTGAACATACATAACAGCACTGAAGACAATGTTGTTTTCTTTTGTCGCAGCCACACTGACCAGCTATTCTGAGAACATGGAGCGAGGCGGCAAATACGGCGAGGGCTCCCGGGGAAACCTGAAACTGTGGCAGTCCCAGAAATCAGGCATGGATTCGTTCCTGTACAGGGTGGATGAAAACATGACCGCCTCCACCTACAGCCTCAACAAAATCCCTGAGCGCAACCTGGAGAGCATGTCCTCCCACTCTGCCCACTCCATCCCTCTGTACCTCATGCCCCGCCCTAATTCTGTGGCTGGTGAGTCCCTTCCTCTTTCCCTCCCTCTCCTGTTAAAGTAGAAAAGGAGGGTTGTCTCAGGAGCCAGAAATAAGGATGTTTACAGGTGCATGGGCATGCAGTGTGCAAATTTTGCCAAATGGCTTTTCTGGCAAATTTGGATTGAACTGCTGGTTCTGAGTCATGTTACACCCTATTTCTGACTCCTTTAGTGCTCCCTTTTCACTCCTTTCAAGCTTCCTTTCCTTGCTTGTTCTCCTACTAGATGAACTGTGACCCCTCCCTTTGAATTCTTTAATGTCCATTTCTGTGATCACAAATGAAATGAGACAATGAAACAATATTGAAAAGAGAAAAGGAATATATTACTTCATATTTTTGAGGAACAAATCCAACCTTGTCTTCTTAAATTGTATCGTGCCAAAAAGGTCTTATCAAGTATCTTTAGACTTTCTTGCCAAATGTAACTTTCCTACAACTCAGCTGTCAAAGTATATATACTATATATGCTTTCACTACTTTCAAAATCATTCTCCTTTCCTTATCTCTCACTTGCTATTAGCAGCAATGTCACCATTAAGATTTTACCCATAAATATTACAAGTATTTGTAAAATATTGGGATTAGCCAGCAGTTTAAGAGGGGAAGATTTAATCTGTGAACTGCTCTAGATATTCTGTGAAGAAAATTTTATACAAACACCAAAGCTCCAGACCACATTTCTCCCACAAATCTGGGATAAATCAGGCCGAACTTCCTAAAATCTGAGCCTGGTGTTTGGAGGAGCTCAATTGTGGTTCAGTTTGTTGTAATTTCTACAACATTTTTTGATTATCTAGGGAAGAAACAACTCTTGTTTCCAAATTTCATGGGGTTATGTTGAAATTTGGGGTAGCTGCAAATCCTCAGTGGTATTTTGTAAAACTCTCACAGCCCTCTGGTGTGGACTGAAACCACAGAGCAGAATAATACAGTCTGGGAAAAACAGCTTCAGCGGGAGAACATACTGCGGCTGGAAGAATATCACACAGGAAAACTGGCATTTGTCTTGCTGACAGAGGTCTCATTGATGTGTGTTTCTTATTGTAGGCCACAGCTGCCTCAAAAAGGCTCCCAAAAGTAACAGTAAATATATCGGGAGAAATGTCAGTTTCATAACACTGAGACAGTCCTAACGGGGCTAATTTTGTTATTGTGCTCATCATCAGAGTGGCTGTTGCAGACGATGAGTTGCTCTCACTCCCACTGGAAAAAGTGTGTGTGCACGTACAATAGACACGCATATGTAGTTCACTAAACACTGTATTATGCCTGACAAGGCCTGTCGCTGCAGCTATGACCCTTTCTTTATGCCGGTCATGTTCTGCTGTTTGACACTGCTGTCTGGCAGCGCAGCGACTCTGCCAGGTTTAGAGATTCGCCCTCGATCACGTCCCCGCCCCTCGATCACGTCCCCGCCCCTCGATACCCAGACCTTCAAAGGAGACTGAGTGAGCTGGAGACGGCTTTAAAGACACACTATAAGCTGCAGATGATGCAACAAATACAATAAAAAGAAGAGTGAGTGAGGGAGGCAGTGAGCGAACAATGTTTCTGAAGGCATTTTTATTTGTCAGGAACAGGAATTCTGTATCGAGGAGAGGGAGATGGATGCATGTGGAAGAGGAGTGAAAGAGAGTTTCATAATCTCTCTCTCCCTCTCCTCCACAAAGAATTATTAGATGATGTAGGGATGGGAGGCAAGCACAGGCTGAGGATTGGCTGGGCTCACACAGCAGTGGAACATCAAAGCCCCAGGCATTAACCGTTTCTATCCCCCAGAGTGACAGAGAGACTCACTTTGATGTGTGGAGAGCGAGGGAGAGAGATACGGAGCGAGAGCAGAAGGCGACTGGGGAGGAAAAACGAGGAGGGAGGGGGCTACTTTATTACCTAATGAAGGCAGTGCGTTGGTAGAGCTTAAGATGGATATGGAGGAAGGAGTAACCAAGACGGAGTATTAAATTTTCTCTCTCCCTCCATGGTCCTAATACTGCTCAGGAGTGTAGTTGATCAGAATTTAAAAAGGAGTCTTTTTTCATATATATTACTTTGACATTTTTCTAAGTAAGTAAAGATAAGAAGTGAAAAATGAAAGAGATACTAGAGTGATTCAGTATTGTGCTTCCCTAAGGTTGGATGACCCACAAGAGACAGAAATAATGTTTGATATTGATGCAGCAGAGAGATTCTAACCTAATGTAATACGTGGAAAATGCTAGATCCTTCATTTCCTATAATGCAACTAAATTAAATAACTAAAAAAGCATCTTTTCTTAGACCCTCGCTGCCTGGTTAAAAAGCCACTTAACACCCTGGTTAAGCTTGAACACATGACCTTCACAAACAAAAGAAGGCATTCAAACTCTGACACACACCCTCGACCACCTCCTGCTACTCTTAGTTCCTTGCCAGTAGCCTTTCATATTCCATGCTGTCCACACTGCTGACAGTTGACTGCTGTATTTATATGTCAGAGGGTGGGGGGGTGAAGGTGACGTTACCTGGCAGGGTGCCCCAGGGGACTGCATGGATTTTTCCCAAGATATTCTGAGGGTCAAGTCTAAAGAATAGCTGGAAAATAACTTCTATTGTCAAAAAAGTTTAGAAAAGGTGAAATGAAAAGAAGTTTGGGATGTCACACTGCAACAGGAAAATATTAAACCTCAAAAGACAAATCCATCAAAACTTGATCCATATAGGGTTGCAGACGGTTAAAAAAACATGTTGACAGTGGATGGAAGAAGAAAATTACCAACCTGTCTTTCTTGAAATGGAGTACTTGTTAGTCACCAGATCTCACTGTGAATAACTGTCAGCTTTGTAAAGAGCGGTTCCAGTTCACCTCCACTGTACATGGGCGGAGGCACAAATTTTAGACACTGATTCTTCAAATCCTCTGCCAACAAAACAAAACTTTGCTGAAAGTGTCTTTTTATGTTGAGTGAACTGACCCTTTGAAATTGCCCTATTGAAGGATCTATATGCCCCAGCTTAGATAACTGCCTAGGGATTAGGGAATCACTACTCATAAAAAGACTAAAGGGCTATAAAAGACACTCTGAGATTCAGTGAACTCACTGTATAGTCTCTAAATTCACTAAATTAAGATCACAGCTCACCCGAGATAACATTTTTCAATTTTGGGGGCGGACAAGTGTCATTGATTTCCATTTTATCCTGATTTCCTTTTTGTCCCTGATCCCACCTCTGCTTATATACCCGGAAATATTATTGTTTAAATACCAGGACCTCCATTATTTATCATCTCAAGTCATCTCTCGGGGAGAAGAGAGAAGAATGGTGAGGCGTTTAAAGCACCAGCAGCCACCTCATATCTGAGATGACTCGTCGGCTCCCCGGCTGATACTGTGACTGTGGCTCTGGACTGCAGCCCAGCTGGTCTTTGAGTGTGTGCACGTGTGTGTGTGTGTGTGTGTGTGTGTGCGCGCACTCGCATGCGTTCACACTATCAGTCACTCCTTTAAACAGGAAGTGTCTGATGTGGCTGTCATTGCCCAAAGCAGCGAAGCTCTCCGCTGCACAGTTAGACTTTTTCTCACTTTCTTTTTCTTACTCTCACTCTTCCGTACTTGTTTTTCTTTCCTCTTTATTTCTTTTCACTATGCGTGCAGTCTTAGCGCATTGGCTCAGGAACTGTGAATGTGATCCCCAGCAGCCTGCTGCATTGCAGATAGAGATGATGAGCACACAGATTTGAGTCCTCACATTCAAACACAGTTGAAAGAGAGAAAAAAAGGAGCCTTTCCAGCCCTGAGTCATTCTTCCTTGGTTTAGCAGCAGATTAATGCCTCCACTGTCTCCACTTTTAGCCCAGTTGGATGACCAGCACCCCCATCCCCATCAGGGCCAAGCCTCCAGCATTCTCAGCTGCCATTTTCCCTCCATTTTGGGAAACCCATGTGGCTCATTTTTGGGTCCATGACTGGGGTGACTCAGACTGTCAGCAACACACACACACACAGCCGCACACATGCTCAGTACTTCACTGGGCTTAACTCCAGCGGCACAGAAACCACTCTTTGAACCAACAGGACAGGATCAGTGTTGAGGTGCCGTTGAGTTTTTCCCTGGCGAGAGGTGGTGGGCTCAGTGGCCCGCCTCTTGAAGGGATTACTGTGCCTTTTTTGAGTGACTGGAGAGCAAGAGAGACAGAGGATATTATTAAGAAGAAACATGCATTACCAGTCACACCTTTCCCCAACTCCTTGAATTTGATTTGGGATCTGAGGACCTCGGAGTATTTCAGGTATAGTGTCAGAGAAATAGGATTACCAGCTTCCGGTTTATTACAAGTTGGACATTATTTTTGTAGCTTTGTCCATCAATTCTGTCGGCCATGATAACATTATATTGGCCAAGTTAATTGCTGAGATCTGGGAACACGCTGACACAATCAGATGGGGCATGAAACACAAGCATGGGTTTTAAACAGTATCCAGCTTTGCCAAATTAATTTTGGAGAGAAAACAATAGCAAATCATTACCCAAGTTGTCCATTGTAAACACCCATCATAGTTTATAGACCAACTTTCCTGTTCTATGAGACAATATTACCATCATTTCGGTTTTCATCTCCAAATCCAGTAGTTCAGGTAATCTAGATAAAATGTTGACTTAATTACAACCTGTCCAATTGTTTGATTGCGCCATTGGACTTATGGTTTCCAGGTCTCAGAAATTACCCCAGTTAATACACTTTTCGTGTAATTTAAATGCTACGAAGTCCCAGACTGTCTCTAATATTCTGTCCTCTATCACCACCTCTTTATCTTTTCTTTATTACTGCATTAGTAGAGTTTATTCTTCCCAAATTTCCCATCAGAGCATTTGTTGTCTTATTTTAAATGGACAAACTAAATGACCCCTACCCACAACTTCTGGATGGTTAAGTCCCTTAATCTCTCCTGGATTTTTCATTGTTCAGAGTTTCTTGTCCTTCACTTCCTCACCTCTAACTGAACCGTGGGGTTCAGGTGTGACAGAGAATCGAGTCCATTGCTTACTCACACTGGCGGCGTCTGATCTAATTTAACATTCACTGGTTCCGAGCGTTGGCCCTGAAGACACAGCGTGGTGTGAACAATCAGCAGCCAGCGTCAGACGGCGCTCACTCCATGAATAAGACATTTGTCTGCTGAGCTAATTAATCCTGAGAGGGGCCGGATGGCATCTGCCTCCGTGCCGCGTGACAGACACTGAGAGGAGGGAATTTTAGGACAGAACCATGTAGGGCTGGCTTGTTCTTTCCTGTAGGAGTTAGCAAGAATGAAAGCGGGAGCCTGACAACTGCCTCCGGACACTGGCATGAACCAATGGCACTTTCTTATTTGTGTGTGTGTGTGTGTGTGTGTGTGTGTGTGTGTGTGTGTGTGTGTGTGTGTGTGTGTGTGTGTGTGTGTGTGTGTATATATATATATATATATTATGGGTTTGTTTACTGTTTGTGTCAATGTACATATGCATGCTGACAGTATAATTTTGTTCGTACTCTGAAATATCCCTCTCTCTCCTTTTCTGTATGCTTCTCACACACACAAACACACAACAACAGCTACCAGTTCAGCCCACCTGGAGGACCTGGCATACCTGGATGAGCAGAGACACACTCCATTACGCACCTCGCTGCGCATGCCCAGACAGAGCACCACCTGTGGGCCGGGTCGCTCCGGGCCGGACCTGAGAGGTGAGCAACCAGGCAGAGTTAAAGAAAGCACACACACACACACACACACACACACACACACACACACACACACACACACACACACACACACACACACACACCCAAACACAATGAATCTCACTATCCCCCTCAGGACCACTGAGAGCTTGGTCTCCTGTTTAAGCCACAATTTGGAAAATACAGGTACAAATTCAAGATATAAAGGAAGTATTATAGTTATAGTAAAGAGGAAAAACACAGTCAAAAATATTACATCGGGGGCGTTCTTGTAGCCTAGTGGTTAAGACAGGTACCGTATAATGGTTGGTTCAATTCTGGCCTCTGTCTCCCTCTGTTTCTAAAATCTAAATGAAGAAAGATATCAAGAGATGATTAAGACATTTTGAGTTTGTTTTTCTGTTCAAATAGGCAAAAATGTCTCATTATTTTTATTTGAACTGACAGGAAATGAGAGAAGAGGGAGAAATAGGGAATTACATGCAACAAGTCCATGACTGAACTCAAACCGGGGGTACTGCAATTGCACTTTCATCATTTTAAACCCGTAAAAGCCCAATTTATCCAAACTGCAGCAAAAAACTACTAACAAAAAGCTGTTTGCCACAAGAGATACTGCACTGAAAAGGCTGGCTGTGACAGTGCGATCCTATATGCAGACATTTGCAGGTGAAAAGCTGTGCAGACCACAAAGCAATCAACCATCATTTACTTTGACTTTGACTTTAAAAAAGCTCGTTTGTTTTTTAAGTTGGGCTGCGATTAGCCAGTAGCTTCACATCAGACAGCGTGCAGAAGCAAACAATAGGGCACTGTTTTGTTTTCATCCACAAACAACACAACTCAAAGCAGCTGAGCATCTCAAGGAAAACCTTCAAAAGAAAGTCAATGACGGTTGATTTGCAGTTTGCAGGTTGTATAAAATGCAAATGTCTGCATGAGTTCAGTAGCTATGCTCCCCGTCTCTGAGCTGTGTTTTGTTTTTGTGTGTCTGAAACAGAGGAGTGAGAGAGTGCACAAAGAGAGTTTTGTCAGTTGTGTCACCACTAAGCTAAAATTTGTCTTAGTGCTTAACATTCACAGTCAGCATGCGCTCCACTGCACACTGTTCAAGTCACAGCAAGCGTCTTCCGTGATCAAGCAAATCTCCTCAGCCTCCTCACCAAATGGCAAAATGGCCAAATGGCCTTATGTCACACCGTTATGTGTCACCTCGCCTTTCTTTTTCTACCACTTAGCAGGTAATGAGCACCGTAATGGCAGTCCTCTGCAATCCAAGCGAACACAAATATGCGTCCCTGTGTGTTTTAAACACCTGTTTAGACCCCACTTAGCTGAGAGTGCGCTCGGCTGAGCTGCGACGTGATTCCCCTGCCTGAGGGCAGCTAGCTGCAGACAAATAGAGAGTGAGAGAGTGTTAAAAAGAAAGTGAAAGATAGGGAGAAAGACTTAGATGGACACAGATACAGAGAAGAGGCTAGGGGAGAGTTGGTTCATCTCAAAGCTTCACTGTTACTGCCAGAGCCACTTGTTTTAACCTTCCTCCTCTAAGGGCAGCCAAGTGTGTTTACATGCCAACTGACTGCATCCTAGCATGCGTTCTGCCTCCTTGGATCACTGTCAGAGCCTCCCTGAGAGCACTGCTCCTGCAGTTTCACCAGGAGAGACAGAGAATGAGAGAGAGGGAGACAGGACTTGGAGGCAAGCGACATGTAGAACAGGGTTTTCCCCCGCAGAAGATATGAGGGCAAATTCAAAATGCTTTTATTCCAGATATATTGTTATTTCTGAACTAATAGACTTACAAATATGAAATCACTGAATAAATGATTCGTTGGTTACTTGATTGGTTTTTGCATGTCAAGTTGGTAAATTCAAGACTTAAAGGTTCATTGCCTGTCTGACATTTTGGTTCAGAGCAAGATAACTAGTGTCCAGATTGTGATGTAATTCGGCATGAATATTCAGGGTTGCAGAGGATGATTCATGATTTTGTGACCTCCCCTGTCCTTTTGCAGAGTACTTTGGAGCACTTTCGTGCTCTCTTAAGCCTGAACCCTTTTCATTTCTGACACGCGATTAGTATCGCTCATCTTCGGCCCATTGTACACAAGATATGTAATGACTGGATTGCCATAGTTCCCAGAGGATGAACCATGGTGCCTGAGATGATCCCACAGCCTCTCACACAAAATGTGCAATAAATAACAATTACAGGATGTGGCATGTGATTTTAGACATTACATTGGCTGCATTTATTACATTATTAGTCTGCCTCTGAAACCACAAATAGTTGGACACATTGTGTCTCAGAAAGAGTCTGCTTGGTTGTTTTGCATGAGACTGCTGCATGCAGACTTACAGATGAACTGGAGGAGAAGAAGACTTCTGGTTATGTGTTGGTCAGGTGGTAACCAGCTGACAGATGCAGCTCTCTCTCTCTCTCTCTCTCTCTCTCTCTCTCTCTCTCTCTCTCTCTCGGCTGGTTTTGTCGAAGCTTCTTTTGATGCTGGCCGTTGGAGGCCGAGCTGTGCTGCTGTTTTGAGGAGAGTGAGTCAGACTGTAATGGACCTTCTTGTGCTCCTGCCTGCCTACCTCTAAGATTTACCACCCACCTCATATATTCAGCACAAACTCACTCACATAACTGTGCACTGCACACACATTTTCTCCCTCGTTTATCTTTACTTTTCCTCTTTTTGTCTTTGCCCCCCCCTCCCCAACCATCCGCTTTCGCTGTCTTTCTACCTCTGCTCGCATACACAAAACATATTTTCAACTCCAGAGGGCTTTATTACTCGCTTCTAAACTTCCTGACAGGGGCTGCAACTTAAATAATGAGTCTTGAGCACTGTCATCGATGTGTCACAATGTGTATTCATCCCCAGCTGAAAATATTCCCCAACAAATGCACTATTTACTCCTGTTCGAGTAACGTTTGTAAAAAAACGACTGTTGTTTCAGGAAATTACTGAGCTTCTTTTTAAAAATGAAGCTATATATTTGCATATATTTATTATTTAATGTTTACTGTACATCTCCAGTTGGAACCCATGGGCTTGGCGCTGACTGCCACAGACAGGGAAGTCATAAAGTATTCAAAGACTCGTATATTGTTGAAAGGTTAGTCCCCAATCCGAATTTCAGATTTCAGATTTCAGATTTCATATTATCTGCCTATACCAAGTCACGATCCGATTTTTATTTATTTATATGCCAGTTTCACTAGCATTGTAGTAAAACTAGAACACTCAAAATGAGTCATATAATCACAACAAAACACACTAACTGATGGAGGCAGCCGTGTTCTGAAGGTAAAATTACTGTTTTTGTCAATGCATTCTGGGGGCTTTGTAGAGAGCATGATATTAACAGCTGTTTCTACTTAAACAAAAAGGTCTCTGTAAGGATAATTTTCCATAATGTTGTTAGTTGCACTTTTAGTGGACCTACTTTGACTGCCACATTTACCTCAGAGGATTACTTTGCACCTATTTTGCGGCTGCTGCACAAAACCTTTTGTACTTATCTTAAGATAAAGGCTCAGGCTTAGGTTTATGCTCAATATAGGCGATACCGATCAGGTAAAAAATTCCTTGATCGTCCCCGATACCTATCTTTGCGATCGGATCGGGACATCCTTAATTGTTAGGTGTGATCATTTTAATGGGATTTTTTGGCAACAAGAAAAATATAGAATAAGGGCAGCCGTAATGAATATCCGTTGAAAAAAAAAACAGTTTTAGATTTACATGAATTTGAATTACTCTTCTGTTTATAGTAAACATTCATTTACTGAAAACACAGGCTAAAGGAGAAGCCCCTATTGCTGTCATAGCCAAGTGAGTTAGATAACAGTCTAGATTTGATGATGGTGCATGAACATGTTTGCAACAAAACAACTGACAATGGCAAGTTTCAACTGACAATGACGAGTTTCAGATGATTATCTGGCCTTTATCACCTGTTATTCACATTGTTTGACACCACCGATTTAATCTGTTTTGTTCTCTCATCTTAATCTGAACAGTAGTTTTTCCTTTAAACAGTCTAGAATTTGAGATGTGATATGTAGCTCTGTCTTGGGGTTCCTTTTAGCATCTTATATAACATATTGACATACATTTTCTCCATTGCTTGGCTCCAAGACATAAAGAAAGTCAAATAGCATGTGCTAAAATTACAATTTGAAGAAAGATTAAAAGTACATTTTCTGAAGAGATGCATTAGTCATAAGCACATTCAGGTTTATTGTGTTGCTCTAAGCCTACTGTGAAAATTACGTAAGATTAGATTTTTTTTAAAAACAGAAATTATGTAAGATCCTGTTGGTGTTGCATATGCTAGCTGTAGCTCTACATCCACTGTCACAAGACTGGAATTTTAACTGTATGTCTGAAAAACCAGACAGCAGAAAAAAAAAAAGTCACACATTCACAAACTCCTACATCAAAAGTGTTTCACCTGACCTAAAATAACCCCCCACTGCACTCCCCAGACCCCTCTCAACACAACAGACTGATCATCTAAACCGCTTCTCTTCCTCCTCCCATCGTTTCCTCTCTTCCTCCACCTCTGTGCCAGCTCTACCCTCCTCTTCTCCTCCTTCTCTTCTCCTCCCCTACTCTCCCCCCTTCCCGTCCTCTGCTCCTCTCCTCCTCTGCTTCTTATCTTCATCCTCCTCCTCCTCTTCTTCCTCCTTCTCAAGGCTGTTCAGCCACCGTGAGTCATCCTCACCTGGTGAATAATTAAAACGTCTGAGACTCTCACTCCGTCTGGCCATAGAGGGTTGGTGGTGGAGGAGGAGGAGGAGGAGGGGGAGGGAGGTGCAGTGATACCTCGCTCAACGTCGCCTGAGGGGGAGTGTTATGGGCAGGATTATGAGCAACTGCTATCCATCCATCCTTCTCTCTCACAGACACACACACACACACACACACACACATTTGCTTTCACCGTCCCGGAAACAACTCCCTCAGCCCCCGTTCACAACATGGCTGCCATGTTTTTCCTGGAATACCTGACACAGTGGAGCAGTAGTGGCTGCACAACCTACTGCGCACAAAGTGGTGTAATCGTTTCTGCCATTTGGAGGATGGTGCCCGATAGTGCGAGGGCGTGTTCAGTAATTCCACGAGGACGGAAGGAGCTTTACAGGCACGTTTGGCATTCAGTCACCCCCAAGATAATTGGATTAGCGCCACTTAAAAAAGAGTAGCTGTGGGTATTTAGCCTCTTACTTCAGTAGCTTATGGTATTGTAAATGGCAGCATTGGATAGTTTTCACATTTCTCATCACCAGTGTTGCATCAGGTCCATTCTTTCACAACGTGACACCCAACTGGAAGAATATTACATCAGTTTTGTGAATTATAGACAGAATAGACACTCTCTGTCTCTTTGTCTCTCTCTGAATGTGTGTGTTTATGTGTGTGTGTTTGTTGAGTTAGCAGTAAAATAGTCTGACCAGGGAATATGGATGAAATGTCTTTTATTACATCGGGCTGCAGCTGGCACAGAGCTTAGTGCAGTAAAATGCAGTGCTGGCCGTGCTCTCGGTATAAAATGAGGACAGCTTTTCACCCACTTCAAGGTATATCTGTTTGTACTTTTTGCTGATTGTATAAGTAGGATTCCTCTCAGCATGATCATCGCATTTCTTTTCACCCAGCGATTATAATTAGAATTCCTGGGAAAAAAAATGAAAAAGTCCTGCTTGCAACAGCACTTTGGAGTGCTGTGTGGTAAAAGAATACATTAAGAGCAATATCAGCTCATTATGTTACGTAGCAATGCTCCCAATCAGCACACTGGAGTCGTTTACTGAAGACATACAGCTCTAATGCAACAATCACTGCCTCCCTGCCCCCCTGATACATTTTGCAGCACCGTACCTGCACACAGTATAGAAATTTCTGCCGACACACAAAAATTCTGCAGGCTTTCACCACCTTATCGGACCAGTCTAATGTATGATACATATTTCTTACAGGTCTGACTCACAGTGTGCTCGTTGCTAATATGCTGCAGAGTGTGAAATGAACCACTGCACTGGCTATCATCTGACAAAGCAGCTATTTCTCACTGCACACTGCAAGAATCTGATCAAATTTAACCTCAGTAAAAGAACCAAAAGACAGACTGAGGAGAAAATCCGATTTTACAGCTTGTCCGAGGACGTCAAATTTGAGATTTTTCTTGTATTGAGGTTGATTACTTTATGCTAAGATGTGGCTGACTTTAACAGCCTGTAACACACGCAGAGTAGTCTTTGGAGTTTAGGTTGGAGTCTCCCGTCCCAGGGTCGAATTACTACTAGAACTGGATTCAGTTATCTATATTGGGATTGACTGATCTTGCCCGGCGCAATGGAACCAATTAAATTCTCCCAAAAGTGCAAGCATTCCCCAGCCTCTCCGACTGACATGCTGAGGAATAAGCTTGATGTAATTCAAAGGATTTCAATTAGGAATCGACCCCGGTCTGGTGGTTCCCTGTATTTCTGACATCATGATGTGCTGATGCTATTGCTGCTTCCTCTTTTTTTTGGGGGGGTTTTGTTGTTGAGCTACACCTTGCCCTGTGCTCTGACACACTGCACACTGCTGCCAGTTTTCATTCCTGTCCTCACTGCCTTTCTTTCTCCCCTCTCTCATTACTCTCTGTCTACTTTCACTCTCTTTCTGTCTCCCTCTGTCTTTTGCTTGCTGTTCGTCTCAGCTTCCGCTAATAACACCCATGCCTGGCAATCCCAGTCACGTAAGTCACTTTAATTTTCATTTGTTGCATCAGGCGGCATGTTCCGCGTCCTGGCGCCCTGCTTGCTGACTAGTGCTTTACAAGTCAAAGTGCTCTAGTGGAGAGTGGCAAACTCTTGCCAGCAAAGTGTTTGGATTATTCACGTACCACTCTCATTCTAAATCAGGCGTAATTACCAGATGCTGATATAACATTTAAAGAAAATGACACACCAGATAGAAGAGAGCATGTTTTTTATTCTCAAAGCTCAAGTCGGTTTTAAAGACGGCACCCAGGAGATGACACCCAGAAGCAGCCGACTAAATTTTACACTGAATTTATCACACGGCTTCAGAAGTTCATACCAGATTCATTTTACCCTCATTAGTCTTTAATGGTCCATATGTTCTGTTGAAAAGATGCCCAACCTCTGGAGGACTTTAGTTTAATGACTCCCTCTAGTGAGTAAAATCAACAGTCTGCAGTGGTTGTTAAAGTAGTCACTCCCCTTGACTTTTTAAAAATTTTCTTTTGCAACAAAATGCATCTAAAACACACAAGTCAGGACTGTTGAAGTAGTCACTCCCTTTGAACTCTGAAGCTGAATTGTCTTGCTTTCTGTATATATTATCCCTTCACTTCATCTTTAACTTTGTAGTTTCCAAACCTGCTCAAATTTAACCTGTGGAGGACATTTTATACCCAGCCCCTCCGTGTATCTTTAAAGGCTTTAAGGGTACAGTTAGCTACTGAATCCTGGAGCACAATAATATACCTTTTACATTTAAATCATTCATCAATCATCAGAATATATTTAGTCTCAGAAGGAGCACTTTAGCTTTTTTTAGAGAGAGAAATAACATGAATATTATTGGTTATCCTTTATTTTTATCTTTATATTTGTAACCTTAAATGTCACATAAATACACGTATTTTGTTAAATAAATGTGTAAAAGAAATTGGTGCTGAATTTATGGCCATATAATGCAGCAATGTCAAAGTGAAAGCAACTAACATTCCTTTAAACAATAAAGAAAAAATAATGAAATACTTGCTTATGCATAGATATGTGGGTGTTTCTGTATTTGCATACATATTTTTATATATATTATATGTTAATCATATAGGCTCCAGTATGTATGCACCCGTGACTGAGTATTATTAGCATGTTATTATAGGAGCTTTTTATATACATAACTCATCCTATTTCAGTTTCCAGATGCATTACTGTAATGAGGAGACTAAGTACATAAATGTGTTTTTTAACAGTAATAAAACTAACCAATTCTTGATGTCCCGCCAGTGCGTTTTGCACCCTATCGGCCTCAAGACATCGCCCTCAAACCTCTGCTGTTTGAGGTGCCCAGCATCACCATGGACTCTGTCTTCACGGGTCGCGAGTGGCTCTTCCAGGAGATCGATGCCCATCTCAACAGTCCCAATGCCAGCACCAACCGTGGCGTGGCGGTAGTAGGCAACATCGGCTTTGGCAAGACCGCGATCATATCTCGCCTGGTGGCACTCAGCTGCCACGGCACCCGAATGAGGCAGATTGCCTCCGACAGCCCTCAGGCCTCACCCAAACGTAGGCATCCACTTGTTTCTACACATGATTTCTTCGCCTGTTTTGCTTCTAGACTTTCTGATTACCACTGAAGACCATGATTCTTCCCTGAATTCCATCTTAAAATCAATCTCACCTCAGCCTTTGTTGTGAGAATAACAGTGTGAAAAGATTGCATGAATGTGGTGTGCTGTCTTGTGTCCAGATGGAGAGGGGCTCCCTCTCACCCAGCCCCAGCCCACTCATGGCACCCTGGGCGGAGGCAGCTGTCCCGGGACCCCTGAGATGAGACGACGTCAGGAAGAAGCCATGAGGAGGCTGGCATCTCAGGTACCCGATACACCTCTGACCATGTACACACACATTTACATTTCAGCCTCTGATTCACAGACAAAACACATTTCCAAAATAATATGAATAGAACATTTGTCTCAGAGTACTTAAATACTTACGGTTGATTGGTGTGTGCTTTACTTGTTCTCCTCCCATTGGCGTCCTTTTTCAAATGCAAATTATCTATTTTATTTTGCCAGTTGCTGTAGAAATAAGTGTGCTTGTAGAGATTTTAATATGACATTTTCAGCTTTGAGTTGATTGGCATATATTAACAAGAAGATAAGTACACAAACCCCGTCCTCTCACAGTGCTTTATTCATCATAGAGTAGCACTGCATACGTGATTATTAAAAGGAAATATTGCTGTGTCACTAAAATGGCTATTGTATAATAGTAATTTCCGTTGTGTCATTTTCATTGTTTTTGTGGTTCAGGGTGAAATTTTCTCTCCGTCTGTAATTGAAAATTTGCAAGATAATTTTAAATGGCTCCTTTTTATGTCTTAATTTTTCAATTAGTGACAACATAGGTGGTAGGATAGCCAATGATTTGCTCTTTTGTAAATTGCCTTTGCACAATACAAGCACGGACACGGCTCAGGTTCTGTGAGAAATGATACGGTTTCAAGCTTTTGAAAGAAAGTCAAAGTTTTGTGCCACCTGAAAGCTGTCATGGACTCACACAGGGTTTGCGCCTGAGGTGGTCGACTTCAAAACAAGCGGAGATAAGTTGAGGCTTTGTTTTTACCTCTTTTTTTTTCACTTTCAAGGTTTTGTGCCTTTTTTATGTTTAATGTTGGCTTTTCAAACAATATTACTGTAGTATTTAACTTGTTGTAACCTGTAATGTAAACCTATATAATGTGTGAAACGGGCTCCCTTTACTTCTCTTCTTCCTGTCTGCTGTTGCATCTCGGTCCCCCCTCCCCTGCTGCTTAGCCATCTGCATCCCCAGTCCCAGCCTGATGCATTATGCAGATGTGTTTAAAAAAGAAAAAACAACTTTGCCAGGGAGCCTTATGAAATATTTATACCTGCAGAAAGCCATTTCCCAGCCAAGCTATTAGATCTTGTTAACTCTGTGCATTAATAATTGAGCTCACTCCCTTTTTCACCCCTTTTGTTTTAAAGTCCTCTATTCCATTGTGACCAAAAATTAGCATTCCATTTTGATTAGTCCCTTTGCCCTCTGATCGCTGCCATTGCCTCTGAAAATTCAAACTCTTTGTGATCTCTCAGTCCCCAGGAGTGCTTGGTTATACCTGCTGCTATTGTTTTGTTGCCTGACCTCTCGGAAAACGTACCTGCCCTGGACTATTTTATAACGTCACCACATGTCCGTGCAAAAACTTTTTATTCATTCACTCACTTAATCATTCATTTAAACATGTTATGAGTACCTAGCTGTGAAATACGACAGTTTAACGCTTGACTCCTTCGTGCCACAATCATCCAACACATGAGCATGCATGAGCTAACTCCGAATCAGTCTCTCTTGGCAGCCGGAAGCGATGAATTATTAATAGCTGAAACCGTACAGCGAAACGAGAAGTATTATGTTTCATTATACTGCAATCATCCACCATGAAGTTGACTCAATCCCAAATGAGTTGTAGCTGTAGTAGACGCTGGGAAAACTAGCTCTGCTCTAAAAAAAACAGTGTTATTTCTAAAAGTGTGTCATCTGGCTCCCATGCTCCCTGACACTGATCTTCAATCAGTTTTGCAATACCCAAAGGTTGGTCAAGGTTAGGATTATTAGAATGGAAATAGAAGTATTCACCTTTCTATTTCTCTGAGTGACCTGGCTGCAATCTTCTCCCAACTCTCTGTCGCCCCCAGGTGGTGGCGTACCACTACTGCCAGGCAGATAACGCCTACACCTGCTTGGTGCCGGAGTTTGTGCACAACGTGGCGGCTCTGCTGTGCCGCTCACCGCACCTCGTTGCCTACAGGGAGCAGCTGCTGAGGGAGCCACACCTACAGAGCATCCTGAGTCTGCGCTCCTGCGTCCAGGACCCCCTGGCCTCCTTCAGGAGGGGGGTCCTAGAGCCCCTGGATACACTTTACAAAGGTGATACACTTGCAGTCAAATATAGTATCAACTCCCAGAAAGTGGAGGTATTAGTTGGGTCTGTTCAAGTTAGTTTGCTTGTGAAAGTGATTTAAATTGAAGCTTATACACCAACGCAGGGATCAAAGCACTCAAAGAAAGAAATTAAGGGGGAAAACAAGTATAATATCGTGCAAAAAGAAAACTTTAAAAGCGCTTTAAAAAGATAGATGTGCCGAGTAAACTTTATTCCATGAGCTGACTTTTAAATGTGCGTTCTTCAAAGGTTAAAGGGAAAACCATGGCATTGTATTCATCTCTCCTGGGGGCGAATAATCTATCGAATAAAAACATTTCATAAATTTAAACAAAAACAATCAGAACTACAGTAATCTATAGCTCTAAATGATTAAAGGGCCTTTCAAAGTCTTTCTGCCTGCTGTTCAGTTGGTATAACATTGATTTATTCGCTCTGTTTGTCAGAATGTTTTCACGATATTCATAATAAACTGGAATTTGTAATAATTTAAAGTTATTGGCCTCACTTTCAAACACAGTGCTTTTGGCAATTTCTAACTGATGCCTCTTCAGACCTCAGTATCCAATTTATTCTTTCACTCGAATCCTTCGGTGCGTGATATTAGATGCTTCTTGTGTACAATGTACTCAATATACTCAAGATCAAAGTTCTTAATCTCAGTGCTGGAACTGAATTTTTCTTAAACCTCCAAACTTATTAAACCAAGCCAAGCTTCACGGATAATATTGTCCCATGTTTTCATTTTAAATAGAGATAACAAACTAAATCTGTGATCATTGATTAATTGCATGGGAAGTGAAAAAGAACTTATTAACGGCTTAGCCAGAAATGCAAAGCATTTATTAAGGACAAGAGGCAGGTTTGACAAAAAATAGGTCCAACTTACTTGTTTCCAAGCTTCTGCTGAGGAAGGCCATGAAATGTGGGTAAAAGCTCTGGAAACATCAACTTATATTAGTACATTTTTTTTGTAATCTGCTGCTTCCAAGGACAAAAAGGAAACTTCAAGCGTTTTTCATTTTTATTTATAAATTTGCTAAATAGTGTCTGTTCTGTTACTTTTCAGAGAGGAAGATCAACTCTGAGGAGGACCTCATCATCCTCATTGACGGTCTTAACGAGGCAGAGTTCCACAAGCCGGACTACGGAGACACCATCGTGTCCTTCCTCACTAAAACCATCAACAAGTTCCCTCCTTGGCTCAAACTGGTGGTCACAGTCAGAACCACGCTACAGGTAAATGACACGACAGTCAGCATACAGATTGTAGCCTCATCAATAAATCCCTCTGTTTGTATTTGCTCCTCCGCTCTTTTATATTTAATCTAACTCAAAAGGTTATGTATTTTTAATTCTACATGGAAGGTCTCAAACAGAAACTTTATTGTATTATTCTGTTTTGGCTACCACTGTCAGCTAAGAGGGTTTTACATCAACACTAACAGCAGGTTATTGTTGCATCAACTGGAGGTCACTAACTAAAAAATATTGGATTTGTTTTGAATGCAACTCTACCTTCTCTGTCTCTGACCTTTTCATTTTTCCTCTTTTGTGCAGAGGACATAAAAAAAAATGTTTTTGTTGTATCTCTGCTATCTTTGTTTCCCTTTACCTTTCATTCACGAGGAAGAAAAATAATTTTTGACCTTCTATATAAATCATTTTACCTAAGTGAGTAAGTAGGTAGGTAAGATATCACTAAAAGGTTCTTGACGAGTTCTTAAAATGATTCTGACTGTTCAGGAGATTACCAATGCGCTGCCGTTCCACCGCATCTCTCTGGACGGCCTGGAGGAGAATGACGCCATAGACCAGGACCTGCAGGGCTACATCCTGCACCGCATCCACAGCAGCCCGGAGATTCAGAACAACATCTCACTCAACGGCAAGATGGACAACACCACCTTCGGCAAGCTCAGCGCCCACCTCAAAGCTCTGAGCCAGGGCTCCTACCTGTACCTCAAGCTCACCTTTGACCTCATCGAGAAGGGCTACCTTGTTCTCAAAAGCTCCAGCTATAAGGTATTATAGGAGTTATTGCTTTGTTTGAAATGGCTTTCTCAGGTTTAGCTTAGACTCCGGGGCCACGTAGGAGAGGTGAAAGATACTACTAGAAGTGAAAGAGACAGGTGCGTTCTCGTGTTCGAAAAACCAGCTGGAACTTGGTTATTGTAGTTTGGCCCATTGATTTGTCCCACTTACCAACACGGTCAACAGTTGGAGCTGCAGAAGTGGCTGTGACACACAGCTCATGGAGGCAGTTAAGGTACTTTAAAACCCTTGCCGCCTGATTGCCAAAATCATACTCAGAGTCATAACTCACTGAAATCTGAACACACAGACATGCTAAACATATTTTTGGATTCAGTGTGAAGATTATTATCTCTGTCCATCACAAAGAAACAAAAATCACAGACAAAAAGATGCTCCTTGTAACTCCAGAACTTGCTTGAAAATCATCATCAGGTAATCCAGCGGTCTGAACTAAAGGCTACATTGCAAACAGGAACTGCTTATAGCCCATTCGGCATACTTTTAATGGTGCCAGTTTGCCAAAATGTAAAAAAATATAGGCTCAAGTTGTAGCCCCACAGTGTAACTCACTGAATCCATAGCAACTAGGGGAACCCACTTGTCTCAGTTTTGTCTGAGGGAGCCCGCCGTGTCAGACTTTGAAAACCCCTGATCTAAACTAAATATAGTGCTCATAATTTGCGAAGCAGCACTTGAAAGGCATACATAAATTTATCTGCCCCCCGACATGCATTGTATGAGAGTAGTTTCGTAAAATCTTCTTTTTAAAAGTCAAAGCCCAACACCTTTTTGATAAATAATGCAGTTCAATTGTTTTAGTGTGCATTTCATATTAAAATATTTTATCTCACACCACCAACTTCATTTAATTTCATGTATTCAGAAGTGCTTCCAGACTCCATAAAAAATGACAACTTAAAAATTCACACTCTCTGCTCTGAGGAAGACCACGTGGAATAGTTGAAGATGCGCTGAACAAACACAATGCATTATTCATATTCTGTAGAGCACATCCAAAGGAAGTCGGCATTACGATTCAGGTTCTCTCCTTCCTTCTTCAGGTGGTTCCAGTCAACCTGGCAGAGGTGTACCTGCTGCAGTGCAACATGCGCTTCCCCACGCAGTCGTCGTTCGAGCGGGCGCTTCCTCTGCTCAACGTGGCCGTGGCCTCGCTTCACCCGCTGACCGATGAGCAGATATATCAGGCCATCAACGCTGGTTCACTGCAGGTAGTCATCCTAAAATATACAAGACTCCAGACCTTGAGACCCTTAAATGGAATTAATTTGTTATAAAATTGCCTCATTGATCCAGTCAGTATCAAAGTCAAAAGTCTACCAAAATGCATAATTTAAAGAGCTAAATTTTAAGATGTATGAAATGTGGGTTTAGTTAACTTGGGAAGTCTTCTCTTGCTGGTTTGTGATTTTTACTCCATCCTTGAGCTAAAGTAGTGATTTTATCCAAATGAGCTGGCCTAACTTAAAAAAATTCGATATCACATACTTGTGTGCGCAAATTTAGTTTGATACAGTTGGTGGCTTGTATTGTTGTTGTCATTAAAATATGATCAGACCACATCTACACACACACACACACACACACACACACACACACACACACACACACACACACACACACGTGTTAGTTAGTTTCATTTGATAATAAACAGTGTTTATCTTAACTTCAGTTGTTACTTATATACTTATAATGTTACAGAGAGGTTTTTAGGGGCTTTAAAAAATTTAAGCAATCTGCATTTATCTTTGTTATTCCAATGAAAAGAAATAATAAATACACAAAATATAAATTTTTACTGGAAGACAAAAAGATGCAATAGTCTTCAGCTTGCTATCAAGATGAAACAAAGAGAATTTGTATATTGTGAATATTTCATCCATTATTATAGAAATGGAACTTCCAAAAGCAATTTGTAATGCAGTAAGTTGATCCATGCCATGACTTCTGGCTAATATCAGCATGGCCCAGACTTAAATAACATATAACAATGAAACATTGTCTGTGGTTGCAGGGCACACTGGACTGGGAGGATTTCCAGCAACGTGTAGACAACCTGTCAGTCTTCCTGGTGAAGAGGAGGGATGGTACCAGGATGTTTGTTCACCCCTCCTTCAGGGAGTGGCTGATCTGGAGAGAAGAAGGAGAAAAGACAAAGTTCCTCTGCGATCCGAGGTGAGGCCTGGCAGGAGAGTGAGAGGAGGGACTCTTTCTGGAAGCTATCGTACTTTATGTTTAGAAAGATGGTTTATGCTCAGACTCTGCTGTTTTTAAGAAAACAGGTTTAGCCACAGCCCTGACTGTGTGGTTAACTGTGTATAAAAATAAATGTCTCTTCTAGTTGCAGGTACATTATGTTTATCTAACAGAGGAAGTGTGATTTTTCTTTTATTTCCTGTATTATAATTAAAAACTGGTTGCACCAACTGTGCAGATGATAACACAATGTAATGACCTGATGAGTCAGAAGTATTGAAAGATTGTGTGTTTGTCCTCTCTGCAGGAGCGGTCACACACTACTGGCCTTCTGGTTCTCTCGGCAGGAGAACAAACTGAACAGGCAGCAGACTATTGAGCTGGGCCATCACATCCTCAAAGCACATATCTTCAAGGTATACCATTATTTGTCTCCACATACATCTATACGCACACACACGCCCCCACACAGCTGTGGTCTGGCGCCAAAGTAATGAATATTTACACTCTATCTTTGTGTTCAAGGGTCTCAGCAAGAAAGTCGGGGTTTCCTCATCTATCTTGCAAGGCCTGTGGATATCCTACAGCACAGAGGGCCTTTCAGCTGCACTTTCTTCTCTCCGAAACCTCTACACTCCCAACATCAAGGTAAAGGCACTAACAGCACAGACGAGTCATACTTGAAGAATATTTCAACATGTTCTGGGTACCAAATCAAGACTGCTTCTCGAAATATGCTTCACGGAAATCTTCCTCTCTCTGGACTTGGATATTTCGATGCTTGAAGCCACACTGTCCTATGTTAACTTTTTGTTTCCTCATTTTGTGTATGTTTAGGTGAGCCGGCTGCTGATGCTGGGAGGTGCCAATGTGAACTACCGTACGGAGGTGCTGAACAACGCCCCTGTCCTGTGTGTCCACTCCCACCTGGGCTACATGGACATGGTGGCTCTGCTGCTCGAGTACGGCGCATCTGTCGACGCTCCGTCGGAGAGCGGCCTAACGCCGCTGGGCTACGCCGCAGCTGGGGGACACATGGCCATTGTGACTGCGCTTTGCCGCAGGAGAGCAAAGGTGTGTGAAGGAAAATGGCATGAGGAAGAGGGAGAGATGTGCTGTATTATCTGATAATGGGAGATAAATTGTAGCCCCATGTGCAGTTTCCCCTTGCCATTTGTTTTCCTGATTAAATCCATGTCCCGTTGACAGGTGGACCACCTGGATAAGAACAGCCAGTGCGCTCTGGTTCATGCAGCCCTGAGGGGCCACATGGAAGTGGTGAAGTTCCTCATCCAGTGTGACTGGGGCATGGGGCCACAGCAGCAGCAGTCACCGCAAACCCAACAACAAGCGGCCTTTACCAAGAGCCACGCAGTCCAGCAGGCCCTCATCGCTGCAGCCAGTATGGGATACACAGAGGTACAGCAGGGAGGGTAGAGGTCGATGGGGGTGAAAGTGGTCTAATGGTTTTGATTCTTATGCTCTCCAGTGTGTCATAATGAATTCTTCAGCCCCAATTAGGGACTCTGAATCCCAAGTGATTTCAAGCAAAAATGATTAAGAGCTTAAAATGACCTCCTTAACTACTACAGCTACAAAACCACTTCTAACTCCAACACTAATATTGCTTATTGTGCCTTTTGGAGTTTTAAAGTTTTATACTTTTTGCTAGGTTTTGAAGCCGCAAAAGAAAAAAAAAGTGTGAAAAGGCTAGATTTACTTATTATTGCGACATGCTATGACTCTGTGCACCGCAATTACACCGAGGCTGTTGATACAATATATCCAGTAATGCAATAAAATAAGTAATAGCTTATAATTTCTCATTTGAGCTTGCGTTGCAGCATGTCAGCCATTTTTAATACCAGAACAGCTGCCAAAGCTGCTCGTTTGGTCACAGGAGAAAACAGGGATCCAAGAAGAATCAGACTGCACTAAAATGTTGACAAATGTTAGCTTTTGATGATAAGTCATTGCAGCTCATTGCAGAGACGCGTGGGGTTAGTTTTCTTAGTGCATATTTGTAACAGGTTTTACTCTACAAAATCTGAGTAGCAGTACCACTTACACTCAAATAGGGAATGTAAAAAGAACCATGGAACCATGTATGAATTATCCTAATGTGGTAAATCCTACTTAGGCTCTTAAATGGGCTTGAGCAATGACTATTTTGTTCCAACAGCTGATTGACCGAAGTCTGGTGGTCGATGTAGTTGCTAACGATGAATGTCAATTATGTAAAATTTTGCCATTTAGATGAGATTACTCTAAATTTAATTACATTCAAAAGGAAAGTAGATTGATGATAACAAGTGGTTTCATTTATTTTATCTTTCATTTTCATTTGATATAAAAATGAAATGAGATTTAAAGTAAACCTGGACATTAATCTGTGTCATCTTGAATCTTGTCCCCCATCAGATTGTGTCCTACCTGCTGGACCTGCCAGAGAAAGATGAAGAGGAGGTGGAGCGGGCACAGATCAATAACTTTGACACCCTGTGGGGGGAGACAGGTGGGAATGCCTACTTTAGTCAGACATTACACCAATAAAACCCTGAATTCAATACAGACAGATGGCTGTGAATGCTTAATAGCTCACATGAAATCCCCTGGACAAAAGCAAAAAACAAACTGTAGTCTCCACTGAGACGTACAATACAGACAATGGTTTTTTAATCTATGGAGTGTTTTTTGAGAAGGTTTTTCTGTGCGAGGCAGAGCGCTGCAGTGCGGATATGAGAGATCGTTCTTGTGTGTCTGCTGCTGCTGCTGCTGCGTCAGATGCTGATGGCAGTGCAGTGGTGTCATTGGAGCACAGACAGGGCTGGGCTCACACAGAGAAGGGGGAGGGGGAAAAAAAATGAGTGTGATCCAGGGTGCTTAGAAATGACTAGTCTGATTGCCCCATGGCAGGGTATTGAGAAATGTAATGTCTTATTGTAACCTGAAGCTATGAAACCTCATTGTGAGCATTATTCTCCGGATGCAGTGTTGGGAAAGCTTCTCACTGTCAGCTGAAGAGGGGTACTCACTCAGCCGTAGTTTCATTGTTTATAAGGGATCAGAGGGATGACAGTTGTTCTGGAAGATGATTTGTAATCACAGTGTTGCTGGATAGGTCAACTGAAAATGCATTATTCTTAACAACAGCCACAGGGAGAGTATGTATATCGCCATGTGCAGATAACACTTACTGAACTGTGTGGATCAAAGCATTCTCCCAGCAAAGAATAAATAGGTTGAAACTATAGCCTGACCGATAAACCGGCTGATATTTCTCATTGCAGATATATTGGTGTCAGTGTATGTATCAGCCAACTAGAAGAACAGAAAAGGTCATTTGGAGAGCGTGTCACCGTTGCATACTCTAGTTTGTCCACCAGAGAATACAGAAAGCTGATTTGTACACTATAAAATGTCCTACTTAGTATATCTTGGTCATAATTATAAAAAAAAATACAAACAAACAACAACAACTCAGGGATCCCTATCAAGCTATCAAACGTTTTTTTAAACTCCAGTATTGGTTGGGCTGTAGTTGAAATCAGGGTCACTGCTCTGGGGCTGCTACCATTCTGCTTATAAAAGATCTGTTCACTCTGCTTAAATTATTCCAATTATAATCATTACATTTGAGAAGATGTCTTTTTAAAGGCCTTTGCTCCCAAGTCTCAAGGGTCTCTTCTCTTCTCTTCTCGTCTCTTCTCTTCTCCTTCAAACAGGACTTTAAATTAATTATCCTAGATATGTTGTGTTTTCCCATACAGTAGCAGTAGTAGAGGCTTTTTTTACATAATAACAATCAATGTATCAAATGACAACTTAAAAACAATGTGACAGTGATGATATGTGAAATGTTGTGTTTGTAAGTGCCCCAAGAAATCAATTATTGCAGGTTTAATCATTATTTAATAGGTAACCCCTGACTTTTTCCAACAAAAATCAAGTCTGTGAAAGAACCATTGCTCCTCATCTCATCCCTCATTCATTGTGTGTTTGTGCCTCCAGCTCTGACTGCAGCCTCTGGTCGGGGGAAGCTGGAGGTTTGTCGTCTATTACTGGAGCAGGGTGCTGCGGTGGCCCAGCCCAACAGAAGAGGCATCGTCCCCCTGTTCAGCGCTGTCCGACAGGGACACTGGCAGGTTAGTGCTCACCTGAAGAACACCCTCACTTAGAACACCTTGCTTTGGCTTTGGCTTTAATGTGAGCAGGCAGAGTTCGCCAAGACTAAAGTGTGCTTCTTCAGGCCACTCAAGACAGTAAAGGTGTGGCATTTATGCTTTAGGAATTAATACTTCATGCTACTAAGTTATAACTTCTTCATCTCATAAACACTTGGCAAGTAAGACGTCCAGTCGCTGTTATGTAATGGCATGGGTGCTCTGTTTGGGTGTTTTAGATTGTGGACCTACTCCTCACACATGGCGCAGATGTCAACCTGGCTGACAAGCAGGGGCGTACTCCTCTAATGATGGCGGCCTCAGAGGGACACCTGGGGACTGTTGAGTTCTTACTGGCTCAAGGTAAAAAAAAACAACAACTTTGGTTTAGAATACATTTTGGGTCAGTTTTGGCTTTATACGAAGAGAACCTTGTAAACATAAAATATCTCAACAGATGTTCAGTAAATGAATCACTGAGGAAATAATGATGTTGGTCTTTGGTATTCAGAGCCTGAAGGTAATAAGAAGTAAGAAATGCATTATATAAATAAAAATGACAGTGGATGGTAACTTTAAAGGACTGAGATTTATGCAGGGCATCCTTTTGATTTGCTCTGTTAAACATGTTGTCTTAACTCCAATCACTATGCTGCTCTCAGTATTTTTTGACAGCAATTCCTGTGTGTTTTTCCCTGTTTGGAATGGATGCAAACACAGATGTGACAGACAAACAGTAGAGTCAGATTTGACACATCCACGAAAAAGGAAAAATCTCCTTGTAGATGCCAAAATATAGAAAATTCATAACAAGTATAATTGTGTCCAATCCTAACGTGTGAGCTAAGAATACAAGACGATTTGGTGTGCTTCTCTTCTCATACTTATCTAAACCTCATAGTCATTCATTTAAAAAGATCACACAGCCACTGCAATAATAAAGATGAGCGTAATTACTGTTTTCAAATGGTGTTTACAATAATTACAGCCAAATTAAATCAGCCACAGATTTTAAAAAATCCATCAAAATGAATTAAGCAGCACATTTAGCAGTATAAAAGAATTCAGAGTGAATTCAGAGTGTCACCGCTGCCATTTCTTTTCCCAGGAGCCTCTCTGTCTCTAATGGATAAGGAGGGTCTGACCGCTCTGAGCTGGGCCTGTCTGAAAGGCCATTTACCTGTCGTCCGCTGCCTGGTGGAGAGCGGAGCCGCCACAGACCACGCAGACAAGAACGGACGCACGCCCCTCGACCTGGCTGCCTTCTACGGTGACTCTGAAGTGGTAAGCGCCTAATGGGAAAGACGGCATCCAAAAATGAAAAGGGCTGCAGGGAAATGTGTTTTGCTGTGCTTTACCCAGTCAATACCCAGCTTACACAGGTGATATGGAAACTTCTGAGAACTGACTTTTTAATGAGGTCTGATAAGGAGGAGTAGGCGCAATTTTAAGAACTTTCGACAAGGTAGTTGATTGATTTTTGTGGAAAAACAATTTCAAACACAAAGTATTATTCCAGAGTATGTGTCTAAAAAACATGTTTGGAGGGAATCTTTAATTCTTGTTTGGTGCTGCCTTAAATGTGTCGGTATAATACTGTCAAGTGACAAAATCTGGCATGAAACGCTCGCTCCAAGAGCCAATTTGGGTTTGAAAGATGTTGCACTTCTCTTAATGTGATAAAGAAGAAATTCGAATTGGAGCAGATGAGTGATATAATACAGTTTATTGACGCCATATTATAGGTTATTCCCCCACCTATTCTCACCACATTTCATTTTTTTTTTCAGGTCCAGTTCTTGGTCGACCATGGGGCCATGATAGAGCATGTAGACTACAGCGGGATGCGTCCTCTCGACAGGGCGGTGGGCTGCAGAAACACGTCGGTGGTGGTCGCCCTGCTCAAGAAAGGAGCCAAGATAGGTAAGAGCAGGTTGACAGAATGAAGAGCCAACCATTTAGCTCACAAAAGACCTCTTCTAAGTACAGCATCCTTGTCCTGTAGTGCCATGTAAAAGGTTATTTGCCTGTGAGTGAAATGAGATACAATTTGAGATTGTGTTTTGGTTGAAAAGGTCATGCACTGGAGTTCAAGCATGAGCTGCATGAAAGACATTGAAGAGAGAATCCAAAGATGAAAGTGCACTTCCTATTAAGTACACACTACCTGCTGGTCATTGTAGAGCACTGTAGCATTTGCAATAAGCCATGGATGCAGGTTTGTGTCTCCATGTAGCCTTAATCACTTCCTGCTACTGTATGTCATCCGCACCCCTCCCCACTACCGCATCGTGCTGCTCCTCCTCAGCTATTTATGGCTCTGATGTGTTTCTTTTTATTGTACTACTGTTGCCGCTGTGTTGTTTTTTTGCTTTCTCTATCTCTGTCATGTTCTCTCAGTGCTTCTGTTTGTCTCTATCGCTCACGCTATCTCCTAGTTTCTCCCTCAATCACATGCTCTCTCTCTATTCCTCTGCGGTTGCTCAGAGACAGGTTGTTATTAGCGCTTGCGGTGTTTCTTTTTGGTATCTATGTTTTCTTTTCTTTCTTTCTTTTTTTTGCTGAGCCACTTATCTCCGCTTCTCACTGCTGCTTTTTTTGTGTTCCTTTTCTCACTTCTCCTCCTCCTCCACCACCACTGCCATCACCTCTATTTCTCTTTCACCTTCTCGCTGTTTCCCTCTGTTTTCTCTGGCAACTCTGGTTCCCCCCCTCGCTCTGCCCTCCCACTTACACTTCTTCCCTTGCTCATGACCTCCTTCCTCCTCCTTTCCCCCCCTCCTCACCCAATACTCCCCCTCTCTTGCCCTATCCCCCGCCTCTCTCTCCGGCCCCAGGATGTCAGACGCTGCCCAGTCGGCCCCGAGGTAAAGCCAAGGCTGTCGACTTCTCACCCCACCAGGCATTTTGACAGCTCTATCTCCTCTCTCTGTGTTGTCTGTGTCGTCCTAAGTGTCGGCAGGCGAGCTTAGCTACCCAAACCTTCTCAAACTGACAAATAATAACACGCAAAGGTATTAGCACTGACAGTGATGCAGTCGGGATTGCCTAGAGGTAGATGCTAACATCCAAGTGGTTAATGACAGCATGCCCGGCCTCCAGCCTGTGACGTCGTATCGAGGTGTTGACCTTCCATTCCACAGATGCATGACGGAAGCCCTCAGTAACACTTGCGTGGTAGTGATTTAGCGGAAAATGCATGTATTTGTAATTCCTCTGTACCACCGCCACCACAGACTGAGGTGATAAACCACTGTACTGTGCATCGTTCATCTTCCAGACGTTTCCTCAGTGTCAGCTAGGCCAGTCAGCAGCATTCCTACCCTCACCCTCACCACCACCACCAGCTCAGAGGACAGCTAACGCCTGCAGAGCTCTGTTATATGCCTCCTGCTTGCCTCTTTTGTTTATTGTACCTGCCCTGTGTCTCCCTGTGCAAGATCCCCCTCCCTCCTTTTCATCTCTGTGGTGTGTGTACATGTGTCAAGGATTGCTGTTGCGCAGATATAGAAAAGATCAGTTTTTAGTCAAGGGATTGTGTTTGATTTTTCAGTCATAAGACAGTCAGCAGGGATGAAGTGTCTTTTTTCTCTGTCCTTTTTTCTTTTTTAAATACACAACTCCCATTTGTATTTATTGGTAGTTTTTCCTGCTTTTCTGCTGTTCTTGATCACATCCCTGAATCAGTCAGTAGTACAAAGAATTACTGTACATCTGCACTTCTTGACAAGACAGAAAATGTGTCTCAATAGACAGACATGACAGCGTGATTATATTATTTCTACATCTACTCTGGGTTTGCCTGGGTCAGAACGTATTTGCAGATAATTGCTAAAGTTCATTTTAATCAACGATTGGATAATAATTCAAAATATGCTCATACTGCACTCCAATTAGGCAAGCTCAACTCCCAGCAGGAGTAAAGAAAACATAATAATTATTGGCAAATTGTATTTGACCCAGGTCTTATGTCCCATAGCGAGGTCACTGAGGTGTCAGACCAAATTTTTGTAATCTTTTCTCTGCAGTGGATTGCCTGTCTTTTCTTCTCCATTCCCCATTTTGGCTGTTGTCCCTCATCCCTGTTATTAATGTTGTGTGTAGTGTGACTCCCAGTCGCTCCTTCCTCTCTCCTCCTTTGCTTATTTCTGTGTGTCTTTCTCACTGTGTTTCTGTTTTCATCTGCTCCTTCCTGTGTTACTCAGGTCCTGCCACATGGGCAATGGCCACCTCCAAACCCGACATCATGATCATCTTGCTCAGCAAACTCATCGAGGAGGGGGACAGCTTCTACAAGGTCAGAGAACAGGCACTGCACTCTTTAGCTCAGATTTCATTGTTTTAATTAAAGATGTGACATAATAAATGTTTTTGTATATCTTTGTGTCTATCTATATGTATATACCTGTGTGGACAAGTTATAAAATTAAATGTCTGTCTAATTTTGTCAATAACAACCAAATTAACCAATGTTGTCATAAATGCAAATTTTTCTCTAACTCTGGTTTATATTGTGAAGGTTTCAGATCAGCTTTTTATTTCAATGTGAAGGGAGGATAACCAGACTTCTTTCTGTTTGTCCAACAGAAGGGGAAGGTGAAGGAGGCAGCGCAGCGTTATCAGTATGCCCTCAAAAAGTTTCCACGCGAAGGCTTCAGCGAGGACCTCAAGACATTCAGGGAACTCAAAGTATCACTCTTCCTCAACCTGTCCCGATGTCGGAGGAAAATGAACGTAAGTCGCCAAGACAAGTAACTGGTAAAAAAATGCCAAAATGTCTTTACTAAAGCAGACTTATTTCAGATTAACTTTTGAGACATTTATCAAATTAAACAACCAAAGCAAACACTATCATACATCTGAACATAATGGGGATAATGCTGTTGGCCATTTTTTCCTGTTTTGATACATGTCTTCTGCTCAACCTCCTCAGGACTTTGGGATGGCTGAGGAATTTGCTACGAAGGCACTCGAACTGAAACCAAAATCGTATGAGGCATATTATGCCAGGGCACGCGCCAAGCGTAGCAGCAGGTACGCTCCTTTTATGAAATACTATTACAGACAGTTCTGCATGTCTGCGCAGACAGATTCTGGACGACTTTCCCCCAAAAAGTAATATTAATTTTTAATTCTCCTGTTTCCAGACAATTTCCTGAAGCCTTAGAGGACCTGAATGAAGCCATAAAGCAGTGCCCCAACAACCGAGAGATCCAGCGGCTGCTCCAGAGGGTGGAGGAGGAGTGTCACCAGCTCAACCAGGAGGAGCTCCAGCAGCAGGACCTGGAGCTGGAGCCTCCTCCCTCCCCTCCTCCTACGCCTCCCCCAGATGAGGATGAGTCCCTGTCCCTGTCCATGCCTCTTCCCCCTCCCCCCGAGCCCCGTCTGGAGGACATGGAGCCCGTTCAGGACCTGTTTGAGGATGAGGACTACCTGGAGCAGGAGCTGGAGGCAATGTCTGTGGGTCTGCCCCCTCCTGAGTCTCACAGCAATCCTTCCAGCCTTCCCATCATCCAGAGCCCACCGCTCTCCCCCACCCATCCAGATCAGATCTACTTAGCTGGAGGTTCACCCATGGGCCAGCCGTACGAATATCACCCCACCTCCTCCTCCATGTCCTCTCCAACCCGCGGGACATACCAGCCCACATCGCCCTCCCTCTCCCCGACACATCAGAACTCGCATTACCGACACAGCCCGCCTCATACCTCCCCAGTGCACCAGCAGTCCTACAGCTTCAGCCCACCTTCTATGGGTACTGGGGGTCAGGGGATGGATCACCAGAGCCCACCGCCTTCCCCTTTACGTCGGGCAGCTCAGTACAGATCCAGTCCTCCAGTAGAGAGTGTTTGTCTGTACAGGTCCCAGTCTGGGTCACCTGTGCGCTACCAGACAGAGCAGCTCCCCGGCCGACCCAAATCTCCCCTCTCTAAAATGAGCAGCCAGCGTTCGTTCCAGCTGAGCTCACAGCCCTCTCTGTCCTCCCAGCACCACCAAGCCCAAGGCCTTCGTCTCCAGCCTTCTATAGCCCAAATAGTCCGCACAAATCAGCCCAGTAATGTCATGGGCAACAGCATTTATGGGGGCCAGATGGGGCACTCGATTGGTGGTCGCTACCAAGGGGGTTCAGTAGACGTGGAGAGCCGGCTGGTATACCAGCCGTCCCTGGATGGACGGTCCATGCCCCAGGTCCAGCCCAGCCTCAGTTCTGGGGCCCTCTGTCAGCACGGCGGCCGAGGAGGGGTTATGGAGTCGGGCCTGTTGAAGGATGATCTACCCCAGCGCCCCTCCTCTGCCTACCGCGCCAGCAGCGGGGGCCCGGGGGGCATCCGTTACAGCCAGACACCTCAGATAAGCCGCAGTCAGTCAGCCGCCTACTACCCAGTCTCTGAACATGTATTGGAGCGCGCCAATGCCATGCCCCCCTGCCAGCTGGGCTCTCCCGAGATCCCCCATATGGTGAGACGCCCCGTCAGTGCCAATACTACTGAGATGAAGCAGCATGTGCCCACCCCCAGGCCTCTCATCCATTCTCAGAGCGTAGGCCTTCGATTCTCCCCCTCAAGCAACAACATCTCAACTGGATCCACCTCAAATTTGGCGCCGGGCTTCAGGCCTTCCTCTTCCATTCAGCAGATGGAGATCCCCCTGCAAGCCACATATGAGCGAAGCTGTGATGACATCTCTCCCATCTCTCCTTCCCAGGGTGGCGGGGGGCTGTATCAGGGCGAGACCACACGCTCCCGGAACACACCTTTCATGGGCATCATAGACAAGACGGCGCGGACTCAGCAGTACCTGCATCAGCCCTCGCGGTCCAGGGCCATGACGTCCATGGACTCAGCCATCAGCCCCACCTCACCTGGCCAGCTAGTCCAGCAAGGCTCCACCTACAGTCCCCCCGCCTCGCTGGGTAATATCGCCTACTATAACAAGACAAACAACGCCCAAAATGGACACCTGTTGGAGGAGGACTACTACTCCCAGACCCAGCCCCCCTCACTGGGCATGCTGGCCAACGGCTCCCGCGGCAGTGGAGACATCCTGGAGCGGGTCAGCCAGGTGCCCACTTACCCGGATGTGAAGGTGGCAAGGACTCTGCCCGTGGCACAGGCCTACCAGGACAACATGTACCGCCAGCTCTCGCGTGACTCCCGGACCCAAGGCCCCACCTCCCCCATCAAACCAAAGAGACCATTTGTGGAGTCGAATGTGTGATGGTCTGTCTGTGATTGGTTGGTTGGACTGGGCTTGTTAGTGGGAGTGAGAGGAGAAAATATATATAGCTCAACAGCAGATGCTGCTGACCTTTGTGTATGTGACATGGACGAACTCACCTTCAAGAACTCACAAGAGACCGATCCATTCAGAGAGAAAACCACACAGCCGGCACACACACACATTTAGGGTATTAGACATTATCTTATATGAAAACATAACTAACAGTGAGAAACAATTATTTCATTATCATATTCTGCACACAGGTAGGATAACAGAAGGGTCCTAAGTTCTGATCTCATACTGAATCAAAGACCAGTGCACTTCCAAAATGTTGTGTGGCACAAAGTTCCCACAGGTTAACACAACAGGTGGGACTGTAAGAGTGAAAGTACTAATCATCGGACTCTACTTGTGGACTCTGTATCCATCTTCTGTTCTTTCAAAGTGTGCTCTTAACCAAGGTTGCTAGTAGGCTCTATTCTATGTAATACAATATTATATGTTCAATACTGTACATTGCTCAGAAAATACAAATGGCTCAACAACTCAGTACTTAGAGAAAAATGACAATATTTATAATTAAGTTATATATTGTACATAGAAATAAAACAAAACATAGTTTGCGTTTGAATTGTATTCTGTTAACCCTGCCTTTGTGTCCCACTGTTAGTCATATGGATGTGGAAAAACCGATCCAGGGTAAGGGATGAGGGACATTGACCAACTTTGAATGATATAATTGCCTCTATTGTGTCAAAATAAAAATATTTTGTTGTGGTTTAATGGAAGAAAATGCTTTCTATGCTACAATAGGTCCTGAATTATCTGAACTAAGGCTGCATATAACAATGAATATCTTTATCAATTAATCTGCAGATTATTGTTTGATAGTTTTTTTTCCCTATCAACCAACCTTCAAGACCAAGATGCAGTCTTTAAATTTCTTGTTTTTCAGACCAACAATTTGAAAGTTATTCAGTTTACCATTATATAAAAACAGAGAAAAGCTGCAAATCCTCACACTGGAGAGGCTAGAACCAGAGAATGTTTGACATTTTTGCTTGAAAAAAATGACTGCAATGATTAATTGATTATCAAAATAGTTGCCCAGTAATTCAGTCAATTAATGGACAAAAGTCAAGCTTTAAGCTGGTATTCAAATGTTGGTGTCAGAGCGAATATCCAGACATTTCAAATGGTCCCTATTTCTATTTTTGTATCCCTTTTTGTTCATGTTTGAAACCAGAAACTTCACCTCATTTCTGAGGTTCAAATATGTCCATTATAATTTTCTATTTTTTAAATTTCTTTTTGTATCATTACGGTGTCACAGATCTCATGATATGCCTTAGTGTGACGTTAAACCAACTGTCATGGCTGCAGTCTGACATACTGGACCAGCGTCCTGTCAATAGACAGCTTTGAATACTTGCTTAACCCTCTGCTTATCAATTACTATAGTTTTATACAAGCTTATATGATTGTTTTGCTGAATTAATTCAACTTGTTTTGAGGACAGATTGCTGTATTAGACAAAAAAAAAAAAAAAAGATGTTGAGTGCAATACATTGGTTTCTAGGGATTTTAAAATCATCTTTTAACTGACTGATGCTGGTCAAATGATGAATAGAAAATCCTGCCGTAGGTGATTTTATCATACGGCACGAGTATCAAAGTTCGCCTTTGTCCCTCCTCCGAACGCAATGACGCTGTATGTTCCTGAGAGAGAGTAGAACGTACAGTACATATGCTAGTGATGGGTTAGCATGGATAGTGCTCAGCGATTAAAAGCAAGCAAATGCATACACAACCACTGTTACAGACGTTTCCCTTTCTCCTGCATTACTTTGTGTCGTTTCTTTTTACCCACAATGCATTTTTATTCTGCCACTTCTGCACTAAAAATGCCTGTTAAGTTCTTAACTAAGGGTGCACTTTATGTATTTTACTTACTTTGTTGTTATGATTGTTGAATTTGGAGAAAGTGGGTGTGTGATCAGTCAGACCTCTGACCAGTGATACAAGACTATCATAGACACTATTATTATATGATTTACAAAGCAGTGATGAATGACAATATGAAGAGCAAACAATGTTTTTAAACTGGTGAAGATGTATAGACTTTCTAGCACAAGTTGTATATACCGACTCAGATATTTCAGTCCAGCTCGGGTTCGATAGTAGAGCAAGTCTGTTTAAAGGCCTATCATATTTAAGTATTCCACATCCTAAAAAATATCCATTACAGTCCAATAACTCTGAAGTAGCCAGTCTAATTAACTGGTCTTGCACACATCTTGAAATTAAGTCAAATCTACTGCAAAAAAAAAAAAAAAAAGGAATGATCGAGGTTTCAATACCCAGAAACTCCATATTTGGAGTTTGGGTGACGGAGAAAGTGGAATAATGAGAATATTCAAGTTATTTGTATATGTAGGAAAAGTTATAGACCATTTGTCTGTAACATTTTATTTTGGTTCTCTGATAAAGAATATCTAAAGAGAGACAGACCTCCTGACTGTCTCCTGTCCATTCTCAGTTTCACCCGCTAACAGAGAGATGCCCTACTTATCTTTACAGAAATGAAGGTATAAACTGTATTATACTTAATTTAAACGAGACTTCTAACTTGAGGATATTTGAGGGTGTATGGTTTCAAGCTGTCTGTGTATATTAGTTTGCTGTAAATAGTCTGATGCATGTTCTATTCTTTCCATGAGCTCAAGCAGAAACATGTATAGCAGTGTTCTGACCTCTGGTGTGTGATACAATGTTCGGATCAAGATAAGGAGACTGCTATCCCTGAACTATCCTTATCATTTTCCTTCAAACTCACCAGACAAAAGCGAAAAAGGTTCTTTTATTTTATTTTAATGTATTTGCTTGCTGAGCAGAGTTCTCTTGTCTGTAAATGTGAGCTTTCAGATCGCTGTGATAAAAAGTTTAATTAAAAACAATAAAAAAGAATGTGTTTTTATCTCATGATAACTGATTGTAATCTGTACAGTCAAACCTATGTATTGGAAAAAAAAGAACATATTTATAAATGGTTACCAACTGAAACACACGATGCATGTCAGTCATTTATTTTACAGATTATTTGTATACAACATATAAATGTAATTTTCTTACAACATATAACACCAGCATGTCGATAGAGTAACAGACGTGTGTACAAAATGATGCAATCCAGTACAACCCCCCCCCAAAAAACACTAATGGTGTTGTTGCATTGGATTTCATTATGTAGTTACGTGTTCAAGTAATTTACATTGTCATACATCTGTTTAACCCAAGTATGAGCAGCAGTTTGACCTAAAGATGGTCGATCATTTCTGGAAATGTTCCATCTGAGTTTTTGAATTGTTGAATTTTACACAGAATGTTTTAGAGGGGGAACTCCACCCAGCTAACACATCAAAGTCTGTTTACAGTGAAAACCCTTGTGTATGAAGCCTTCAGGGGCTCTGCAAAGTCTGACAACCGCAAGTAATGTCGCTCGAGTCGGTGTCGGTTAGGCCTGAAGACTGCAGGTTTGAAAATGAAAGAAGATCTGCGGGTGCGAAGAAAGAGGTGAGCTTACCAGACCTCTGCAGCTCGCTCTCTGATTGAGGCGAACAGCTCGAGGCTACAGTAGCTACTACTAGAATGACACACCCAAACCTCAGACTAAACCGTTGGTGGTTGAGTTGCATTGTGGGTAATGTGGGCCAGGTTTTGAGAGGGAAGAATGTGTGGTATAAAAAAAAGATAATATCTCTGGATCTTTTTCACACAATCTTCTTTTACCTGATGAAGGTCTCAGAGCTGAAATGTTGTTAATAACGTGACTACAAATGACTGACACTGTGCAAGATGTTTATCTCAAGTAACATTCAAAAGCTAGACCCTGTCCAGTACATTTTTCAAATAGTAAAGCATCAAAACTGCACTTTTCCCACAGAAAACTACAATACTGTAGTATTTACAACACTTACAGTTATATACATTTTTTTATTGCAGTAAATTAAACATCTGAAACAATCCCCACATTAATGCCTCATGTACTCTCCAAAAGTAACACACCCCTGCCTGGTGAATTGTGAGAAGGAAAATCAGCATGGAGTGACTAGAACCTTTACCCACAAGAGTAGCCATGAAATTCATTAACTAGACATCTACAGTATTTACAGAATCTGTCCTTGAAGGAGTGAAAGACTAGTCTTTCTTCTTTTTGTGTGTAAAAAGATAAACCAGTCCAGGCACAAGAACCATGACAATCTGAGGCACTATGACAAACTTAACAAAGAACAGGCCGTAGAAGAGGCCTTGTGGTCGGACGGGGAGTGGCAGACGATGGACGTGGTACAGTCCCATTGAGGAAATGGCCAGAGACAAAGCCCGTGGGGCCCAAGGCAGAGACCATCCGCCTGGCTTCCAGTACTGGGCCAGCCCCAAACCCAGAAGGGCGCCACAGTCTCGAGTCAGAGAGGAGAATGGGGCTGTATCCAAACGGATCCACTCTGCATGGCTGCACCATTTCTTAGCCAAAGCAATAGACCTGTGGAATAAAAAAAAAATTACAACTTCCCCTCACAGAGCTTTTTATGCACTGAACAGACTCACCGATACACATAAATATAATAAAATGGCTAACCAGGAGAGGTCGATTCCCAGCTGCTGCAGTCCAGCATGCAGCATCAGAGTACTGAGCAGCAGACCAATGCTGAGGCAAAAGAAGAACAGCAGAGGGCGACCTTCTGGCACTCTGCGGCTCAGAACAATCCCCAGAATTAAACCTGACAAGAACAATTCGATCAGTTTAAATTTGCGATGTAAAATATACTGTATGTTCTCACTTAACCTCTGTGCTAACAAAGGGCAAAAAAGAAAAGCCATGAAATGTGAGAATATAAATGTATTTCACCTGTCAGAGATTGTGCCGTTCATACTGTGGTTAACATCTCTGACTGTATTATGCTACAGTGGGAATTATTGCAAATCAATGAGTCAAAGGTTATATAGTAATTTCGGATTCAAATGATTTTTGCATCAGTGTGGAAAAAGTACTTGTCAGGCATTTAATTCAATAGATTAGCCAAAACCAGCCATTACTCTCTGGTTATTTTACTCATTTGTGATGTCTTCATTGATTTTTCAGGAAATGTATTATATTAAGAAGACATTTTTTTATGTAAAATGACATATACAGAGCCTACCCATACTGTTTCAGCCTGTGCATTGAACTGTATTCAGACCTGTAATGGAGCCAGCAATGACCTGGTGTGGGAAGTGGGCGAGGATAAAGATCCTGGAGATTCCAACCGCCACCAGCATCACCACATACAGCAGGTAGGGGGCAGCTGATAACACCAAGCTGGAGGCACAGTGAAGATAGAAACACAGACAGATTCCCTAAAAAATAGCTCTGATATCCTCCAGTTCTCAAAGCTGAAAACAGCACATTTGTATAAAATAATACATGGGCGTACCTGTGAGTACGTGAGTACAGAAATGACCCCAGTGAGGACACCACAACCCACCAGACTGCTGCCGTCACCATCGCATGTCCCGACGGGCTGCCTGGGAGACAGACGACGGCTTTAGAGCTCTGAGTGCAATAAATCAAGTGTCCCGACTACGACTGAAACACTTCTCACCTGGGCCGGTTTCACAGGTGGAGGAAAACTGGTGAACTTTGGGTTGCTTGTTGACAAATAGACGTGATTCACCTATCCACCAGAACGGCCTTTCTCCAAACAGCATCCTGGGAGAAATTGAATTCACAACACAAAATATACAATAAGTTAGTAATAGTACATTTATGTATCATGAAGGTGCACGCCGCCACCTACTGTACCAATGTCTAACATCATGACTTTAGGTAGTGTTTGCACTCTGGATATTAAATCTATTTCTGTTTATCTATCTATCTATCTATCTATCTTCTATCTATCTATCTATCTATCTATCTATCTATCTGTCTCATAACATTGTTTGTCCAACAATCCTTTTCCTTACAGTTTCTAGTACCCTATCCTTAACTCTTTCTATACTGAACTTTATACATGCTTTCAGCACATTCTCACTAGTTTCACTACAGTTACAAACCTCCCATGTATCATATACTTTCTTGTATGTGAATGTTGCATTAGGGTCCACACATTCTCACCTTAATTAAGAAGAAAATTACATTTTCTTTTCTACACCAACCGCTATACATTTTAAACCTACAACAAAGCACTCTTTTATTGTATTTATCCCATATTTCTCTTCAAGATTTCATTATTTCATGGTATATAAATGCTTTTGCTTCAGCCGTATCAAAAATAATTTCTAAAAACATTACTGTCACAATTTTTAATTCTCATTTTGCCAATTTATCAACATTCTTGTTTCCATCTTACTCTTAAAAATGTTTTTCATTCAATTTGTGATATTTTACTTGTATTTTGTTTAATCCACTTTACAGTAATAGTAATACCATTTGTGGTGTGGAGTGTGTGTTTGTGTGTGCAGCTAATCTGTTGGATATTATTTTAACAAAGCACATTCCCTATTTGCGTCCATTGCGGCATGAATGTAAAACAACAATACTGCCAAAGCTACAAATGAATTACAAACATTTCATTAAATAACTAAATAAACCAGTAAAAGTTGTTTGTGTGTGTTAATAAAAAGTAAAATAATCATAATAAAAAAATAAAAATAAAAAAAATGAAAGAAAGTTAGATAATGAAACTAATATATTAAAAATTGAAATAAATAAATAAAATAGTAAGCGTGTGTGTTAGAAAATTTAAATAATATATTAAAATAAAATAAATAAATAAAATAGTAAGCGTGTGTGTTAGAAAATTTAAATAATATATTAAAATAAAATAAATAAATAAAATAGTAAGCATGTGTGTTAGAAAATGAAAATATATTAAAATAAAATAAATAAAATAGTAAGCGTGTGTGTGTTAGAAAATTTAAATAATATATTAAAATAAAATAAATAAATAAAATAGTAAGCGTGTGTGTTTGTGTTAAAAAAAATATAATACAATAATATATATAAAATAAAACACATTAAAATATATCTATGGGAAAATGCCACACACTGTGCTGTGTATAAAAGGTTCCGCTGTTAACTGTTTCACCTCGGACTGTGCGCACGGTCGGACAGCGCCGGTCATTTACGGATCCCGGAAGCTGCGACGTCAACAAAATAAAATACATAAATGTTTTCTAACTAAATCGTTGCGAATAAAAAAACCGAATAAAAGAAAACACTGCAGTCTGTAGCTGTAAGCACACCGACACTAACTGGTGTCAATGTAAACATGAGGAAAAAACACACACACACACACACACACACACACACACACACTTTTGGAGCCTTACCACTTAAACACCAAGTTTAACCACTCCGATACAGCAGCCACCCACAGCACCGCCACTCCAGCTCGCTTGCTGATGAAATATGTGAAAGGGAAGACGAGCAGAAAGGCAGCTTTGGGATCTCCAATGTGAGTGATGACTTGCCACGTTTTCTCCTGACTCATCGTCCTCTGCTGGAGACCTTCCGCCATCCAGATGCCCTGCGTGTACACGGCCTCCATGTCTAAAATCCTCCTTTTTAAAAATGAAAACAACTCAAACGCAAATCCTGATTATTTGTTGTTTCTTCAGGGAAGTGCTGCAACAAAGCCGGCAGTACCATTACACCTCCAGTAGGGGGGTGGCGGGGAAAGGGAGACAAAGCCACAACATTTCACCTCGATGAATTTAATTATATTTACATTTAATTTACAAGTAAATCTTTTTTTAGCGGGCGGCGTGATGGTGTGACGCGAGGTTTCAACATATTAAACATATAAATATAATTCACCGTGTTACGATAAATGACCCAACACGACGCGACGCACTTTCGACACGCCCAGGTTTCGTCGCCATACGACATCGCGTCGTTTTACGTAAGGCAGGCGCTCCGGTTTCCTGGCGGAGAAGATGGCGGCTCCTGGACCGGGGGAGTATTTCAGCGTCGGGAGCCATGTCTCTTGCCTCACCTGCTTGGGCCAACGTCTACAGGGAGAAGTGGTCGCGTTTGACTACCAGTCCAAGATGTTAACTCTGAGTATCCTTTGTTTGTTTCGAGCTGCGGGCGGCTTGCTGGCCTGCCTGGCTGCAAGGGCCTGTAGGGTAACCGAAAAATATGTCAAATAGTGATCCGCGCAGGCGTAATTGACGGCAGCCGAGTTGCATATCTTTGTCCGTTTAAAACATCTTCACTTGTGACTTAGCCGCCCATCCTTCTCGCATCCGTTAGAGACACTGTCGGTGTTGCCGGGTCATGTCACGGCTCCGCGCTATCTGCTAAAGGGAGCGCATGTGTTTTGAATCCACTCATTGTATTTTGCCAGACCTCAACATGGATCACTATCTGGCAGCGGATCCGCTCGTAAGGCATCATGGCTGTGTGCTCTCAACAGGCACCGACCGTTGCTAGTGAGCGAGCTAACTGACGTGTAGCGCCCCTCGCTCCGGCTCGCGTGCACAGATTTTTTCTTTACCGTGTGTCGTAGGGGGGGTGGTGGTGGTGGAGGGGGCCGTTACTCGGGAGACGGTAACGGTTATTTTCCAACGGTCGGCGATGAACGGACACCGAGTTCCCTTCCACGCGACCATCAAGTGGCCGTTAGCCTCGGCTAACATGCTAAGTTTCGGTCACACTGCCGCTGCTAGCTCAATTAACGGTATTAGCATTCCCAAGCTCACCAGCTGAGCCTTTTTCTTTCTTTCCTCCTCTCCCTTCTTTTTTTTTTTTTACTATGTCTCACTCGATTCTTGTGGGAATGTGATTCGTGGATGATTAACGGGGTGAATTGTGTCAGAGTAATGTTTCATTTCAATAAGATTGGTAGTGGTTAAAAAGCATCCTGAGCTCTTGACAACCAGCGGTAGCTTGCTCGGTGGACATGTCTACACCCATTCATAAGTGTGTGTGTGTGTGTGTGTGTGTGTGTGTGTGTGTGTGTGTGTGTGTGTGTGTGTGTAAAAGTATTAACATTATTTAGATGGTATGCCGGGTCCCCCTCATGACTTACACTAACCTCAGACTTAACGTGTAGTTGACGCCAAAGCGACCGAGCTGTGTGTGTGTGTGTGGGGGGAGACACCAAATTAAAGTTTAATACAGTGTGGAGGTTTGACAGTTTGCATCAGAGGCCTTTTTTTAATATATATATATTTGTTTAAACGGGTTTAAGTCCAATCCAAGATAAACTGGACTAACATCAGTCAGGATAGAGTTTAGTAAAAATAAAAGTCCAGCAGTATACTAGGGGAAAAACCTGGATATTTATATGAAGCTTTCTTTTGTAGGCCTTTAAATATAGTCTAATTATATTATGGCTCAGAATGAAACAAAGATGAGACCAGAGTGTACATTTAAATTACATTTGGCTTGAAGTTTGAGCCGTTTACTTTTACCACATAGGTCAAACTTTTAAGGTCGTGTGGTCACTGTCACAACAGGTCAAACCCTCTCCTAGTTATATCATCACTTATGTTTATTTTTTCTTTACATCAATTGACCGAATAAATTAAAGATAACTTGGAGTGTATCATTAATATGTAGCAAATTGGTGTAAAGAGAAAGAAGTCTGAAAAGCTGTGCCTGTATTACTGACGGGACAAGTGGGGTAAATGCTTTGGGGCCCTTGTGTCTCACGGATACATACAGATACATTTACAACATGTTCCTGTTAATTTTTGTATATGTTTCTGTATATAAGTTCAGACTTTTGCTGTTTTTCTCTCAAATTTCATCCTGGGACCTCATCTGACTGCAGCCTAGTACCCTTATCAAACCCCCCCTGGTTGAGTTTGTTTTATTAATCAGGCACTTCATCAAATAAGTCAAGCTGTAATGGGGAATTGACTCTAAAGAAAATTAATTTCATAGACTTCTCATTCAAAATCACAGAAAGGGAATACTTCATTTGCTCCTTGATGTATGTAAATGAGCTGTACATCAATTTAAACACATATGCAACATTACTTTATTCATCCATGGTTACGATAGATGGCAGCACTGCCTTTGGTAAGCGCACGCTGTAACAGGCACTACCTTTCACTGTCAGTGTAAGTCAGCCAGTGTTCTCTGTATCTTAAGCCTCTCTGTTCAGTCTAACTGCTGGGGGTCAGATTGCAATAGTCATTATGTGTTTCGATGCATTGCCATGAAGTTGTGTGCCTTGACTTCTTTTCAAAGAATGTGCTTCCTCCAGCGGTAAGCCAAACCTCAACGACGTCATCCTGATCAACTTAGCCTATGTTTCTGATGTGGACATAATAAATGACCGCACTGAGACTCCACCCCCACTAGCATCACTGAATGTTAGCAAGGTAAGTCCATTAACTTTGTTTTTGTCCTTTTACATGTGTCTCTTCATTGATGATGAGTGTAAATGGGAAGGATTAATTTCAGAGCCAGATGAAACACAAGTTATAAACTGTATGTGAATGTGAGGCTGAACTTGAAAATGCATCTAACTGAAAGCTCATCATTTATTGAGCTGTGACTCAATTCAGGGCCTGGATCCCTAAAAGGCTGGTCTATCATAGGATCTGAAAGCTGTGAGATAGATCAGAGTGTGAGCCTTTTCCACAAATGAGTGTAGCTTCACAAAGGCCAAAACTAATGATGCGTTCAGGCGCTGTACTTCCAATTTGGGCAAGATAAGCCTGTCAAATCTTCCCTGGCGTTGTCCGTCTGTGATGATTCTGTCTAGAAATATGGACTAGTTAGGATCCAGCCCCTGAATTGGGACACAACAGCAGGAAAAAAAAACTTAATGTTTTCAGATGGATCTTTTTAACCTTGCTAAAATAAATTAAATTTGTCCGTGTAAAGTACACCTTGTGATTAACTGGTCACCTATTCCTGGTTCAAAGCTGTCGAAGCGAATAATGTTTGACATTAAGAATGCCTTTTTGGTCTGATTAACTCTTCACAGCTTGCCAATCGAGCACGGACAGAAAAGGAGGACAAGCTGTCCCAAGCCTATGCAATCAGTGCTGGGGTTTCTGTGGAGGGCCAACAGCTATTCCAGACTATTCACAAAACGTAAGAACTTCACACTATTGCATGGTCCACAAGGTGGAGGAGGTAGTCGCCAGCCCTGCTCAGTGTTTCACAGTGAAGATCCAAAGTATCCATACATATGTGTCAGACAATTAAATAAACACTGTCTATGTTGTTAAGATGAAATTATGCTGATATTCAGAAAGAGAATCAAAGACAGTCAGAGACTGTTTAAAGTAGACCCAAGAACATTAACACCTGCTCCAAAATATGATTCTCCATCATAATCACTCCAGGTAGTGAGTCCCATGGCAGTAGAGTGGGACCTTATCCCATTAGAACATAATATGAACACAGCCCAAGACTGACAGTGTCCAAACTAATTGTGCTCATATTGAGGAAGCTTTGCCTCCTTTTTATTTGTTCTGACTGACTTGACTACTTCACCTCTTTTCCACTTTTAAATCCATCAAAGACAAACTCATATTCCAGATATCTCATTTCTTCCTGTATAACATTTTATTTAAATAAAATCCTTTCAGGTGTCAGGTTTTGGGTGACAAGAGCTGATTCAAGACCAGTTTAAATAGGGGTATAAAGACAGAAAGGTACACTATAGATGTAAAACTAAATGTTGCTTTTAATGACCACACTATATCCCACAGTCAAGAAACAGCTTGGTTTTAATTCCTGATCTCGAAGATAAATAACTTCAGTAACACAGAAAAACAAAGTTTAAAGTTTTTTTTGTTTTTTAGACAACAAAACAGTAATTATTTCCTCCGTCTGTCCTGTGGCCGTCTGAAAAAGTTAATTAAACTTTGTGTCGAATGCACATGTGTGACATGGATGGTATCCGATGTTAGTCTCAGATATCTGATCAGACCCTATTTTAGCCCCAGATCAGACTGTTATTGGACACCTGTATGGGTGTTTCCCTACTTTGTGGACAGAGGCAACTATAGTAAGTTGTAGCTGGTCACGCCATGATTAAATCTGTCTTTTTTTAAGAGATGTGCATATTTCTTGTTACTTGTGGAGTAGTTTGTCTTGTAAAATCCTATTTATTTATTCTTTCTCTTTCCCCCAGTGACCAATTCACTCATTACGAAACTTATCTATTGTGAGATCTAGTTTCACTTTCATTTAGTTACAACCCATATGACAAATATCTTTGTCAATTGTAGTTTTATCTATGCAATGTATTTGACATACTATTAGTCATGTTATTGGATACTGTGTGTGGACATCTGCCAGTTATAACCAAGTCTATGGAAACTGTTTAGCTGAGAAAGTGGAAAATTAATGTGAGGAAAACCAGCACGAAAATCCACAGTCCACGCCTTTCCAGTCATGTTACATTGTTTGCTTCACTCACAAAACGTCTGCTCAGCTGCTAAGATGATGTTTGCTTTTTCTTTGCAGCATCAAAGACTGTAAATGGCAGGAGAAGAACATTATTGTGATGGACGACGTCGTAATCTCGCCGCCTTACCAGGTTGAGAACTGCAAAGGCAAAGAGGGAAGCGCTTTAAGTCATGTACGCAAAATAGTAAGTATGCTTTATATCTATACAATATTTCACCAACAACGATCTAAAACGAAATTCAATTAACTGTCAGAAATGCAGCAAATCGTCACAATGGGAACCTGGAAGCAGAAACAGTCTTAGGATGGTTGACATATGTCAGTGTTTTTGAATTTTAAAACTTGGACACTCACTAAGCCACGTAGGTGTTTGAACTTGTGTAGCCTGATTAGACCTCTTTTTCAGGACAATGTGAGCATGTATCTTCCTCGCTCTCTGTGTCAAAGCCATTGTACGGTCCCTGCCAACACTTAAAAGCAGGGAAAAGGTTAAAGTTTACCACAGCGTCTGCTGCTGTTTGGCTATCAGCCAGTAGAGATTCAATGCCACACCTGCCATCTGCACTCCATTTAACTGAGTTCCTGCACACATGCCACTATGTTAACACCCCAAGGTGTGAAGTGATGCACAGCCATTGGTGCATAGATCTTGGTGAAGTTACGTTATTTCCTGCATAACTTTACTTGGTTGTACGTCTTGAAATTAAATTCACCCGGTTATCTTTGTTTTTTCGGTGTGGAAATCATTAACTTAGTTCAACGGAACCCCAAAATGGAGAAGATATTGCCACAAAACGCACTTTTGAAATGTGTGTGCAATAGTGCGGTGTGCTCAAAACTACTTTGTACGATGTGTCGACCACGTCGGAGTGTTTCCAGGCATTTTTTTCAGACACTTTTCATTCTTGCATTCATAGTATTAGTGTGCACTAATGTACACATGAAAAGTGACAAACTTGTTTTAAGGTAAAAGCTAAAGAAAGAAGCCCTGCGTAGTCTCACACCTGGCCTACCTGCACAAGTACTTAACTGTTTGAATATTATATATCATTCTGTTTACTTTGAGACAAGAGATTTGTTTCACGGTTAGGTGTTGCTCTCGGTACAATGACAGCATGAGGTTAAAATCATCAAAGTTTATCGGGAAGCCCCAGCTGGTATATCGGGCAGCTTCAAGTGCTCATTGTTTAGATATGTATGTTATAGGGTTTGTCTTTTACAGAATCTGTGTCCATATTGTTCATAAATGTTTTGTCCTTGCAGGTTGAGAAACATTTTAGAGACGTGGAAAGTCAGAAGTCCATGCAGCGTTCACAAGCACAGCAAACACAGAAGGACTCCACTTTATCTTCTTGAGTTGGCAGTGTGGGTCGGCCGGGGAAGGCGACGCGGGTGGTTTTGTTCCCACTGCCAGACTAAGTCGGCATTCCTTGTCCTCAGTCTGAGACCACAAGGAGGAGCGCTGAGGGCCCTGGATCCAGAAGATCAAAATACCATTAAATGAAAAAGACAAAAAAGAAAGAGGAAAGATTAAATCTTAAATTAGACTTTATAAAGAATAATTTAAACATGAACCATAAAGCAACCATAGTTTCCTTAACTAACTTGTCTCATTCTGCCCCCACTCCTCCCCCCTGTCCCTGAAACCTTTTTCTTTTTCCACCCTCCTTCCTTTGCCTTCAGTTCCATTTCAAAAAGAGAAAACTAGAGCAGTCAGAAAGGCTTGTTAGCTTTATTTTCTGTCATTGTTTCCTTTTTTGCTGTATCCATGTTCTACTGTCTGTATTTTCTGTATTTTAAACAAAATGTGACTTGAAATGCCACACTTTAAAGGACATTTTCTAAAATAAAAGTAACAAAAATTCTGACTGTAATACTGTAATTTTCAACAGCTTTTTAATGGTCTAATGAAGAATGAATTAACTGATCTATGCAATCCCTTTCTTTGTTGAGATATTGAGATAATAGGAATCGCTGAAAATATGTGTCAGCTGTGGGACATGCAAAGGGGTAAAACACTTAGTGTGCATATTTGTGGTTTGCTGGGAAACGTGACAATCCCAGTCGTCCTTAACTGTCCTCTGGGTGACGGATCAGGCTGCCACATCGTCCACGTTTTTATGGACAATGCTCAGGTTTCTTTTCAGGGATTGTTTGGTCGCCTGATTGAGATCCATCCGTGTAACTACAGGGAACTGAAGCCATCACTGTTTCAAATTAATTATTTAAATGTCTTAAGCCTCTGGTTGCTCTAAAGCTGCTTGATGACATTTACTGCTGTCCTCTGGGCGACAAAGAGCACCTGACAGTAAATCCGGACTATGAATTTTTATTTAAATACGTAGTTTACAAAGTTCAAACTAATGTAGCTGCACTTGGAAAATACTTGAGAAGAGCAGTGATTTCTGTGTCTTTGAGTGGAAGTACAGCAAAGATTTAAGGTAGGCTGGTGTGGTTTTATGTGGTTTGTTCACCGTTAACTTGTGATTTAAAAGTAGGTCTAAGAATTATTTTCAGTTTTGTCTGTAAAATGTCAGAAAATGGTGAAAAACGCTCATCGCAATTCCCTAAAGATCCAGTTGAGTAAATCAAATATCTTGTTTTGTCAGACAAACGGTACAAAACCCCAAAAATATTGAGTTTATTTTCATAGAGGACACAGAAAACATGAAAATGGTCATATTTGAAAAGCTGGTTTGATTAAAAAAAAAAATCATTTTTAATTTACAGAAGATACTCAGACATAATTTTGAGGTCAGTCATTACATTGGGACAGATTAAAATCATGTTACTAATTAAAACCAATGTCCTCATTCCCATAATCTGTAACAAGCTGATTCCCTCTGTGACTCAAAAGATTTAGTTATGAAATATCCATATAATCTTATGTAATGTGATGTTGAATGCTAAGATAAAGTAAACAGGAAAAAGTAAAACCTGTCTGCAAACACAGTAACAGATGTAAATCCTTACTTTAGGAAAGAGTCCAAAACAGAGCAGGTTGGTTCCTCAGATATGGTCATGTTTTGTGATTATCTGTTTAAGCCCATAATCCCCTCTCTAATCAGGAATATTCAGTATCTGCTCATAGTGAATTTACTGAAATGACATCAGTATTCTGCCATTGAAACAGGTTCTTTTGGTATTGCTCAGAGGGAAATGCATACAGGAGGGTAACCAGGCCTTTCAGCAGGAGTGATGAGACTGATCTAAGTTGAAGATGCCTCTCAGTGGCTGCACGATGCTCTGTGTGCTGCCTCTTCTCCTGAACACGGTGTTGGGCTTCAAGCTGTGTCCCAGCCACTGCCTGTGCTATGAATCCTCTGACCTGGTGGACTGCCGGTCTCGAGGTCTGGTGTTGGTCCCTCCCAGTGTCCCCCATGGCACCTGGCTGCTGGACTTGAGTGGGAACAAGCTGACGGAGGTATGCACCAGATCTTTCATAGGGTTGTGGTCACTCAAGATCCTCCTGATGTCCAACAACAGCATCCAAACTCTGCAGCCACAGGTACCCAAAAACTTAGCATTCACTTTTATTGTGTATAAATATATATTCTGTGCTCAATACTTTGGTTTAGACCAGACTAAGTATCATGTTATTGTTGCAGCTTTTGGAGGGGGGACCGATCTATACTTATATACTTACACTTAATATATAATTTTTAATACATGGTAGTCCACTCTTTAAATAGGCACCATATTTTGTATTCAAGTTGTCATTAAGTTGATCTGTGTATATGAAATTTTAATGTAGAAAGTGCTAACCATTAACTAAAGCTGTGAAATAGGGCTGCAACTAATGATTAGCTTCATAATTAATTATAGATAATAAAAAATATAGATAATTTGTCAGAAAATGGTAATAAATGCCTGCACATGTTCTCAGAGCCCAAGCTGAGGTGTTCAATTGCAGTTCAAAACCAAAGATTTTCACTTTACAATCATATAAAGGTAGGGGAAGTATTCAGATCCTTTACTTTAAGTAAAAGTACAAATACAACACAGTGAAAATACTGTACTACAGTCCTGCATTGAGAATGTTACTGTAAATATAATCATTAAAATGTACGTCACTCAATACTCAATGCAGAAAAATGTCCCCTGTGATTGTTATACTATTATTATTATTACTCATTATTATATAAATGTAAAAGTAGGACCTAATTTTTAATTACTTTGTGCAACTTTTATATTATTTTCATTATTTATTAATGTGATTATTGTTTTCTCCATTAACCAATTCATTTAGTTTGTAAAAATTCTGAAAATAGTGAGCAAAGTAATGCCGTCACAACTACCCGAACCCATCTTTCTATTGCTTGTTTTGTCCAACCAACAATCCAAACCTCAAAATAATTAAAAATACATTTAAAGTATTAAAATAATAAAAATATAACTACTAAATAACAAAAGCTGTTAGATAGAGGTATCTTTATGAAGAAAAATGTATAATATTTCCCTCTGAAATATTTCCCACATTCCACTTCTATATAAAACCAAGAAAAGCAGCAAATGTTTGTCACTTTTTCCTGATTAATGAGTAAAAGGATTGATCGATTATCAAAGTTGTTGCCGAATATTTTTTGTCAAATGACTAATGGATTACTTGTTGATGAATGTAGTACAAAGGACAATATTCTCATCTGAAATGTAGAAGAGTATAAACCAGTAACTACCATATAATAGTAATACTCAAGTAAAGTACCTCAAAATTGTACTTAAGTACAGTTAATGAACTTTTCACCACTGTTTTTGAGACATGAATTCAGCATTAAGTCCATTTTCTGTCCTCTTTCATTTCAGTCTCTGTCATCCCTGGAGTTCCTGGAGAGGCTGGACTTGAGTTTTAACCAGCTGCGTTGGCTCCCTCAGGACTTCTCCCAGAGTCTGTCCTCCCTGCAGGAGCTCCGGCTGGACCACAACCTGCTGCAGCACCTGGACTCTGCTTCACTGGGTGAGTTTAAAAACCTGAGGAAACTGGACCTCAGTTACAACCGCATCCGGGCGATGGACGTCAGGGCTTTCAGCGGCCTGTCTCGACTGAGCCTCCTCGACCTGGAAGGAAACAAGCTGAACGTGCTTAAAGACGGCCTGTTGAGCAGGCAGCAAAGCCTGGAGGTGCTTCTGCTGGGCCACAACAACATCTCAGCGATCGAGACGGAAGCTCTGGCTCCTCTGCGGAGTCTGACTTTGCTGGGCCTGCAGGGAAACCAGCTGCAGCACATCAGGTTCAAGACCTTCCTGAAGCTCCAGACCACCACAACCCACCTTCAAATGTCCTCCAACCCTTGGACCTGTGACTGTGAGCTGCAGCGCATCTTCGCCAAGATCCATCGCGTTCGACATCTGCTGGTGTACGACTACAAGGACATCATCTGTCATGCTCCTGCTCAGCAAGCCGGGAGCTCCCTGGCGTCGCTGGACAGCCAGCTGTGTATCACTGAGACAGCATCAGTGCTTGTCATCACCATCACGGTGATGCTCGCTGTGATTGGCGCCCTGGTCAAAGCAGAGCACAACCGTAAGAACAAACAAGCTGCCAGTGATGCAGAGTCAGATGGACAAGAAAAATGATGTGTTTTATTCATGACCAGGATGTCTGGGACTGAGGTGTGGTCCCTGATGCCTGGTATTGGACATTGTTGCATAATAGATTGTAGCCAACTACACAGTATCATGTTTCATCCAGCCCCTAGACCACATGATCTGACTTCATTTTATATTTAGATTTCCTTTAAAGCTTTCTTTAATTTACTCAATTTTCTGCTATATCTGGTGTGGCAACCCCTGTAGCAGAAGGCAAGTACAGAATAGCCCTTTAAAACTCATTTAAATGTGCGTATCTTTTTTAACAGTCGCCCAGTATTCAGTTTGAATACCTCAAGGTCTCTAACTTGAAAACAGGATCCCTATACAGCCAAGAAACTTCTTTCTATAAATGTGGGTGTGGTGGTTAGTACAGGTTACTGACGGTACATCTTCAAACATTTTTGAAATTCCCCATCATTTGACATCTCTGAAACCATCTAGCCACATCTCTGTCTCTTCTGATGACGTCCTTTGGAATTTGAAAAACTGGTTGTGTTCCAGTATCTGATCTTTCTTGTAGGTGATGAACTTACTAACCTTTTTATTTTTGGCTGTGCAGTAATACAAGTGATGGCAATGGTCACACCATCATGGATGGACTAATAAGTGGTAATTAAGTCTGATACTAGCAATGGACATTTGGCTCAACCCTCCATTTTATTTTATTATATATTGTAACAATATTAAACTTTATCATTACAACAATGGTAAAAAAAAAAAAGAAAAGAAAACTAATCTAACTATTCTCAGCCAGAACTGAACAACCTGACGATTTAACATCTACACTGAAACAGTTTATTGGCAACAGAGAAACAACTGCATAAATAAGTTAATTCTGGCTTGCACATATGAATGACTTATTAATGCAAATTTAGTCTCAAGAGAAAACCGTTGCTACTTAATCGTATTGTTTTATACTCAGAGGTGTTTTTAATAATTTGTCCAGCACACTTGTTTCAATGAGGTCAGGCTCAGTAATAGAAAGTCCTGTCAGTATAATACAACACCATAAACTATATCCTCCAAAATGACCATACAGGAACACCTCTCCAAAACAAAAACTGAACATAATAACCTTCATTAAGGCAGGATTTATTGCAGGACTGGATTGGACGATATAGATATTTAGCTCCAAATCCAATTTAGTCTGAGGCGTCGGTTACATTCAGCCTTTCATCCTGTGCAAAACTGACATGGTTTTATGGAAAGTTGAGGTGGTCATAGATAAATCATCATTACCAGTACTGCAGTTTAATTACAGTTTAAACAATAAAGTGAAATGAGTTATTGTAATGATCAAAATACTCAAACATTGACAGTAATCCTCAGAACTTTGTGCACCATCATGTAACTAAACAAAGTCATTTCATATAAAAGTATAACTATTTACACAGAATTAACAGCTGTGCTTATTAAGTTTAATGAATTTCACATGAATGCAAGTTGAAAGCAAGTGTTTATCACCAAATGGCCATTCCACAGACAAGACAGCATAAGTTAAATTTTCCCTTTATTTGCAAAATATTTAAACCATATACTGTAAAATATTATCAAATCATTTAAGACTATAATTTTTGGAGTAAAAGGTATTCCTCCTGTAGGTATAAAGTACTTATACTCAGTGTCATGTTTCAGAGCGCAACAAAATGTAAACACGAATCTGAATAAATTATTAAATTGCTAAAAAGGAAGCTCGTGTTGTGTTCTTTTTCTTGCAAAAGTTACCAACTGGTAGGTAAAGACAATCGACGCTGCTTACATCAAACAGTCTCAGCTTGGAGTGTTTAATATCCTGAGAGGTCACCGAGCAACGGCAGCTTTCAGTACAAAGTCGGGCTGTGACGTGAAGGCCATCAGTCTCATCCTGCGCAGACACCTCGGTCTGTAAAAAGTTCTCTGTGAGAGCGCAAGGGTTCAACCGTCGGTGGCCAGGATCAACACAGCGCCGAAGATGCCCACGTTATGTCCAATCAGCTTCATCTGGTTCCAGAACTCCACCTTGCGGGTGTGGTGCCAGTAGCCCAGGTTGCCGTCGATGAGCAGGATCACCAGAGGCAGGACGGTGGCCAGGATCTGTGCGGCCAGGCGGATGTAGCAGCCGGACAGGAAGGCCAAGGCCAGCACCCCGAACAGCACCTCCAGCAGCATCAGCGTGATCTCTCCTCCCACGATGTGGTTTAGATAGGCCTGCCTGTCCTCTTTGCTGTGCTGGAGGGAGTACACCTAGTGGGGGGAAAGTGGTACTGCGTCATTTAAAATGACACTGAAAACAGGCTTTGATTTGTTTTGACTTAAATAAAGTATTACATGTGACGATGTGACTCATTTGACATATGCAGAAATGAAGCCTTATTCATATAAATGATGATTATCTGGTTTGTACATATTGACTCCAAGTAGGTCTTTTTTATATTTAATGATCACAAGAAGAATTGTGATCTTTAACTTGGACTGTTAGGACAATATCTGCAACTAATAACCATTTCATTATTAATTAATCTACTTATTTCTTTCTTGATTAATAATTTAATCTATAAAATCAGCTTCAGTTTCTCAGAGCCCGATCTGACATCTTTAAATATCTTCTTCTGTCTGAGCAATAGTCCAAAACCCAAAGATATAGAGTCTACAGTGCTATAAAACAGCATATGATCACTTGGATTAAAGCTTCAGTCAGTCACTAAATGTATCCTGTGACTGTTCGTGTCAGAATCTCCTACTGAGGCCAGCCACATGCAAATACTCCATAAAACTGACTAGATCTTACCATGCAGATGAGGTACACTCCCAGGAAAACCTGTCCAGTAGACTGCAGGGATCTGCTGCGAGGTTTCTGTCTGTATACCTCTCCCGCCCCACTCGCCAGAACCATGAAGCCTCCGATAATGGCCAGCACTCTGGAATACATTCGTACCTGCAGGGCAGCAATGATCAGGCTGTAATACGTTTCTACTATAATCTCTGACGAAACCATCTACTTTCAAACTTCTACGGTGGCCTAGAATCATTTTGTCACTCGTGCGTGACACAGATCTGATTTCAATATTTCACCACTAATCTGGGCCACTTTTGAACGTGTTTCTATATCTGATTCTGTGGCAATTTGAACTCTGGCCCAAACAGTCAGAATTCAGCAGGTGAGACTGCATTAGAAATATTGCTTCATTGCCAACTAAACCAGAAGTGTTTAAAAGCCCATTAAAAGAGATGCTCATTTGAAGAGTTCAATGCAGTAGCAATGTCACTGTAAAGAACCTTTAAATTAACATCTGAAGAAGCTTTGAATCTATGATCAGGTTTGATAACGATCGAGGACATTTCTATAAAGTTTGGTCTCATTTTCTAATTTATATAAACAAACAGAATAGCAAATAAATATTTTAATTTATTTTATTTACATTTTTACTTTTAGTGTGTATATATGTCATATTTTATTTGTTTGGTTAATCTAATTTTAATGGTACCAGACTACTTGTATGTGTGCTTGTTCTGTTATCTATTCTTCAAATATTTACTGGGCAAAAAACTTTAATTACAACAACTTAAAACAAATATTCCCCCTGTTGTTGACACTCAAATCACATAATATAAATGTACGTTTGTCATTACTAAAACATTAAGATAAATATGTCCTGATCGTTATCAGTTAAGCATCTGGTTGGCCACATCAAAACCTTGATACTGCTTACAAAACCAAACCAGAGGAAAGGCCAACCTGCAATACTATAACTGATGTTAGAAAAACAGTAACACTAAACAAAAAGGAAGTTGCAGGGAGTCCGGAGAAGATGATGCTCCGTGTTCAGAAGCACACGAGTAACTGAACAGCAGCTTTGTTGCTATAAACCGACGGTGACTCACCTTAAGCCAGTCCCCGTAGTACACCTGCTCTCCAATATACGCCGCGTAAGTGCTGACGACCAGTTGTATGGCAGTGGCCATTGCAAACCACCTCCTCTTCACCCCAAATGACATGAAGCTGGCGCAGAGCACTGCTGCCCCCATGTCCACATACAGGTATGGTACATGGATGTCTGGCTTCCTGGAGATGATAATGAATCAAAAGAACTTTAAATAAAACTCTGTACTGTTTTTCATTTCTATGGCTACTGCTTTATTTTTAATTGCCCGATGTATATTGTGTATCGTAGAGGGAGGCAAACACTGTACATTGCATTGGGATGCTTCTGCTGCGTTGAATATAAACTAACTACTGATCATTTTTTGTTAACAATTGATCTATAAACTGTTGTGATTGCTCATTTATAGTTATATTAATAATACAGCAGAGCAGTTGCTCAATATTGTTGTTTATAATCTCTCGGATTAAATATAATATCTAAATGAATGATAGCATTTTTAGAAAATCTGCTGCTGTATAAAATCTTAGATGCTTTTTATTACAGGATTTTGTCCAATCTAAATAATTATTTTGACAACAGCTTTTTTTTACAGTATATAATTCATAATCATGTAATTGCAGATTAATTGTTTTTTTCTGTTTCACAAAAAAATCTACATTTCAATCCCAAATCGGCCCTTCATGAGGGACAGAGGAATCTAAATCAATTTGAATTAAAGGATCTACTACTGTTCCTTTAATTTATTTCCACATCAGGCAACCCAAAAGCAAATCCCAAAGTGTTGTAAAAGAGCTGTCCAGAAGTCAATCACCTTAAAGGAGGCTACTGTGTTTAATGGTAAAGGATGGAGAAACCACCTGCAACTATCTGCATTTATGAAGCTGTAAGCAGCACAAGAACCCAACTCACTGTCAAAACAACTCCAAAATAGGTTAGAGAGCCCTTACAGCACAACACCAAGTAAAAATATTACTGCTCTATTTGAGAGGCAAATTACCAAGTGAGGTATGATAAAGGCTGTACATCCTCTCCTTACATGTTGCTATAATTACAGGATAATTCAGAGGGGTGTGGTACTCTAAGTAAGACCAACCCACCACACACTGAAACAACACACGCCCAGTGTACATAAGAGATTAAAACCACCATTACTACACAGAGAAACTCCAGCCTGTGGCCTGTCCGACTGAAAATTACAGAGCAGGCTAAAACACAAACAGGTCTTTTTTTTAATTTAAACAACTCCACATGGCTGCAACTTTCTGCCTGAAGTCTACTTATAAACTACAACCCCCATTAGCTGGGTTGGTTATCAGGTTTAACATCTTTAATAAATAAAAGGAAAAAAAAAACTACACCTGCCTAAACAACAAACAGCTTCTATAATTATCTTTAAAAATAAAATCTTGATGTTTGATGGTGCGGTTAGCTGCTCATCGTTAGCTACTGTTAGCTTCCCTACGGTGGCCGTCTTCAGCGCTCTCGCTTTTTACCTTTTAGAGTCCGCTCGTTCGGCAAACAGCATCAACATGCTGAAGCAGTTCCAAAACCCGAACCGGGTTAAAATAAACGCTCCCAACTGGCTGAGAAACCTGAACGTCTGTTTCCTACTGGGAGCTGCCATTGCTGCTGTGGGACGCCTATCCTCCGACAACGCTGCGGTTGCTCAAATGACTTCCGGCGACGATGCGATGTGCGTGTCGTAATAAAAGCACGCATCGTTCCGCCGTGTAGAAGGTAGCGTCAATTCGAACTACGATGCTCTTGTTTTGAAAAGAGTTTGTGCGCTACGGTCCAGGCGTCTTCCTATTGGCTGACAGATCTAGGTTGGCGGGGCAGTGTCGTTCAAGGACGCAAGAGAAAAGAGAAGAAAGTTCGACACCGCCCTCTACAGGAGAAAGTAGATCATTACACATATATTGTAAGGACATTGGAGGAAATAATGTCTTTGCCTGCTGTCTAACCATATTATTTTCTTGCATGTGGCTAAGGACAGGTCCAAACGACCCTGTTCTACTCAAAAAGCTAAAAGATTTGACCACAGAAATTGTGTGTAATACTTACAAACAACAACCATATTTGATACTGCTTTAATTTATAGATGCATTAATGTGACCACATGCACCAACCCCAAAACACTTTCAGTAGCCACTGAAAAAGTTACGTTTTCTGTCTTGATATAACAAATTAAATATATTTTTACACATTTTATAGCCACACACAAAGTCTTCCCTACAATGACAGGATTATAATTCTGGTGGGAAAAATACAAATCTAGTTGTTCATATTTTTGAGACACTTTAGAATTTCGACTCTCATTAGTATATAATGGATTTGTAATTTTAGAATTTGTGTAACTTTTTTTATTGGTTCATTTAACAGCGACATTGCACATTAATATGTAATAATGTAAATGCACCACAGTTGGCAAAAAGGCTGTTTTTCATCTGAGGTCCCTGGACGGATGTTAAAAGAAGAATATAGGAATATAAGATTAACATTACGAAAGTTAATAAAATAAATTATGAGCATGCAGAGCCAAACGCTGTGTTATACTACACTGTCAAGTACTAAATAAAACATTTAATGCACAAGCACATAGTAAAAGACAAGACAATGTTAATAGAAATATGCACTAAATAAGGGAAAATATGTATCTGTAGAATGTAAATTCCTCAGGTGATTAAAACCCACAAACTCCCTGAAAACAATTTAAAGTACAGCACAGTGTCTCCAGTGGCAGCTGTGGTCCATAACAAATTCCCAGAGCCAAAGGATCTTCACTTTGCTGTTTCCCTGTTCCAAACGACAGTCCAGAAATTAAAGATATTCAGTTTACAATAATACTGAGGTAACCATTTGAAAGTAGCCCTCACTGTCATCAGAGTCGACGAAACATCCTGTTTGACAATGAAAGTGATTCAGACTAAAACAGGACAGATCAATCGGGAGGGGCGTCTTTCGTCAGGTGTTCAGTGACACCAGGGCCGGCTCTAGCCCATTTGGTGCCCTAGGCGAGATTGACTGTGACTGTGTGGCTGTACAGGACTGTAGCTGTTTGTTTTTCCTGAATCAGCCAAGATGCACTGGGAACAGAAAGTAAAAATGAGGAAGAACAGTAAAGCATTTTTGCTTATGCAGAAACATAAATAAAGTTGCATTAAGCGTTTTCATGGTTCATTCATGACTCAGATTCTACACGTCATATATTTTATTTTATGAATAAACATGAATAATGTTGGAGCCAATCTCGGCGCTCCTGTTTCCACGTGTAGTTTGTCTAATGTACAGAATTACAGTCATGCAACTGTTACATGTGTACATTAGTGTGTGTGTGTGTGTGTGTGTGTGTGTGTGTGTCTCTCGCTCTCTCCTCCCCAGTCCTGCAGGTGAGAGGTTGAAGATTGGCTGCCAGTCTGTGAAAGGAGCCGTGGATTGGCGCACAATCCGGCCAATCAGAGACGGAGGGACCTTTGAAAAGCCTCTCTCTTGTTTTGCTCTCTCTCTCTCTGACTTTGCTTTGTTGGACAGGAAGGTTTGTGGTGGGAACTAGGGACTGGGGTAAGACTGGGGTACCCTCTACATCTACACATGTAGAAAGACCATTGTTATCACATCAGGTTATGGGTTGTTGCCACTGTTTTATTTTTATTATTTTCAGAAGCATTTGTAGGCAAGACAGTCAGGCCTTTTTGTTTCCTTTTTTCTTTTCACACAGATAAGGTCGAGCAAGGCCCTTCATGAGTGTACTTTGTTTGTTTTATTTGGCATGAACCCCACAGGTCCCCTTGACAGCTTCAACAAATTTAGCAGCAACATTTGTTCTTAATCTTTCAGAAAACAAATATATTGGATATTTTGACGCATATTCTAAACTTAATTAACCTTATTTTTCTAAACAAAGCTGTAACAGCTGTTGTATTTTAGCATTACACGCACCTCCAACCTGACTTGACTGTCTCATGACCTCATGGGGGTTTTGTATGCCTAAACTGCCTTTGTTTAAATACATGTAATATACTGCCCTGAATTTTGGACAAAGTTTTTTCATCAACATGTTGAGAATGTCTAAACAATCCTATCATATCACAGATAATATCACTCAAAAATTAACAAATATATAAAACCGATTCATTTGGTTTCATTCACAATTTTATTAGTTTGTGTGAATCATAACCATATATGGATTAATGGGAGGGATGTAAAACCCAACTTCACATACACAAACACAGATTTTAAGGTGCAGTATTTCAGAAAAGAACAGATCCTTAAAACAGTGAAACAATAAAATGTAACGGCAGATAAAAAAATTAGAAAGCAGTTCAAGATCTCAGAGGCCCCGCAGTATCATATTGGAGCTCAGTGATACATGTTGGGGCTAAGCCATTGTGCTTATTTATACATGAGGACTAAGATTTTATTGTTTGATTTTCTGACACAATAGAGGGAAAATATTTTACAACAGGGTTTAGTGCAGGGTCTTTAGTGTGCTTCAAAAGTGGAAACATGAAACTTACAACTAATCAACAAAGACAGATGACTAGTGCCTAATGATATAAACTAGATGAGGTCCAGGAACGGAACTAAGGAAGAGACTCAGTAAACTGATCAGGAGAGCGAGCTCTGTCCTGGACTGTCCTCTGGACTCTATAGAGGAAGTGGGTGAAAGGAGGATGTTAGTGAAGCTGACATCCATCATGGACAACAACTCTCACCCCCTACATGACACTGTGGGGTCCCTGAGTAGCTCCTTCAGCAGCAGACTGTTACACCCTCGGTGTAAGAAGGAGAGGTTCTGCAGGTCTTTCATCCCTGCCGCTGTCAGACTCTACAACACCTGATCAATGTTGTAGTTTCTTTTTCCAATAACCACCACTACTCACCATAGCTTGTATATCTGTCTTTTATCAGTATTTATTTTTTCACTTCAATTTCTTACCATGTACAATATTATTTATACTATGGCCACTTTACTTTTAGTACTCCTTTTGCCCGTCTTTGCAATTGTTTATTTGTCCATTTGTTTGTCGTATATGTTTAAGGACATTTCTGTCTGTTCGTTGTGTTTGCTCATTCTATTTTATTTCTGTAGTGTATATTACACATCTTTTGCTTCTGTCTTGCTGCTGTGACGAGCAAATTTCCCCATTATGGGATGAATAAAGTATAATCTAATCTAATAAAAAATGATCCAAGTTTAGGAAAATAAAGGTCAGCACAATAGCATCAGCAATTTGTTTGCTTGTATGTGTTTATTTTCCCTACACAAATCAAATTAATTCAAGTTTGTGCCACTCTTTTTCTCTGGTTATCCTTGTCCCACCTGCAGTGCCACCCCCCCTCCCGTTTGAAGGGAGTTAAATCCTGCACTCACCCAACAGCAGATACTTAGCAGTATGACCCGGCTTCATATCTACATTGTATCTACATTGTATCTGCTCAGTCTAAATTGCACTTGCTTGCCAAACGGACTTGATAGGCAACAATAGGCAATAAATGCAATGGTCCGCTCAGTAGTCCAACCACCTTCACTGTCATCTGGCTGCACTCCTGTTAGAAACCACTGTGGAATGAGGAACTTTTCATTAATTATATTCCTTAACTGGTCTTAAAAAAACTCTAATGAAGTCCAGACTGTCAGCTCTGACTGACACTTAAATAACTGAGTGAGTGAATAATTACACACTTAATCTGTGAGGTTCTTAAAGGGCCTATGAACCTCTCAATGTTACATATAAACACATTTTGATAAAAAAAAAAAAAAAAGTCTTCGTCTATGAATGCTAATGAAGCGCTCTCTGGGAAATAAATAATGATTTGGATGCAACAGTAACGTCATTGGAGTTCTCTTTTATCTTCAGTGGGAACCTGTAAAAGCAGATTAATAGAGGAAAAATTTAATAACTGATTAGAAACTTATCAGAGTTCATGAACATTATTAACATACTTTATGTGAGTAATTGTGAGTTTGTGACAGAGGTGGACCTTACTTTTTTATTGTATGCTACTTTATACTTCTACATATAAACTGTATATAAAACAGTAAAAACAAGCTCCACCTGTAATATTGTAAACCTTTTCGTCATAACGAGAACTTTTACTTCAGTAGGATTTTAAATGCGGGACTTTGACATGTAACAGAGTAGTGTTACATTGTTGTATTGGTACATGTACTTTTGATTTATGGAGTAGTACCATAAAACCCCAGAGCCATCTGCTTCCTGTAGTCATAATGGATGGACTGAGAAAATGTTTTCTCATGCAGAATGTTTTTGTGAATTATAAAAATAAGCTTTGTGTCATGCAGCTGGGAAGAATATTGTACATTATGTCAGTGGACATAATATGTGCACAGTCTCGTTGAAACAATGACATACTCACTGTGATCAGTGAGGAGAGTTTTGTCCAATGGCAATGAGGAAAGTAAGAAAAAGATTATGTGAAATAGATTTAAATTATATAATTAAATGAAGACAAATGATTGATTACTAATACTCAGGAGTAAATAATGACAGTCATAAAAGGCTTCATAATAAAACAAATATATTTTATTTTTCATTAGAAAAAAAACTTACTGTTTGCAGCTCTGAATCCTGAAATACAGATGAGACATTAAAGTATTAGAAGTTAAATCAGAATGTATGACAGGACACAAAATAAAACACATTTATAGGAAGAAATTCCTCATGAATGTCACAGATCTCTGCTCTGAATAAAAAGGAAGGAGAGCAACTCTTTCACTTAGTATATAAGTACGTCTGCTGAGGACCTCTGTGTTCTTTTGGCAGTAAAGTTACTGAACATGTTAAATCCAGAGGAGTAAAAATGGCTTCACTCACCATTATTGTTCCTTCTCCAGATGAAGAGTCCAGTGATGTGCCAGCAGCAGCAGTCCTACAACAACTCCAATAACAGCACCAGCAGGAAACTCTGAGGGAGAAACTGGAGCCAAAACAGAACATTCACACTTTGTCTCTCCCACTGGAAGGAGATAAATATGTTTAGTTTACAGGATTCACTTTAGTATTGAAGTATGAGGAGCAGATTGTGTGACAGTAAAGACAGTAAAGTCAGAAACAGAATGTATATCAGTCACATGAAAAGTATAGTTCTGGATTCCTTTGACACTTACATGTGTTTGAGAGCTCAGAGCTAAGAATCTTGTTTCCCACTTACATGCTTGTGTGTTGTACTGATGTCACTGTGTCCCCAGATATTATTGAGGACTTTGAAGAGTACAACGTTATCATAACTGATAAAAATGACGGCCAAAACTATGAAAATATGACTCAAGTTGTAAACCGGATTATTGCCCAATCTGAGAATCAAGATGTAAACTTAGAGCGGAGAGTAAACATCCGATCAACCCTTCTACAGTTGACAACAGCTACATAACAGTGGAGTTGACAACACAAGTTTTAGGACATAACCTTTGTAGTTATAATGGAGGTCTAGCTTTAGTGGATGAAAAAAAACTATTTCCAGTCTTACCCCAGTTGGTCCTGATCACTGCTTTGTCCAGTTTGGTGACGATGTCGTTCTTCACACCAGAGAGCTGAAACACACAGTCGTACCTCCTCCAGTCTTCAGGTGTGACTGATGAATGGTTCAGGTCAACACTCATCTGGAAGGATCCATCGTGGTTTGGGAGGATCTCTCCGTGGTCCACGTCCTCATGAAGCTCCTCTCCATCTTTCCTCCAGAACATCAAGGCGCTGTCAGGGTAGAAACCTGTAGCATGGCAGCTGACTGGAGAGGAGGGAGTCTTCTGGAGGAGAGACACTGAGGGAAGGTCTGGGAGAGAGAGAGAGAGAGAGAGAGAGAGAGAGAGAGAGAGAGAGAGAGAGAGAGAAGGTGGAAAACAGATAGGGGTAGAGAAAGACAAAAAAAGAGAACAGGAAGGAAATAAAACAAGGGAATAGACAGATGAAGAAATTCAAGAGGGAGGAATCCAGTTGAGTGAAAGAGAAAATGGGACAGAGATAAGCAATTAAAGACATGCTGCATCTATCTGCATTATGAGTAACTTTAAATTATAAAAGGTAAACTGCTTCAGGTCAAATTCCCAGAACGAAACTGTACATGACCTCTGTTTCCCTCATGGTAGCTACAGTCCTGAGAACATGCAACACTGACTTTATGGGGAAAATCTGGTCTGATTAGGAGAGACGGCAGCCATCCCACTTTGGACAGAGCAGCTCTCTTATCTAGAAATCTGACCGTTTATTTCTGAACCTAAAACCTGACAACCCAGAGTTGAGAGCAGGAGGCAGAGCTGCAGTCCTAAACACTTCTCTGCACTTTAGTTAGAGCAGATACCCACCCAAACCCCCACATAGACTGTGTCCCCTCATTACTTCAATTATTTAAAGAGGAAGTGAAGGGAAGAGGAGTTAAACACATGAACCTTTTAATTAAAATCAAATCTGCAACAGCACAAAATAAAAGAATTAAATGTGGACTCAGATCTCTGTCATCTAAAGCTGTGCTTGGTCATAAATTAATATCAGATTATGATAATGATTTATTTAGTCTTACTGAAAAATTAAAAAAGGAAAAGTGTTGAGTTCATGAAACTAAATCATGTCAGGTGAATTTACCTTTTCTCTGCAGAGAGCTGTTGCCATAGGCCACATACTGCTTCAGGAACCCAGGAGAAACCTTAGTGATGAAATTCACATTGTCTTTTGTTATAGCTTTGTCAGCATCCCACATCAGTTTGGTGGTGACAGCCTGAGGTTTCAGAGCGATCCATGACAATGTCTTCAGGTCAAAAGATAAGAAGTCTTCTCCATCATAACCTAACTTCAAAAAACTATTAACCTTTCCAGTCACATCATCCCACTCACAACCAACTATCTCCTGTAAAATGTGGATACCTGAGAGAGACAGAGACAGAAACAGAGACTGTAATTAACAATGTACAGAATACAGATGGAATCTCCAGTGGAAAGATGATCTTATAAATATTGTGCATTGTGTGACACTTGTGTCGTGTGGTGTGCTCATGATTCAAGAGCAGATAATCAGTGCCCTTTATCTGAGTGATGAAACCCAATTTATTTTCCACTGCTAAAAGTTACAATAGTAGCTACTGTTGTATGAATTGACAGATGACTGTCAGTGGCAGTATACAAAGTGGGTATGTTGAATTATATGCACATTAAACTCTTATTAAAACAAAGTCACACCTGTGTGACACCTGCAGTCTCAGATGCAGTCCAAGCTCAAATCCATTAATATGCACATGTTAGCTATCCTATATCTGTGTGTCAAACAACAAACCAGGCTGCAAATCATTTTAGTAGTAAAAAGTGAAATATAATATACATAAATACTTTACCTCCACTTTGGTTGAGGCGCTGTTTCAAATCCTGAATCAGCACTTTGAATAGGTTTGGCACTCTCTCAAAACATTGCAAAGTGTACCGCTTAAAGTGCTGAGGATCATCTTCAAATATTTTTTTCACCCAGTCCTGTTTTGGTTCTAATATCTTTTTGTTGATGTCACAGTAACCTACCAGACTTCCATCAACCTCAGTAGCTATCACAAGCTCTGAAATGTTTGGGACTCCACTGGATCCAGTTATAAAAAACGTCAGAGAGTGTTTCACTGCAGGACTAACAAAGTTTATACATTCAGTAAAGACCCATCATGAATCTGATGTATTCAGTCAGCAGCCTATGATTCTATTAAAACATATAAAGTCAGTCTTATGAAGTTGAAGTAAAAGTGAAACTGAAGTGCTGTTTTCTGGAGCACTCTGTGGCTCACGTTATCACAGTGGAATGCAGAGCCGAGTGGAAAGTGAAGCAAAGAGCTCAAAGAGTTCAAATGTGATCTTACCTGCTAATGAAACGTGACAGAAGAGAAGCAACAAAAATAACGTTTTCATCTTGATTTGATAAAGTCGGGTGGGACCGAGCTGCGGCTTCCTCCCTGCGGACAGAAGTGGGAGTCTTTGTTGTCAGGGGCTGGACGAGAGCTATTGAGGTCGGGAGGAGGGATGAATCTCCGGTTTCTGGATAGTCAGAGATTATATTGTTTTCCTTTATTGTTACTATTATTATTTTTAATTCCAAACGCTTGCTTTGGCAATATGTACAGCGTTATGTCATGCCAATAAAGCCATTTGAATTGAATTGAATCGACAGAGAGAGAGAGAGGAGAGAGAGAGAGAGAGAGAGAGAGAGAGAGAGAGAGAGAAAAAAGAGAATTCACAGTTGCAGATTTTCTGACCACAGTGAAAAATTGACTTTTGCACAACAATATTTTCCCACCACCCCGGATTCCTCATTAGAGAATTAAACATGAATTGCTGAGGTGATGTTGGCTGATAAGTTTGAAATCAGCTGTTTGGCATAATCTAACTAATTTGATGTTGGATGGTCAGGTGTGTCCTCCAGACAGCTGTTCCAACCAGCTCACAGTTAAATGTTAAAGCACACATTCAGGGCCGGCTCTAGCCCATTTGGTGCCCAAGGCGAGATTACCCCCCCCAAAAAAAAGAACACCATCATACAATTGAATGACAACATCTGAACCATCTGAACACTCACAACAGTTTTATATGAACAACAACAATGAACTTTCAGTTCACCCTTTCCAGCATGTTTCAATTAATTTTCAAGTAAATTATTATTTTCAAGACAGAACACGAAGGGATGGCGCCAATGGGCATCGAAAATTATTATTGGTTTTTTTTTTCTCCCTCGAGGGTGACTGGCGGCGCCCCTCTAGCAGATGGCGCTCTAAGCGACCGCCTATATCGCCTATGCCTAGAGCCAGCCCTGAGTGACACAACAGGCCTTCATAATATCCAGGAGCGTCTCCACACTGCTGTTGATCCACAGTGACGTGTCTCGGGGGTTAATCTTGAGTGGATGAGACTAACCCAGATCCTGAAAATGGCTTAGTGTGAGTCCTGATGAAGGTTTAGTTAAGGATCAGTAGCTTGTCATGTCTCAGATGAAATGTCAGTTGGAGGTTATTAGGACAGAGTAGTGGGTTTCACAGGACAACACATTTGCAATGTTAGCTTGAATGGATAAAGTTATGTGCTTCACACTGAACACCCTCTTCTCTTTCACTTTTATGATTTTGATGCTGCACAACAAACCTCCGTCCCTCCATTCATCCGCATGCTGGAGCACATCCCTGGTTACATTGGGAGGTTTATCGGACAAGCTGAGCAGATCGTCAGTCTATCTAAAGGGCTAATATTTATTGTATATAGAAAGACAACCATTCACACTCCTATTTACATCTATGGGCACTTTCCAGTTCACCTATACTGCATATCTATGAACTGTGGGGGCAAAAAGGCCCCAAAAAACTGAACTCAGGACCTTCTGTTTGTGAGGCGACAGTGCTTACTCATTAACTCACACAAGAGCAGTGTTAAAAGAATACATATATATAATGCAGTATAACTAAACAATGATATATGTTTCTATGCAGTTGTCAAAAACAGGAACAATCAGTATCTGAAAAGAGCAAAAATTAATCAATTTATTCACAAAAACAGCAGTGTTAGCCTTTCATATTAGGTGGTTATGAGTATACATTTTGTTTATTGATATGACGTGAGACTTTTTGCAACTAAGGATAGGCAGCAGGATTTAAGCATATAATCAAATCAGTGGTGGAAGACTCGGCCTCCTTCCTCTCTGCACAAGGCCCTGTGCTTTTAATTTATAAACACAATGAACCCAGCTCCTACCATATACATACATCTTTATAGCTGTTACTCTTTTTTCACTGAGTTGACATACACCGCCGCCACAGCTTATACTGTATTTAGGTATGTGCACCACAGCTTGCAGTTATCAATGGATGATGTGATGTTCACACATCTATCATTTCTATTTCAGTGTCTCACTTTCTCCACCAAGATCTGTAAGGATCTGTGTTCTCGTACCTTCCTCCTTCCTGTTCAGGGGTTATGGCTCCTGATTGTTTAATCTCATCACGGGGGATTGGTGACATCAGGTCCAATCCTTTGCCGGCCTCTCCCAAAAGCCAGCAGCAGGGATCAACTGGGATGAAGAGCAGTGGGACAGCACAGATCAGTCAGTGTGAAGAAGCGACCACACAAGTCAAAGGCATACAGTCGTTGAGCTCTTAGGAGCCAACTCTTTTCTCTTATTGTTGGGGACCCCGCCATTCAACAGGTAAAGACTGTTTAATGAGACATTTGTGTATGCTGGATTTACATTTATTTTGTGAGTGTTTTTTGGTTTGTTTGTTTTTTGTGACATTTCAACGTTTTGATCTTGATCTCCTCTTACAGCCAGGATGGCTCGGGATATGTCAGATAAGGAAATCCTGAAAATGGAGCTTGAACAGTTGAAGAAGGAAGTTAGCACAGCTAGGACACCAGTAAGTAAATTACCTCTTTTAAAAAAAATTATGTCATATTTTCTTGCCATCAATTGTGATTATTATCTTTAATTTAAGTGACCAAACGCCTGTATTGTATTAAAAGAACGTGGAAAACAGTTAAGAGAGTTAAATGCTTAATTGTTTTTTAGCACACAAATTTAAATAGTTAATTTCCATCTTTATGCATGTGAAAAGACAAATTGCTTTGCCAAGCTTACATTTGTTTTCATCTTTCCTCTGAACAACAGGTGGGTGCAAACTGTGCAGAAACCATTGCTTTTGTTGAGGAGATGTTACCAAATGACCCGCTGATTAAGGGCGTTCCAGATGACAAGAACCCCTACAAGGGAGACAAGGGAGGCTGTATAATAACATAGCATATAGACATCCAGGGAAAAGTCACAATGTTTTTTATGAGAGCCGGTTACATTTCTGTAATGTTCCTGTAGAATTCTTGTGAATAAAATGTACAGTGGTAAGAAAACTAAGATCTGTAATGTTATTGCAACCAGTAGCGAGACCCTTTTCCATCACTGGATGTACCTGTTAATATAAAAATGTTTCTTTGTGAATTTGTAATTAAATTCAAATAGCTGTGCAAAGCTTTCACCTGATCTGGTCTCATTATTGGCATACATCCACATATCTCACATTTATTGCACTCCTATTGCACTTTCATCTTATTATATCATGCTGGTTAATAATCAATAGGTTTGACTGCATATTGTTTGGTGTCCAACATCTCTGACTGCAAATCAGCACAAGTCAACATTACACTCACTTGTGTTACTGTACAAAGCAGGGCAAAGTCACAGGAGTCGTGCAGCTTCTGCTTAGTGTAATTCTTAATAGGATTTCTTTGCTGCGGCACAGTCGGTCAACAGGCCTGTTGACACAGAGCTGCTTCCGGTATCAAAGTCTTTAAGCTCATTCCAGCGGCTTCATCCCGGCTTCCATTTCGAGCTCTCCATCCAATTAGTGTCATTTTCAGCCAGGGCAACGACAAATACGCAGAATTTGTTCAACGTTTGCAACACCACTACCGCTTGTAAAAATTTACAAAACAAACACAAACGGCAATTCATGCTGCTTTAAACCTTTTTAACGACCTTAGGCAGCACATATCAGCACCTTTGTACCCAAGTATACTGTGACCTACTTATGATGACTTATCGTTTAGAGTGCCTTGGTGATTTATCAATATTTTACGTAAAGGTCCACGTTTTAGCTCGTCTCAGAGGAACAAACTACCTCTAAACTTTAAACCCCCTGCTTCAGTTAAAGGGAAACGGATGTTGTAGCTGCTAAGAAAGAGATTGCATGTACAGGCACACTGATTCAGACATGAAATGTCATATGTTCTGTAATTGTAAATATGTAATTAAAAGTACAAAAAAGTTGTATAAAGCCTTTTATTGCTCCAGAGGTAGTTGCATGAAATCTGATAAATTGTGATGTAATTGGAGTCAGCCTGTGTGAAGACTCAAAGTTTGGAAAGGAAATCTGAGGGTGTGGAGAAAGGCGTGAGTTTACCAGACCTCTGTAGCCTGCCGCTCATCCCTGAGGTTTTGACAAGGATCAAGAATGTGTGCTCTTCTCTGGTTCTGCTGCATTGATTTGGATATTTTATTGGTTTAGACAGTCTGTCATGAATCTGATTGGCATTGTCGGATGTTATTTGAGTGTAGTGCAGTGAGTGTAGTAAAACAATTAATGACAACTCAATAAATTATGACGATAACTTTGTTCACATATATAAACCCCGAATTGGAGACGACACAAAACATAATCTATACGTCTAGAATTACGTATACATTTTCAAATAAAAAAAAGAATAATAGAAGTATTCGTCTCTGAATGTGTTGTGGTGGGGTTATTGTGGTTCATGATATTTCAGTACCATGAACTGGAACTGAGGCATCGAAATGGAACAGAAATTGAAAACCAATGAACCAACATGACTTGTTGTGGTTCATGTTATCGCTGGCTTCAGATTAAGTCCATGGCTCAAAGTCAACTGAATTAGTATATAGCTTGAGCACAAAGTCCATGCATGGACTACATGAAATGATAGTAGGTCGGGGCCCAACTGCTTCTCCAAGGACACCAACTTTGTCCTTATCGGACTCGAAATGCTGAAACTCAGTAATTTTACTCAGCACTGTTGTAAAGCCATACAACTGGACACTGCATGTGTAAAGTCTAGGATGACTCATCCATAGTGTGTACTTTATCTTAATTGCCTTATCAGATAAGAGCAATTGAGAACTTACTGTATCTAGACTATGCAAGTTTGCAATAAACTCTTTGGAATGACTGAATAATGATACTACATACAAGAGGAAAACAAAATGTGTTGTAACCTTTAGATTGTATATTAGACGCTTGAACATGCAGTGGAACTTTGTGTTTCCTTTTAAAACTATTGACTTTCAAATATTATGTAGATTCCTAACACTATTTATGTTCATACAATAGGGCATCTCATAGTGGTTTTAGAAGATTTCCTCTGAGAACAAGTCAAATAAAGCCAAATCAATAGAGGGTTAAAAAAGCAGCCATTATTTTGCTTTTGATGTTTTTGTCTGTGCACCAAATGAGTGCTTAGCAATGAGCCTTTGTCTAAATGTAACTGTATGGACACCATACCATTATTGGGATTTGTGCACCGTAATCTTTCATCACTTTATCTTTATTGCTTGTCATAACATGAATACTGTTACTTATCAAACTGCAGCCCCTCTTCTCCAGACCTTTGGCTTTGGCACTTGACATGATAAAAGGAGCCTCATGAGGAGAGCAGCATTCACAATAAAACTGCTGCTGTGAACACTACACTGCTACAGAAGAATTAGACAGAAACAGTGATTTGATTGTCTCAATCATGTGGCTCTTGATTTTCTTAGTCTGGTTAGTGATATGGGCCAGTGGCACATACTGGTACCTGTTTGGGAAACCGAGCCCTTTCTCCTTGGAGTCAGTGAGACCCCCTGGACCTCGAGAGATGGATCAGAAGAAGCGGGACAAAGTCATCAAGCAAGGTAAAATTATTGGAATTAAAAATGCTTGTATGCAACATCACAATGGGATGCAATGCTTTGATAAAGCTAAAGTATATTTTCTACCAGTTAAGGCTGATGAGCTCTGTTGGTAGATCATTTAACAAGAGTCAATACATTCAAAAATTACAATGTTATATTAATATGATAAGGTATGACGACAGTAAATGTAAACTTTTTCTGATACCTATTCTCTTAGGAAGAATGCACACTCAAGAATATAAATTACAGATTTGTACAATATTTGCTTCTTTCTCTTCTATTGGATATATAACAAATATTATTCACTCACATGTTGATATGAGTTGTCTATATTTTTACAACTCCAGCCACCAAAACAAAAAGGAAAAAACAAAACTAAAGAACAAATTATTTAACTTATTATAACAAAATCCCCCAAAACTAATCACGTAACAATTAAAGTACAATATGTGAGTGCTTTAGTGTGAGAGTTTTTTAATTCAAATTTAAAACTAGAACAGCTAAATCATCCTTTATGTGAAAGTGAAATTTTCATTTTAATTTGTGAACATAATATAACAGGTTCGACAGTATCAGGCCTAACTTCCTGGAGTCTCCAGTGGTTGCACTGCAACCGCTACCATTCTCCTGTACCCCAGTAAAAGAGCTAATTGTGTTTTTTTGTACAAATTAAATGAACCCGATATAACATGTCTCCACTCCAAGTGCTAAGTGTTAAGCTGACGTTAACTTGCTCCTGGCTGTAACCTTAATGTTATTCTTGGCTATCCTGATTTCAAATTCAACCGGGTTCAGCATATAAGCTTGTTAGTCCGTCTTTTTCACATTGTGCAATAATTAAATATCCCCTCCAGACATGTAATAAGACATATATATAAATAGTCTGTTTCCACTTTAAAATCTTTAAAAAGGCATCTACTCTGTCTACCTCATCAAACAATTCCATAAAACATCCTCCTAGTGTCAAATTCTGCACATACATCATTGTATCATTGTGCATCCAACTGCAGGAACAGGAAGAAAAACACATTTTGACTGGAGGGGGACTTTAAAGAACGTGATATTGCAATAAAACTGTCTGTTGACAGGAGGTTTGTAAATACCTAAACAAAGGTTAACCTAGAAATAAAGGTAGTTTAAAGAGAAGGCTGTACATTTTTTAAAAAGATAGTGTAGATAGAAATAATTCTCTGTAGTTCTTCTTACAACTGCTGAGGTGTGCTGATACATCTTATCTAAATTATCTGTTTGTTGTGTGATTACTAGATAAGAGTTTAGACCTAAATTAGCAGAATTACAGTAATTATTTTTCATCAGTGTGCTTTATCTTAATTAGATTATGACTATAGGAGATTATGTTTGCTGTCTTATCTACTGTTGCCAACAGCAGAACAAGGATACAGGAATTAGTTCAGCAGCTATGTGTTTATGACAGGAAAGGTGTGCAGTACAACCTTCAAACTATTATGAAACCCAGTTATGCAACATATTTTGATGTCTGTTTCAGCACTTGCTTGAGATAACGTTTACAGTGCATCTTTAATAAACCTGTCTGAAGTGGAACCACACATTTGACCACGTTGACGTCAGCTCTATATGTTTCTCTCCAGGTTTCAGCCTTGACAAAGTGCCCCAGAACCTGGACGTCATTGTCATCGGGAGCGGTATTGGTGGGATGACAGCTGGAGCCACACTGGCCAAAGCAGGGAAGAGAGTCCTGGTGCTGGAACAACATGACCAGGCAGGAGGCTGCTGCCACACTTACTTAGAGAAAGGCTTTGAGTTTGATGTTGGTAAGACTACTTGTAATTTACGTGATTGACACACACTTACTTATTAATAAATAATATAAATGAATGGCTTTCTTTGTAGTTACAGTTAATAATCAGACATTAATTTTCAGAGGGGACATTTGGAACATTGGTGGCAGGTCCTGGAGCAACAAAATCCTTATTTAGATTATGTCAGAAGGAAGAAAGCCGGGTTGACTGCTGAGAGTAAAAAAAAACATACTTTCTTCCTTTTGAATAGTTAAGACAGTAGTAGAGTAGTAAAGTAGAATAAATCCTATAAAATATACATTTCTGTACAATGCAACCTCAAAAGGAACAACGATGCACATGTATTAGGTATTGGGTAATGTATTGGGTATTTATGGATGTTGTGATGACTGTTTATCTCCCTGGTGTGACTTGTGAGAAAGAATTAAAATGTACATGAAATGACCCTGTTCCTGTTTCCCGGTCTTCTCCAGGGCTTCACTACATTGGTCAGGTCCATGAGAACAGTCTGTTGCGTATCGCCTTCGATCAGCTCTCTGAGGGCCAGCTGGAGTTCCAAGAGCTAAATCAACACTTTGACACCATCCAGATTGGCATGGGTGATGAGAAACGAGAGTACACAATCTTCTCCGGTAAAACTGAGATGCAAGCCCATCTGATGAAGCAATTCCCCGATGACACAGAGGCCATCGAGACATTCTTCAAAATCATGAAGGTACTGTGAGCTAGTGGAGACATATTTCAGTGTGTGTAAATCGAAAACAACAAAACCATGATTTTTTTATGAATTATCTTATCTGTATTCCGACAGGTCTCAGCTAAGAAGACCCACTACTTGGCAACTTTAAAGCTGATCCCGCAGTGGGTGTCTCTATTCCTGTTGAAGTCAGGCATCGCAGACCTTGTCTCCCCTGTCTTCCGCCTCACTGGCACAGGCGCAACGGACTTTGTGAACACCCTGACCAGCAACAAGGATCTCCATGTCATCTTCTCCTATCTTTTCTATGGTGGGTCCTCAAAAAATTACAAAACCATGTCAGTCTAGTCCAGTCTTCAGAAAGTGAAACATACTCTGTTGGATTGAGGTCATAGGATTGACTTGGTCAGTGACAAATATCCGGCTCTTTGGTTATAAAAAAAACTCTTTTGGCAACTATACAGAAAAAGAACTACAGGTCCCATGAGTTCACAATATGAGCATAAACACCGTAAATTAAAGCTGAAAGTTAACACTCTAGTGTGCCCCCAGCATGGGGCCAAAACAATGCAAAACATGAAACTTTCTCAATAGTTTTAGACTACACTGTTTAAATGGTCAAATGTGGCTAAATTATAAACTAAATCTATACTTATGAGTCTTCTAAAACTTATTTTGAGTCTTAATTATCATTTGTACTGAATTTTTAAACTTTTAAAGGATTACAAACCCTGACATAGGGCTGATTAGTTATACAACATATAACTGAATGACTTTTGACTGGGTGATTGCTGGATCAACAAGATGAGTATATGATTTTGAAAAATAATTATAACAAAGAAATAATTAAGCCTTCATTCTGTTTATATTTAGGCGTGCCTCCAAAGGACTCCAGTGTTTTGATCAATGCCCTCCTGGTTCATCACTACAAACGAGGTGCCTACTACCCCAAAGGTGGTGCCAGTGAGATCGCCTTCCACATCATCCGCACCATTCAGAAATATGGAGGAAACTGTCTGGTCAGAGCTCCTGTCTCCCAGATCCTTGTTAATGAGAAGGGAGCGGCTTATGGTAAGAAATGATTCAAGCTCATTTTTCACCTGTTAGAAGGCAAGATACTTTCCAGGTAACTGACTGTAGGCTTCCTTTTGGCACCATGTGACAGGGGTGAAAGTGAGGAAAGGTCAGGAGGAAGTGGAGGTTCATGCACCTGTGGTTGTATCAAATTGTGGCATCTTTACCACCTTCCAGAAACTTCTGCCCCCTGAGATCACAGTCAAGACAGGTGAGGGAGCAACAGATCTTTTTTTTTTTTTTTTTTTTACCAAAATGGATGAATTCTCAAATATATCACAATTTATTGTGAAAGAGTGAAGTTTCAAGCTAATTATAACCCTTCCCATATTATAGATATTCAGGAAAGACTGAACATGATGAAACATGGCAGAGGATCGTTCTTGGTCTTCTCTGGCTTTGATGGAACCGAAGAGGAGTTGGGTCTCCAGTCCACCAACTTCTGGCTGTTCAAAAACAATGATATGGACAAGTCGTAAGTATGCAAAGCACTGATCACACCTGACAGAGGTAGCATTCAGTTTCCACAAGGGGGAGCGATTGTATTAGAAGTAGAAATGGAATAAATGCCCAGAGGCGAGACTAACTTCTCAGTGTAGGCTTGTTCCCAGGAACATTAGCATTTATCATTTTTCTTGTGGGTCAGCTTTTTCTTATTTCTTCCAAAATAAAACACACTATGTATCTAAAGATTTACAAAGCCTTACATAAAGATACTATATATTATAGCATGTGGCTTATTCAGTGAACAAGATAGAGTTCCCTGTTTTGTCCTCTAGATGGAGTGCAAGATCAGTCAGGTTTCAGATCCAGGATTTAAATACCATCCCCATGCATTCTTTTATATGTGGCCACACTGCTGATAAAAGGACAGGCCAGGACCGCTCTAACTGAACAACGATGATCAGTATTTGAACATTTTCATGTTTTCTTTCAGAATGGAAGACTTCTTTGCATTGAGTAAAGAAGAAGCACCGGATAACATTCCCATGATGTTCATCACAATGCCATCTTCCAAAGACCCAGAATCCAAAATAAGACACCCTGGTACAAACACCCATTACTTTTTCTAATGTTGCTAATAATTGTAGTAAGAGGAAATTGTGTTCAAAAGAAAGGATGTGCTAAAATTAAAGATAAAGAAACCTTTTTAAAGATGTACTACTACTAGAACATCATACTAAATATCACACTGTGTGAGTGTCCATAAAGATTAGGTGTGATATTTTGTGTGTTTCATGTTCACAGGAAAATCTTGCATGACAATACTGACGATGGTGAAGTATGAATGGTTTGAGGAATGGAAGGACACTACAGTGCGCAAAAGGGGAGATGAATACTACAACTACAAAATGAGATTTGCACAGAACCTCTTCGACTGGGCCTGTACTTTGTTCCCTAAAATCAAAGACAAGGTAGGATTGGTCATTCTCTGTAAATGCGCTCATGTTTAAGTATGTTTCTATTATCTGTGTGTGTACATTCAAATTACATCACATAAAAACGGTTCCATTTATGCCTATGTTTACTGTAGGTAAACCTTGACATGCTTTTTTAATATGTGTTTGTTGCCTGTCTTTGACAAAAGACTGCATTGTAATGTCAGTATGATTTGTTTTTCAGTTGGTTTTCCAGGATGTGGCGACCCCGCTGACCAACATACACTATCTGGGTGCCCAACGTGGGGCCATGTACTCGGCTGAGCACAACCTAGAGCGTTTCCATGCCGAGGCTGTGGCAAGGAACAGGTGCAACACCCCCGTCAAAAACCTCTACATCTCAGGTATGAAAAGTTACAAACTTGGCCAAGGCTTTTATGTTCTGCAAGCATAGACAATACTTTTTTTGCGATTGTGTGAAGTTTTCACAGGCATAGAAATGTCTCAACAAGCCCTAAGATTGATTCACTGTTTTAAATTGTGAGTTTCTTTGCAGTGTAATTTTTTTTAATGCCAAACTTGCCAGTTTTTGTTGGATTAGTTTAAAGTTAAAACACTTAAATAATTGTAAGAAAGTCACAAAGCTGAAAGAATTAAAGCTTGTGAGAAAAAAAAAAATTTATCTAGAGGGAAAGACAGTAATTTGAATCCAGACTCCAGGTAGTCTTGCCTCATCCAGTGGGTTGTACAGTATGTGTGTCTGTCTGTTCTAGGTCAAGACGTGTTCAGTTGTGGGATAGCAGGCGCTCTGCATGGTGGACTCCTCTGCGCCTCTGCGGTGTTAGATCACATTGTCTACATCGACTTGCTCCTCCTCAAGAAGAAGCTGAAGAGGAGGAAAGCCAGCGAGTTGGCCCAGCTGGCTAAGAAGAAGCTGCAATGAGAGTGCTCGCTACTTCCCCTGCAGGACAATAATGGAACTGCACAGACCTGGTGCAAAAGGACCCTTGATTGTTGTGGGAAGCTAAAACCAACACACCACCGCTGGGTCCCAGATCTGTTCTTTATATTATAAAGTCTACACATACTAATGCTAATAGTGAATATTTCTGAAAGTTTTAAGGAACAAATGTTATATCTTGTTTGTACTACACTGCATGAACCCTGTGGCCGGTTTCAAAATAGAAAACATGACAAACAGACAATAAGAATTATTAGTTTTCTGAGCTGAGGCTGTCACACTGTCATGTGTTCCTGGTGGATCAGTCAGTCTGGTGATCTATGCCAGCATACTAGACTGACTTACATTAAGCAACTTAAGTTCACAGACTTCTTAAAAGTCTGTATGTATGGGGCTGAGGATGGTTTTGGTGAGTTTTCAGTATTAGAGAAGGTAACCACAGGTAACCACAAAGTATTTTAATGCTCATAATGCACAATATCTTGAGTTGAATAACCATATTGGCTATTTAATACCCCCATGTAACTCTGCAGCATTTTATGTGAAATAATGCTTAGTATTTAGTTGGGTATCTTTTAGCTTGCAGTGCTTTTCATATTTTAATTGTGTGCACATAAACATAAAACATCTCTTCATTTAATTGTCGTATTTACTGATCTAGGTAAAATGCTATTGCTCCATTTTTGTACATTTGTATTTAGGTATATAATCTAAAATGTGCTGTATTGGGGAACAGTTTTACTGTATTATATAAAGTTTTATCTTATCTTATCTCACCTTGATGTAAAGCTAAGAAATATCAACAAATGCTTAATCATGAATGTAATTGCTTTTTCACTGTTTTTGTGATGTATGTACAGATTTTTTTGACTTTACGTATTTTTACTGTTTGTTTTAGAATTATGCAAAATGCATATTTGTATTCTTTCTTGTATATACTCAATACATTCGATAAACCAAATAAAACATTTGAATTATCCATCCAAATGCTCAAATGCTTGCTCAATTTTTATTACATTGTAACCTTTCCAAGATCCTGATCCTCATTGTTAAATAATTGAAATATAATACTGAAATTGTTTTCCCCAAACATTTCTATAAGTGATAAGAAGAGTTTAAGAGATTTGAATTAAACAGGAAATCATTATGCAAACCTCATCATCTAGAATCCTAATTTTGTAGAGAGGATGATATGATTACACCAAATATTACCTATAACAAATCATAAGTCCATCAAAAATAATCATTAGCATCAGATATAATGGTTGGGAGTATTTATATACACCTACTGGTGAACTGAGATTGTATGTCCCCTTTGGGTTTCTCAGTTCCCACCTATGTTGTTTTGACCTGACTTATAACCTCGGTGTTGTTTGAGTAACTCCTGAAATCAAACGTATGGGGGGAAACCTCAGACTTCCTGCACTAAGTGAACATTTCCTCAGTAAACGGTGGGCAGATTGGCGGACAAACTGTGGCCTGTCAGAGACGATGGAGGGGATCCTAGGAGAAGAATGCCCCCTCTGTCCAGGCAGCCGGTGGGATGCCAGTACCTCTCTCTTGCTCTGTTATCCTCCATCCCTCTGCTGTACAAAACCAGGCAAAGCTCTCCCGGCTGCTGGAGCTCTGATATGCAAGTTGTTAGTGCTACCACTTTCCTTTCAATACTTCTGAATAAAAAAAGGCCCAAAACTAAGGCAAGTTCAAGGAATGAGGAGCAAAATGGAAGGGAGAGGAGTTAATTATATTGACTTTGCCTGGCTGGAAGTTCAGGAGGCCATAACATATAATTACCATGGCATGATAAAGTGCAGTATTTCACCAGAAATAAACGTGACAGCAACTCTTACTTTCCTATGCTGCGCTCTGACTGACTCACAAAGCTATAAACAAACCCACCTCAATTTAGTTTAGCCACCTTTTGAGCTCTTTTATAGCCATGCTAGCAGTGTGGCTCTAGGGATGGCAATGTCGGCCTGTTGGTTGGTCCACTACTTTAGTCCAGACTGAAATATCTCAACAATTATTTTATGGATTGTCATGAAATTTTGTGCATTTATGGTCCCCAGAGGATGAATCCTACTGGCTTTTCCTGTAGCGCCACCAAAGATTAGCATTTTTCTTTTCAGTGAGATGTCTTTGACAGTTACGGGATGGATTACCATGAACTTTGGTCTGCACATTCCCCTCAGATTGAATTGTAATAACTTATTAACTGATACTGCTTTTCCTTTCATATAGTTTCATCATCTGGTTAAAACTGTATTTTGTCCAATAACTTGGTTTACTTCCAAACATTTGAAAGAATAGTCACATTCCCATTATCCTCAGTTGTCCTTCGAGTTTAAAATGGTGAACATGATACCATAATAAGGAATAAAGACTATTACCATTGTCCCTGTGAGCATGTTAGCATGCTGATGTTAATATCTAGCTCTAAGCACCACTGTGTTTAAGTGAAGCTTTGCAGAGTTGCTAACATGGTTGTAGACATTTAGTCTTGTTTAACTTCTTTTTATTTTCTTTTTACTCATTTTATTTAACACAAGTGGATAACAAGAGTATCTTTTATAAAAACCAATACAGGGACATGAGGAGATGGATAAAATGCACAAAAACGGGAAAGAAAAGTATTGATGGGCGGCGTTGGGCATGCACAATATGTGTGGGATGTTTTGTCTGTTTGAGTTACAATAATAGGGTTGAGAAGATCTGAGTGTAGAGGAATCAGCTCTGGATGAATTGCATTAAAGGAGACCAGGTGTTTGGAACTGGGGTCAGATTGTCTTGTAGGGTAGATGTGAGCTTTTGTAGGCTTTGAATGGTCTTATGGATAGTCTAGTTCTGTTCTTTCCAGCTGAATAATATGGTATTCTTGGCCACAGTGAACACTAATAAGATGAACGTTTGGAGATGTTGTGGGACTGTGAGTGAGGAGAGATCGCCAAGAGAGACAGGACAGACAGATGGAGGGAGAAAAGGAGGATGTCTTGTCTTGTTAAACTTCATAATATTTCATATGCCATGACATGCAACATAAAACTGATCTCAGTGATACAGACACTTTATAAAGTGTTTATAATTTGTGACTAATGGCTTCAATTGATGGTTAATGAGTCCTTTGCAAAAAGATATTTGTGAGAAGAATGTTTGGATTGCAGGTTTTGGTTGTGAAAAATAGAATATAGAAGAAGAATATATGCACAGCATAAAGCGTTATAAACTCATTAAAGTTTATTGACTTACTTATAATTAGCCATAGCAGCCTGCAGTTTTACATATTAAGAAGCTGTTAATGCATACATTCATTTCAGTCCAGAGTACATGCAGTACTTTTCCAGAAGGTAAGTGGTCACACTTTCATTGGAGGGGTTTTGTGATTAAATAAAGGATAAAAAGTTATGCTAGAGGTGGATGGCCAAATGTTTTGATTTTTTCACAACCTGGTAAACTAAAATTGTCCTCATTAACATTGTATTGACTTGTTCTTGCTGAGGTGTAACACCAAAATGGGTACCTGTTCTTTTAGGTTCGGTGGTACCAGGTATTGGACTCATATTAAAATAATAAGTGACAACCACCACTCTAAAAAGAATGTTACATTTTGGTTGATGGTAATCTTAGAACTCTGAGCTGACCACCCTAGTCCAAATGTACTTTTTTTGGATGACTGATTTGGAGCACTTTGATTGATGACATTTGTGTTTGTTGTGTTGGTTTGTTGGTAGGATAATGTTACCTGGTCACCGGACTCTTGCCTCTTTTCTACCTTTAAATAGGTCTTGAAATTTTGCAGTTGTGTGAGATTTGATGTCCTTCTACTGGTAATGTCAAATAAACTTAACAAAAATGATTAATAAAGCCTTTAGCTATCAGTTATAAGCCCTTTATAAACAATACCTGGTGGTACCCTCATTATTGTAATAAAAAAAAAAAGAGAGAAATTCTGTTTCAAATGTAATGGTGGTTTTAATTGGCCATGGCTATAAAAATGTATTACCAGTGTAAACAAATGTAACAAGCTTACCACTTGGTACATTTGATAGACTGCACTGCAAAGACTCTGAAGTAACAAAATATCTGTGTAATTGTAGAAAGTAACTACAGATAAACTGAAGAGGAAATGTGACCTGTAATTTAACAGAAAGTATTCAACTTTATGGAAAAAGCTAAAATGGGCAGATCTGAGGAGGAATTTAAGTTTTTCTTGACCAGCACAAGCACCACCTCAACCCCCGTCCCTCCTTTTTCCTCTCGCAGGCGGCTCCCACATGTTTAGACATGCTCTTACATCAGGAGAGGCCCAGAGGGTCGGCTCTTAAAAAAAGCAGTCCACTCTTTCCACTGTCTCAACCCCTCTGTCCGCCACTCTCTATCCAGCAAAGGCACGATTTTAAATGAAATAAATATTTCAGAAGGCTGCGCCTCAAAGCTAATCCAGAAACACTGACACCTGAAAACATTTATTTACATTAAGGCAAACAGTGAACTCGCAAACAGTGTAGAGGCCGGATTGGCGCAGAGAGTATTCATGTTGCTAGGCCCTCGTCTCTGTGCTTCAGCCAGCTTTCCTTCTTTTCCAGATGTTGGAGCTCCTCCCCGCTGGCCTGCCACAGCCTCCCACAGCTTGAACCCAGCCAGCAACCACAGCTGCTACCAATCTGAAGACTTTCAAAAGAGAGTTTCAGACGATCCAGAAGAGAGGAAGACCCACTCTGCAGATAGCGCCCAGGATCAGACTTGGCTCAAATTCATGAGCAGGTGATAAAAAGCAACACCAGCCTGTTTTAGGGGCCACTCCTACTTAACTACCATCGTATAGTAAAGTACTGTGCCTTTGATAGAAGTAAAGTTTTTAAATCAACTTTAAATTTAGCTGTAGGTGGGGGTTTAAAGTCAAATGTGGAAATTCATGTTTACACAGGAAAGAGAAAAAAACAAATTTCTTCATTTCTATTTCTGTGCATTAAACCAAATCAGACTGAGGCTGTTTTCCTGCTCTGCACAGATCACAGACCTCTTCTCCGATGTCGGCTGAAAGCTGCTGCTTGGGGCCAGCTTTCTGTTGAGCTAAATGGAAAATCCAAGGAAAATGGCAACTTCCCCAAATCTTCCGTCTGCCTTAAAAAATCTTTCTACAATATGAAACACTACTGGCCCACATGAAAAGCTCAGACAAGCAGTTGTACACAATGTTTAGGTAAATTCTGCATTATGTACCCTAAACTCTAGTCTTTCGTGTCATTGTTATATGCTTGAAATGAGCACACAATTATGGTCCAAACTGAAACTATTGGTTATAATTGTTAAAGTTCCAACTTTAATTTGGTTCTTTATTTTGTCATATATGATAGTTACTTAATTTTCTGGTTGGGGATGACATTACCTTGATTTTTGGAATTGTGTTTCACTATTTCTGACATTTTATCCATTTCTAAAAACTTAGACCTGCAATAATTGCTTTTCTGAGAGTTTTTTGTCGTGGACACAACCATCATGAGAATGATGATCATATCATCACCTTTTAAGTTGATATGCCTAACTTGTAAGCAAACGATTGGTTATTTAGACATCCAGCACTTTCAGAGCAACATGATCATTCATCTGGAGTCATGTTTCTGGCCAACTGCATCTAAGTCCCATATTCACTCCCTCTTAGCTCTGTTTTTGGTCTCCACCATTTCCTGAGAAGAATATCTGGCTAGCTGCTTAAGGCTCGACTATGTTCATCAGCAGGTCACTAAGTTTGTCTGATTGCCATTTGGTGCAGAGCAGGTGTGAAAGTTGTGAGCTGGGCAGATAAATAATGAGATGAAACTCGCTATAAAGCTCTATAAAGCCCCTTTCATGTCCTCACATTGTTTTCCTATTGTCATTGTATGCATTGTTATTATAGAAATATAGATTATATTTGCTTTTAAAATCAAGAAAATAATCAGCAGACTAATTGATGATGAAAATAGTCATTTAAATGCTTCA